CCGGTTTTGGAGCTACAATTTCCGACGCCGTTGCGCGTAGTTCTATTGTGTTTTGCAACTCAGTCTCTGCAGATCGCATTGTAATGGCTGTGTCAAGGTTGCTTCGTGCTGTGGCTGCATTCGTAATACTATTGTCTTTTGCAGCTGGACTTCGTAAATCGTATTGGAGGGGCTGCATGAAGGCTGCCACAGTGATTTGTCAGCAGATTTTCTCCATTTTGGCGCTAGATGGCGCTAGTGATTTTCCTTTAAAAAATCCTTTTAAAAAGTGCTTCAAAATCGTATTTTTTTCCCTCTGGCGTCGAGATCCGGTTTTGGAGCTACAATTTCCGACGCCGTTGCGCGTAGTTCTATTGTCTTTTGCAACTCAGTCTCTGCAGATTGCATTGTAATGGCTGCGTCAAGGTTGCTTCGTGCTGTGGTTGCATTCGTAATACTATTGTCTTTTGCAGCTGGATCTCGTAAATCGTATTGGAGTGGCTGCATGAAGGCTGCGACATTGATTTGTCAGCAGATTTTCTCCATTTTGGCGGCAGTGATTTTCTTTTTAAAAATTATTTTAAAAAGTGTTTCAAAATCGTCTTTTTTTCGCTCTGGCGTCGAGATCCGGTTTTGGAGCTGCAATTTCCGACGCCGTTGTGCGTAGTTCTATTGTGTTTTGCAACTCAGTCTCTGCAGATCGCATTGTAATGGCTACGTCAAGGTTGCTTGGTGCCGCGGCTGCATGCGCAATACTATTGTCTTTTGCAACTGGACTTCGTAAATCGTATTGGAGTAGGTGCATCAAGGGTTCGACAGTGATTAGTAGTAGTGCTGGGAATTGATTAATGAAAGCTTAATAGATGACATATGAGAAGGGACGAAATGAGAAGAGATGAGCTGGGATAAGGTGAGAAGAGCTCAGATGAGATGAACTGTAGAGTGTGAAGAGTGTAGTGTGAAATGTGGGGCGTGAAGAGTGCAGTGTGAAGTGTGAAGTGTGAAGTTTGGAGTGTGAAGGAAGCAGTGAGAAGTGAGAAGTGTGAAGTGTGGACTGTGAAGTGTGGAGTGTGAAGTTTGGAGTGCAAAGAGTGCAGTGTGAAGTGTGGAGTGTGAAGAGTGCAGTGTGAAGTGTACAGTGTGAAGGAAGCAGTGGGAAGTGAGAAGTGTGAAGTGTGGAGTGTGAAGTTTAAGTTTGGAGTGCGAAGAGTGAGTGTGAAGTGTGAAGTGTGAGGTTTGGAGTGTGAAGGCAGCAGTGAGAAGTGTGAAGTGTGGACTGTGAAGTGTGGAGTGTGAAGTGCGAAGTGAGAAGTGTGAAGTTTGGAGTGTGAAGGAAGCAGTGAGAAGTGTGAAGTGCGAAGTGTGAAGTGTGAAATTTGGAGTGTGAAGTTTGGAGTGGGAAGGAAGCAGTGAGAAATGAGAAGTGTGAAGTGTGGACTGTGAAGTGTGGAGTGTGAAGTGCGAAATGAGAAGTGTGAAGTTTGGAGTGTGAAGGAAGCAGTGAGAAGTGAGAAGTGGGAATTGAGAAGTGTGAAGTGTGGACTGTGCAGTGTGGAGTGCGAAGAGCGCAGTGTGAAGTGTGAAGTGTGAAGTGTGAGGTTTGGAGTGTGAAGGAAGCAGTGAGAAGTGTAAAGTGTGGACTGTGAAGTGTGAAGTGTGAGGGAAGTGTGGAGTGTGAAGTGCGAAGTGAGAAGTGTGAAGTTTGGAGTGTGAAGGAAGCAGTGAGAAGTGAGAAGTTTGGAGTGTGAAGGAAGCAGTGAGAAGTGAGAAGTGTGAAGTGAGAAGTGCGAAGTGAGAAGTGTGAAGTGTGAAGTGTGAAGTTTGGAGTGTGAAGGAAGCAGTGAGAAGTGAGATGTGTGAAATGTGGAGTGTGAAGTGTGAAGTTTGGAGTGTGAAGGAAGCAGTGAGAAGTGAGAAGTGTGAAATGTGGAGTGTGAAGTGCGAAGTGAGAAGTGAGAAGTGTGGACTGTGAAGTGTGAAGTGTGAAGTGTGGACTGTGAAGTGTGAAGTGTGAAGTGTGGACTGTGAAGTGTGAAGTGTGCAGTGTGAAGTGTGAAGTTTGGAGTGTGAAGGAAGCAGTGAGAAGTGTGAAATGTGGAGTGTGAAGTGTGAAGTTTGGAGTGTGAAGGAAGCAGTGAGAAGTGAGAAGTGTGAAATGTGGAGTGTGAAGTGTGAAGTGTGAAGTGCGAAGTGAGAAGTGAGAAGTCTGGACTGTGAAGTGTGAAGTGTGAAGTGTGGACTGTGAAGTGTGAAGTGTGAAGTGTGGACTGTGAAGTGTGAAGTGTGCAGTGTGAAGTGTGAAGTGGGAGGTTTGGAGTGTGAAGGAAGCAGTGAGAAGTGAGAAGTGTGGAGTGTGAAGTGTGGAGTGTGAAGTTTGAAGTTTGGAGTGCGAAGAGTGCAGTGTGCAGTGTGCAGTGTGAGGTGTGGAGTGTCGAGGGAAGGACACGGTCGGGACAGGGTGTCTTTGAACTATAGGTCATTTATGTTTGGGAAACTTCCGCCGCCGGCTTGCCCGGGTCTATGTTATTAATGGGATATGACAAATACTGAACTGTTGAATAGTTTCATGGACATTTAAACCAAATGCAAAATCATGGCTTCATGAAAATTGGATTTGGATGTGGCTGAAATGAATCTGCTCCATTTAAGGTGAAAAGTGTGGATATGTATAGTTCATCGGGATAGCATATGGGTTTTTATATTTTATGGGACATATTGCCAACAATATGATGCCCCATGATGTGTCTCTGAAAATGGGGATCTGGGGTATGAGGGGTGGTTCCGGGCCCCCAGTCATCAAGTGGTTCTTCGCCTTTGTGGGAAATATGAAAACCAAATCATCAACTGAGCACATCCAGGCTGGATTTTAAGGGGTGCCAATTGTTTTCATAGAAATATCTAAAAAAAAAAACGTGATGTACCATATCCAAGAAAAAACCTTGTAATGTTTCCATATATAAAGATAATTGTGATCTAGAATTGATATCCCACCATATCCTCATAAAGATCAGAGGAGTATCACCATCATTCACATGAGGATATGGCGGGATATCAATTCTAAACCAACAATTACATCGTAAACTTGATAGATGCTAGCAGCCAAACATGTGAGCAGTGTTCAAAATCCCTCTGTCTTTCTATTATACTGGTTGGTTAAGAACAGGATTCCCCGTTCTTGGATTATTCTAATTCCATAATTCCCAATATAAGGGTAGTATAATTTTTGAACTGATCATCAACCAGGCTTTTGAACACCTTCAGCCTGCTCATGGCAAAAAGATTAGCTAAGTGGGACCCCCGGTTACCATAGCGATAGCGTGGTGAACACCACTCCAATAACTATTGTCCATGATACTAATAATAGTTAGCCTATAACTAATAACTATAGTTGACTATAACTAATAGCTATATGTTATCATCACTCCAACAACTAATAACTATAGTTGATGGGGGTTATACCCAAGCAGACGCATGTAACTGGGGGGGGCCACTGTGCAACCCACCGACCAAACATGTTGATCCAGAAAACGGTCATGAAAAACCCGATGCTACTTGCCCGTCCCAGGAATTGTGGGTGGTTTTCATAACTATGGTAATTATATGTAATCATAAGCCGCGTCTCTATCAAATATCCACTGTTATATAAATATGGAAGTTTCCTGAAATGGGGGTACCCCTAGTTTTCATCCATGTTAGTTGGAATTTCCATGAAATAAACCATCCTACGCGCGCGATTTTGGTACCCCTATGGCTTTTAGGAAACCTCCTGCCATGGCTGCCATGGCTTTTTTTGTATCGTTTTGGGATGATTTCTTCAAAGAAAATGCGAGAAATTCAGGGTCGACCTGTTTTGTTTTGGATAAGTAGCCTCCGGTAAACTAACAGAAAGCCATCGAAAATCATCATTTTTAATATCTAAAGCAGCTATTTCAATAGACCATTTTCAATAGCTTTGTAAGAAATTCCCAGAGGTGTCACCGGCTTAAAGTGATCGACCTGGCGAAAACCTTTATTGGGATGAGTTATACCGCCGTCGACAGGGTATCATGGTGTAACGGTTTGTGTAACGGAAATCCGCTAAAAAAAAAAATGGAGGGAAATCGTCGAACTAAATGGGGAAGTTCCCAGCATAATTGAAATCCATTGAAATCCCCTACTTACCCTCTGGTAAACATACAAAAAGCTATTGAAAATGACCATTTATAGTGAGATTCCCATTAAAAATGGTGATTTTCCATAGTTATGTTAAATTACCAGAGGGTAAATGGAGCTTCATAGCTGGAAAAATCATCGAACTAAATGAAGCTTCATAGCTGGGAAAATCTTGAGGATTTTCCATGGCTGTGATGAAGGACACTCTCACTATGCTTGGAGAAGCGAAAATCAGTGTGGCTCAAAGTGCACTTTTGGCCAATCTTAGATATCCTGTGTTTTTCTTATTTTGGTTGATTAAGAATGTATTTATATATATATATATATCACTATATATATGTGTGTGTTCACATATACATATTCTGTGTATATATGTATATCATATATATATATATGTATATATATATGTATATATATATATATATATATTCGGTCAATGTAATATATAGTGTCTATACATATACATATATATGTATATATATATATATTCGGTCCATCTAAAGTGACAAAAGACTACAGTAAAGTACTAACTTATCCATCCATAATTGGTTGATCCAAATAATACATGCTTCCGTTATATATATATATAAAGAATTACATCCCTATTCTATCACCAATAAAAATACTATAAAAATGCTTAGTCATGGTTAGTCCATATAATTTGAGTACAGTATCCACATATCTAACCATTGTTTCTGATGAATTCCCCATAAAAATCCTTGGTCCTTGGCCCCAAACCTTGCGAAAAAGTGTCCCTTTTTCCACTTGGAGGTGTCTCAAAATATGGCTACCCCAAACCATTGGGTTTATTGGTTTTCCTATTTCGTGGTTCATCCCACTTAGGTGAGTTCACCCGAAAGAGTCTCCGCCTATGCGGTGAAGAAGACTCTTTCAGCCTCGCTGTGGCTGATCGTCATCGATATGATATCCCATATATATATATACATACATACTAATACACGAATGCGTACTAATATGTATATTATATATTGTATATAATATGTGAATATAATATATATGTGAATATAATATATTATATTATGTTATATTATATTATATTATACTATATTATATTATGTTATATTATATTACATTATATTATATGATATTATATTATATTATATTATATATTATATTATATATTATATTATATATATATCCTAGTGATGCCTAGTGCCTGGCAAAAAGAATGCAACATCTTATCAACCATCCATTCGGTTGACCCAGTGTTTTTCCTGAGTAGAACGGCAGGGACTGATTGCATATTGGTGGGTAGATCATGGTATTTCATGCTTGTTGCTAGTAGACACTCCATAAATCACCTTCTTTGATGCTTCGAACAAGTTGTGATGGTTTTAAACCAATCTTGTACCATAACTTACATACATCATGTGACACCTATGGAAAAAGCAAGATCAACAAGTCACACACTTCTTCCAAGCCCCCATTTGGGGCGCCGTTTGCCGCTACCTTTAGCTTCCACTTACTGCCCCGTTTGGACATGTCCAGATCCTGGGCAACTGGTATCATTTACAAAACTTCACCAAGAAACCATTGTTCTTCATGTTTGACCTGCCCTTTTTTGCTTTTCTTCTTAATATTTGGACTAATTTGGACACACATGTGGTTCATCCTCTGCTCTTTGAGCATCTATCTATTGTCATTGATTCATCTTTTGGAAGGTTGAATTGTGGAACTGGGATTGTTGGCTCTATTCATTCCTAAAGGGTGGTTTGAAAGACGGCTGGCTGAACTTTCCTCTAAAACTAGCCGATTCTCAGAATATTTTATTATTAGTCTCGGAGGTAAATTTCCAACTTGTCTTGCTGACCTCGTGGTAAATTTATGTAAATCCACCGTTTTCATGTTCTTGGTGCTTCATCTCACTTAGTAGGTTGGTTCACCATGGTGATTTCAATAGGCGTGAAAAAATAGCCCCATGAAAAGACCAAGAACTAATCCACGGAAACCATTCCTGGCTAGTTCACCCAGTGAAAACCATCCAAATATATATATATATACTATAGATATATCTACCATAAAACCCAGTTAAGTTACGTTTCTTCACCACCAAAATGGGTAACTCCAAGTAGGAACTGCCCGCCCACTCCATGGTTTACTGGTCCACTTGGGGATGGGAAATCAACATAGTGAAAAACCCTGGCAGATAGCTCGGGGTTGGAAGATTCGTTTCCAATAAGACCGGGCAATTTTAGGGGTCCAACTGTGAATTTACCAGAGGGTATATGGGATTTATATGGGATTAAAGAGTTGCTTTGAGTTCTAAGTCGACAAAAACCTACCAAAAGAGGGGGCACATAAAATTTACCAGAGGGTATACACCATAAACCCCATTTTTATCTATAGTTACTTAGTTAGATGAAATATGTATAAATCTACCTGTTTATATACCATCTAACTATACAATGTGGGGCCACCCAGTTATGTTTGTTGGTTTATAAGCCCCAGTAATAACTATAGTTATAAGTACCAGAAACCATAGTTATTGGAGTTATGTGAACCCCAACTTAGCTATCGAACGGGAGCCCCACTTTGTAGATATTTACCCTCTGGTAAACTAACATAACTATGGAAAGATCCACCCATTTTCTAGCTGGGTAAATTCACTATTTCTATGGCCATTTTCAATAGCTATGTTAAATTACCGGAGCGTATATCCCATTCATAATCCATTAAATCACATGTTGAAGTCCCATTAATTCACATTTTGAAGTCCAATTAAATCACATTTTGAAGTCCCATTATGTTAGTTTACTGCTCATGGTATATGAAAAATCACCATTTTCTAGCTGGGTAAATCCACTATTTCGACTGGGCCATGGCTTCAATGTCGCTTTTTGTATGTTTACCAAAGGGTAAAATATTTACCCATGCCGTATGTTGTTGGCGAAATCCCCCCCCATTGGGCCCGTCCAGCCTCTGACGCGAAGCGCAAGCGTCGTTCACCTGGCGATGAAATGTCTAAAAAAAGTCCTTCTTTAGGGGGGAGCACAATGGCTTTGTAATGAGCTCAATCATGGTACATCTGGTTTATAGTAATTATTTAATAGTGGATTCATAATGGGTTTATAATGGATCTTGAGGTAAACTTGGTTGAGAATGGGTTTTAGCATGGGTTTGTAGCGGGAAAATCATCTATAAATGGGGATAAAATGGGATGCTGTGGGTAAATATCGTTTTCTTCGCCAAAAGAGCCAAAACATGGAAAAGTAAAGACTAGACAGAATGGTGGCAAAGAATAACGACAAACTGCCAACTGCATCTCGGTTTTGCGGGGTCGCCATAGTTCACTATAAGAAAAACATCAGTAATGTAACACAGGAGCATCAAAGGTGCTGTTGCCATCAACAACTGGTTGGTGGTTTCCAACCCCTCTAAAAAATATTAGTCAGATTGGATCATCATCCCAACTATTGGGGAAAATAAAAAAATGTTCCAAACCACCAATCAGAAAACTATGTTTGAAGCATCACAAATTATCAACAAAAACAGTCAAAAATTGGATCTACCTCTGGTCTTACAAGGTGGTCCCAGCGATTTTTTTTGGGGTTTAAACAGCCCAACCCAACTTAACGAATTTGATATATCTATAACTAGTTATACACTCCATTAACTATGTATATATATATATACACACACTACATATATATATATATATACACTACATATATATATATATATGGGTAAATTATCATATTCCACTAACCTGAATTGTTCGGCCATTTGGGGATGATTTCCCTAAAATAAATCATGATTCCCGGGCTCGGTCACAGGGAGGTCGTTATAATTTATCCACTAACCTAACGAACTGGGCACGGGGGCATCACAGTTAAACTTTCTATCCACAGAAAGTTTATCACTTCAAGAACAGTTCTTGAAAAATCAACGGCCAACAACGGGACCAACTGAAACATCTCCGACTCAAAAAGATATATTATGATATACGTTTAAACTGATATGGCCCAACTAACAGTTATGATAAATGGAAAACAACTCCTATAACCAGTTGGTTATATATCATGAAATAAGCCATGTTTAAAAAAAAACACTTCCATTATCAAATGGTTTTCACAAGGGGAAAATCAATTTATCCATGTTACAATTATATAACTATAGATATACTATATATATATATCCATTTGTCCATTTATCCATATATGGATCATTTTTCCACTTGTCCATTTGTCCATATGGTTACCAATAACCTTATCAATAACTGTAGATATGTTGTAACTAGTGCTCAGGTTCAGCCAATCCTTACTTTACAAAGCTGCGCTCTGAAGAAAGTTTGTTCAAATCAATGACATTACGTTATGTCATTGAAGAAACATGGCAATCAATGACATGACCATTGATTTCCTCCATATATCAATTTATCCATATATAAATGATTATATATCAATGACTAACCATTTTGATTATATAATATAGCTATTGACATACCAAACTATTGGTTATATAATAATAACTGTACTTGGTGGTTCATCCCACTAATCGTAAGTAGGTTATAACCCTGGTGAATTCAATGGGATAAGTAGGGGCAATGCCGTCGGCACCTTGCAGGGCTTTCGACCCCGGGTGCTTTGCCTGATGTGTTCGGCGCGTTGGCGGTACGTTTTGAAAGCTGGGAAAACATGGATGGAAAAGCCAGAGAAATGGTGGATTTTCATGGAGATTAATGGGATTTAATGGCTGGTTGGTGGTATACCTATCCCTCTGAAAAATGATGGAGTTCGTCAGTTGGGATCATGAAATTCCCAATATATATGGAAAAATAAAATTCACGTTCCAAACCACCAACCAGAATGGGAGTTCATGGGATTGAATTGTAATGAACCCCCTGTGCCTCCAAACGTGATGTCTATTGGTTTAGATTCACCCCATGAATACTATAACTACAAGATCTATAAGTATCATATCATAAACCATAGTGAAATTGGAGTTATGTTCACCAACTTAGCTGTGTAGGGGGCCCCACATAGTTTAAGTAGGGTTTATGGTAAGGAAATAGCTATACGGTAATTAGATCTAAATATACGGATTTTCAAATATACGAACTGGTATTTTAGACTACCTCCGGGAAGGCTTTCCTTGGCCCGCCCAGCCATTTAGACATACGGAATCCAATTTATTTAAATACACATTTAAATATACGGATGGAACTGGTGTTTCATACTCCGGGGCCTTGGGCCCGCCCTCCACATATTTCAATGTCGTTACTGTACTTAGATGGGTGGTCAATAAGACCAATTTCTAGCTTCGCTTTTGGGGCACAACCTTGTGAAAGCCATATCAATAAAATTTGTGGGGGGATGAACATCCATAAATCATCATAAATCCAAGCTGTTTTAGGGAGAACAGAAGGTATACCATGGTTTTGACTTCGTCAAGTCTGATTTGCACGAAAAAAATCTGGGATGGTCGTCCCGGCGCAGAATTGACTCACCAAGAAAGTGAACACACCAACCAACCAAAAAGAACAACAAATGGATTGTTGACAAAATACATACAAAACTGGTTGGTGGTTGACCTACCCCTCTGAAAAATATGAAAGTCAAATGGAATAATTTATTCCCAACTGAATGGAAAAATAAAAAATGTTCCAAACCACCAACCAGAAAAAATGATAATTCACTTAAACCAAGCCCCCCAATGGCAAATTTACGATTTCCCCCATGTGAACCATCTGGTGTCATTTTTTTCATGGCATGCTGGAAAATCCTCCAATGATATTACAGTATACCCTCTGGTTATTTAACATAGCCATGGAAAATTGCCCATTTATAGATGGTTTACCTATTCAAAATGGTTATTTTCCATGGCTATGTTAAATAACCAGATGGTAGCTTATTTTCCCAGCTATAAACACCATCAAAACATATTCATCGAGGATTTTCCCAACAATGTTTGATGACACCAGAGGCTCATCATTCCGATGCAATGTCGTCCTTGGCGGGGATCTGAGAACTGAATGTTGCTACATCTGTTGTTATATGGAGTTTTCTTTGTTCTTAAAATAGGGGATGCCCAAAACCAAACGTTTCAATACTAAAATGGTCTAATTTATAGATGATTTAAAATGGTATTAATGGTATACCAAATGGTATTAATGGTATAAAATGGTAATTTATTGAAACTAATACCTTGTAATTTATGGTATTTTAGAAAACCTCCGTTGTTTGACTTTGAGTTTGGAGCTCGCCCGTCTGTCTTTGGAGGTCGCCTATGAGTAGCACTCGAAGGAGTTGCTCATCTTCTAAGGTCGCGTCAAAAACCAACTTGCCATTACAAGACTTACCCTCAGGTAAAAGTTTACATAACTAAATGGGTAAATCCACTATAAATGGCCATGTTCAATAGCTTTTTGTATGTTTACCAGAGGGTACAAATCCACGTTTTTCTTCGTTGAAGCACCATGTGTCCTGCTTAAATCCCCTCTTTTCCCAACTCCCAATTTGTCTCCCACTGAAAAATCACCAATGTTCCCACGGAAATCTCCAAATTTTCGCCCGTAAAAACACGAGTTCCCAGCTGCCCTTTCGTAATTTAACATAGCTATGGACAATGATCCATTTATTTATTTATTTAATTATATATATATGTGTGTGATTGACCTTTAGCAACTGGTGATTTTCCACAGTTATGTTAGTTTACTGGAGGATATAAAGTCCCATCAAATCCCATATAATCCCCATCTAATTCCTCACAATCCCCGTATCATTCCATTAAGTCCCATTACTTATTGGTGCTTGGTAGGGAATAGGTGAATGGGATGTTTCTTAATAGTTATGGATTAGATCATTCCCCTATTCCCTGCTAAGCACTAGATGATGTTCGTTGAATTCCATTAAATCTCATATATATATATATGAGATTGTCCCATATAATTCCCATATAATCTATAATTAATCCCCATATCATTCCCCATATAATCCCAATATCATTCCATAAAATCCCCATATTTTGAGGCGTAAATTCCACGAGATTCCCAGTCTTAAGTCTGGCTGGATCCGCCTTCAGAGCACTGGGCAACGCTCGCCGGGCTTCGGCTTCTCCTTGGCGAAGCCGAACGTGAAGAAACCGTTCGGAACATCGCGGTTTGTTTGTTGAAATCATGGGCAAACGGTTCGGCGAACGATGGAGTTTTGTCAATATACGGATTTTTGGTAGATCATGATATATATATACCGACTTCATGGATCTGAATTTCTGAATGGGAGTTTTGAGAGACATCGTTTATAAACCAATGGCTTTATTAAGCCCCAGCCATCAGCCATTTTGATCGGCAAAAAGTGATGATATTGATACTCGGAATTGGTGTTGCCAGGTGAGAGCCCCGTGGTAGCGCCAAGTTGACGCACATAACTTGAGCTTAGCGAATGGTTTTTGGGGATGTAACTATAGCTAATGGCGGTTATAAACGAACTTACAACGAGCCTGTGCTATTGAGGATCCTTTGCAATAGTAAAACCAGCCCCAAAATTGTTATTTGTTGGTAAACGTTGGTTGCTATCATTGTTACAGTAGAGGGTTTGGTTTTTTTTAAATGTATACCAAGCTATCCAAGCTACATACGTTGATGTAGCCAGGAGAACCACAGGTATCAGCTGCAAAATGGTGTTTTTCAGTAAGCGATTCATCGCTGTTTTGTTGGTTCCAATAACTACCCTCTGGTAAACTAAAATAGCTATTGAAAATTGTCATTTATCGTTGACTTACCCATTAAAAAAATGTGATTTTTCCATAGTTTTGTTAGTTTACCAGAGGGTACCATATATTGGTGATGATTTCACTGGCCATTGATGGTTAATAGTGGTTAATAATGGTTAATTAGTTGTGGTTAATAGTGGTTCATGATGGATAATCATTCTTTTTTTTTATCACAGGCCATCTCAGGAACCGATCTCAGAACTGTTCGGTTTATGGTACAATGTGAGGCCCCCTAGACCCTAGATAGCTAAAATTGGTTTACAACTCCAATAACTATGGTTTATGGTACTTATAACTATGGTTACTGGGGCTTATAAACCAACTTATAACTGGGGGGGCCCACATTGTAGATATATCGTGATATATCATGTTCTAGTGATTTATCATCATTCTCCAGTGATTTATCGATAAATTTATGGTGCCTATATGCTCCATGATGCTATATGTCCCTGCCAACCTGGGTAGGAAGGGAAAATGATGCTAAATATTCCAGCACCGAGCATATTATCTTTGGGGATTGCTAAAATCCCTGATTATATAGATATATACATATAATTATATATATATATATGTATTACATATTAATTATATATATTACATGTTTTTATATAAAATATGTTATATATATTATATCATATCGATATCATATCATATATATATGCATATTATATTATATTATGTTATATTATATTATATTATATTTTATTATATTATATTATTATATTATATTATATTATATTCTATTATATTATATTATATTATTATATCATATTATATTATAATATATCATATTATATTGTATTGTATTATATTATATATCATATCATATCATATCATATTATATTATAGTATATTATATGTACTATATTATATCAAATATATACTAGTGTATGTGTAATTATTATTATTATACGTATGTATATACATACATATTACTATATATATATTACTATATATATACTACTATATATATATTACTATATATATTACTATATATATATATTACTATATATATATATATTACTATATATATATATATTACTATATATATATTACTATATATATTACTATATATATATTACTATATATACATTACTATATATATATATTACTATATATACATTACTATATATAGTATATTTGATATATTGTATTATATGTAGTTTACTCTTTATATATATATATATTATACTATATATACACTGTCTACATATATATATATATAACTATTGTATCTAATTTAAATATATATATATATATATAATTACTGTGTTTAATTTATATAATATATATATATATGTATCCCCATTACATCAGAATTGCGGTTATTTTGTTACCCCAGGTTTGTGGCTTGTCCCTTAGATCCTTTATAATTTATATTTGAGGGTTGCAGTGAGAACTGACCCCATGAACTACTTTAATATCTATCATGGACCCAACAGTTATGTGGGGTTTCCATAAATGGGGATACCCCCATAGCTAGATGGTTTATTTCATGGAAAATACCATCTAGAAATGGATGAGAACTAGGGATATCCCCATTTCAGGAAACCTCCATGTTATTTATTTCAAACAACAAAACGACTCAGAACGTTATATTATAAAATGTTACAGCTTCATTGACAACCCAACTCTCGCTATGATCATTAGCATAGACTGTGTCAAAACCTGTTTTCCAAACCTTTTCCTTACCAAAATCTGGGGAGCTTTCCTTTTCGTCATGGAATCCCAGTCGTCACCAATAAGTTTCAATACCAGTCGCTAATTTGGGGGGATCGGGGGATCCCTAAGTGGAAACCCCCAACGTTTCCTCACAACGGAGTCGCATCATGGGCCATGGGGTCACCCAGCTGCAGAGCCAAGCAACGGCTCTTCAACAAATCTTCAGCCGCTTGACGCTCGTGGTCGTCTGAGATGTGGAAACGTGCCGGTTGATGAGCTATGTTGATGTGTGTTTTTGTTTTTTGCCGGGGCAAATCTATTTAAGTTCCATGACCAAAAAAACTGAAAAGGAAAAAAAACATATTTGGTGGTGTTCACTTTTGCTCGTTTATATGGATATGATGAAATTGTGTAGCGATTTGATGGGGATATACATGGATATAATGGAAGACTACCATCAAGATCTGCTTAACTGACTTAAGTCTCAAAAGTGGAGCATAATCCCATGCCACAGTTCCAGTTTGGGGGTGTTCGATGGTGGAAAATCACCCTGTGCAGATGATCTGTGAATATCAAAAAACCACAATTATTATATTGTTCATATTGATTTCTTCATATTTCTTCAAAAACCAAGAATTCTACCCTCTGGTAAACATACAAAAAGCTATTGAAAATGGCCCGTTTAGTTCGTTGATTTACCTATTAAAAATGGTGGATCTTTCCATGGTTTTTTGTATGTTTACCAGAGGGTATAATCCTTAATATTCTCCTTTTTTACAGCATCTGGTTGGTGATGTTAGCCATCTTAATATCAATGTGAAGGATGACATCCCATATATGAAATGGACAATAATCCAAATGTTTGAAACCACCAACCAGTTGTGATATACGATTTATAATGGTGATTTTTCTGAATCCCTAGTAAATCCCCATTAAATCCCATTAAATCCCTATTAATCACCATTAATCACCATTAGTTAGCATTAACCATTAGAAAAAAACCAACCAGCAAATCCCATTAAATCCCAAAAAAAATGGTTGTTTGAAACCAGCATCACCATCATATTCCTGTTGTTGGTGTATAGCCTATGAAAACCACCTATGAAAACCATCACTACAAAAACCAACCGGATCCAACATCCACAAGCTGGTGCCCAGTTATGTTTATTGGTTTATAATCCCATTACCCTCTGGTAAACATACAAATTGCTATTGAACATGGCCATAGAAATAGTGGATTTACCCATTAAAATCAGTGATTTTCCATAGCTATGTTAGTTTACCAGAGGGTAACTATAGATATATAACCAACAAAAACCATAGTTATTGGAGTTATAAACTGGGGCACCACCTTGCAATTTCCACGCGCGTCTAACGCCGCCACGCTGCGGACACCATAGGCGCGCGCCAGCAACACGGAGCCGCGGAGTTTCACCAGATCAGCGCCTCGTCCCGGTCTCTGCGTCCCGTGTCGTCATGTCATCCATGGTAGGTGTTACTTATGGGTTGAGGTATGGGTTAATGTCAATGGGATTTACATAGGGTTTAATGGGATTTAATGGGATTTTATGAGATTTAATGGGATTCAATGGGACTTACATATATCTGAATGGGTTAATGTATGATTTCAATGGGAAGATGATGGATGATGATGGGAATATACTGGCAAAATCATGGATAAATGGTGATTTAATGGGTTTTAATGGTGATTTAATGGTGATTGAATGGGATTTAATGGGATTTAATGGGATATACCCTCCAGTAAATTAACAGTTCGACCCTGGCAGTTGTTGGGGTTGGAAGACTAGTGAAACCATTAAAAATTGGCTATTTTCAGGGTCTATGTTTATTTACCAGAGGGTCATGTATGGGTTAATGTATGGGTTAATGTATGGGTTAATGTATGGGTCAATGTATGGGTTAATGTATGGGTTAATGTATGGGTTAATGTATGGGTGAATAATGTATGTTAATGTAGGTTAATGAAGGTTAATGTCATGATCCACCTGAGTAGGTTACCATGGGTTAATGGTAAGTACTTACCAAATGAATCAAACCATTTATGTGTGTTAAGATCAAGTAAGTGGTTACCATGGGTTAATGTATGTGATATTATTTACTTAATATGCGAGCCCACTGGTTTAACCATGGGTTAATGTCAATGTTACTTTTCATGGCGTGGCAAAGCAGCAATATGTGGATTGATGCTTCATTTGCCATTGTAAAAGTGGGATAGTATTGGGATAAGCCACTTGGGGGACTAACCAGGCATAGGACAAATATGGTGATAACATGTGATAACTAAACTAAGCAGCAAAAATAGGGATTTCATCGGGATTGATATGGATTTGGACCTGAGTCGTGATACCCTCCGGTAATCAAACATGGCAATGGAAAAAACACTGTTTATAGGTGATGTTCCTATTGAAACCCCCATTTCTAGTGGATTTCCAATTGCCACGTTTGATTACCGGAGGGTAACTAAGTTCGATGCTATTGTGAGGTATTGTGGGGCCGTGGTAGCGATAGCTGAGTTATATGCCTTATACCTGGCGGGCCCCACATTGTAGTATTCGTGGGGGTTATAGACCAACAAACATACCTGCCCAAATTGAATGGTATAACGGGGATACAAATGGATCTAAATGGTGACATGTTAAGGGACATTTAAATCTTGGTATGCATGGGGTATCTAAATGGGATATCTTGATCGTACATGATAGAACTGCTTTCCAAATGGGGACATGTTCTGGGATATCTGAATGCGATATTTTCAAAGATAGTTCAAGCGATGTTCTATTGGATTCATGGAAAAACAGCAATTATGGTGGTTCCCCCAAGTGATAAACTGGCGATTTAAACAGCAAAGTGTAGCAAAATTAATGATTGAGGCTTATACCAGCTGCTGAGCCCGTTCGGAATCGCGAGAAGTTTGTTGAGCCTAGAGACAAACCGAAGAGTTCGTTTGATATAGATTTATACTGGTTGGTGGTATACCTACCCCTCTGAAAAATGATGGAGTGAAAGTCAGTTGGGATTATGACATTCCCAATATACGTAAAAATAATCCAAACGTTCCAAACCAACCAGTATAGGATTTCAAGACCAACTTTTTGAAGGGGCACCAGCACCAAAAGGCGGCTCCTCATAGAGTTTTTTTCAACGACCAAAGGAGTCCAGCCATTGGAACAGACCTTTCTGGTATGGGATAAACAGATTTTGAGATGTATGTATGTAGCTGTATGCGCGTGTATGTAAATGAAAGTATATGTATGACGTGATCTGTCTGTAAATGAATGTATATGTATGACATGATCGTTGATGATCGTTTTGTCTGCGTGCAAGTTGTTTTTCGTATGCATGTTTGCATGCATCGGAGCGTTTGTGTGTAAAATGATGCAGCTCTGTCTACAGATTTTCAGGGTACGTATGGTACGCGTGGAAAATTTTGTGTGTTGGGTGAGGTTGGGAAGGGATTGGTTATAAGCAGCACCATGGGGCATATGGGATTGGTAGTATTTGAGCTCTTTTCAATACCCTCTGGTAAACATACAAAAAGCGATTGAACATGGCCATAGAAATAGTGGATTTACCCATTAAAAATGGTGATTTTCCATAGCTTTTTGTATGTTTACCAGAGGGTAATGATACTCGTCAATGGGAATCATCATCCCGAGATGAAACCAACGTTTCAAGCATGCATAGCCTTGGGGAATTCAAAACATTACTGGGAAAATCCGCATCAAATTCTCTATAAATTCAACACAGTACCAAAAGAAACTCCAATGAAAAGATTCACATGTTTATTTAATGTGGTAAACCAAATGCCATAAATTAAGCATCCCCAATTCACCATTTTTATGGGCGGCAGGATGGTTTCAACCGGTCAAAATGAGTGCTTCTGAATGGTCTATATGGACGTTTAATAACAATGATTAAATAAGACACACACGTAAAGTTATCATCAATTATCACAATTATTCTTTTAAAGGGTCTATGGTAGGTACTATATCTCATTCTATGTGATTTAATTATTTCAGATGTTCGTTTTTCCCATGTCCATTCCTGGACCGGGCCAGTGTTTATTCCACTTCCCCGAAGCCAGCCTTGGTGTGCCACTAAACGCTGAAGGACCTGACCGTTCAACTGCACAAGGCTTGGGATTGGGGATTTTGAACACACAGGATGGTCCCCCCCAGTGATGTGAACGTTGGTTTATCCCATGAATACTATAGTTATATCTACCATAAAGCATAGTTAGATCTACCATAAACCATAGTTATATCTACCATAAACCATAGAATTCAGCCACTAATCAGACAACTGAACGCTATCGACTGGGGGCCCCATCCTGCATCTGCATCTGCTGGAGATTATATCCCCTTCTCTGTTGGGTGCTGAGAAAAAAATAGTACATTTGCTAAAGCCCTGTTCAAACATGCTGGATGTCACGAGGATTCAACAAGAATGGTTATTACCATGTGATTATCTGGTTGGTGGTTTTAACCATCTTGAAAAATATGAGTTCGTCAATGGGAAGGATTATCCCATATATTATGGAAAAATAAAAATGCACTAGTTCATCCCGATATCTTTGCTGCTTAACCCCCATAACTCGTTGCTTTGGTACTTCCTCCATGGAAGCTCATGTAAACATCAGCAGCTTTAACCAATAGACCATAATGTAAAAGAAATCACCATTGATAAATAAAACCCTATTCACTATGATTCATCCCATTTAATAAGTGGAAGTGGTTAAAAACCCTGGTTAGTAAGTCCCTAAGTGGATCACTCTAAATTCACCAAATATCAATCACTATTCATCACCATCAATCACTACTAATTATTATAATTATGTATATATATATAATAATAGTCAATATTGAGTTTTATGAAAATCACCATGAATCACTCCTAATCACCCATATTCACCAGGTATTCATCACTAGTAATCACTATTTCAATCAGTACCTTCTCACCTCTGATCTCTATCAATCCCTATCAATAGGTCACTAGCAAACACAAAAAACCCTCTGGTAAACATATAGAAAACTATGGAAGATCACCGTTTTTAATGGGTAAATCAACTATTTCAATGGCCATTTTCAATAGCTTTTTGTATGTTTACCAGAGGGTAATCATTACACCAGTCCCTTTGATTAATCACTAGTCCCTTCCGACCCCCGTAGATTAATCAAACACCGCGTAGAAACGATGGTTTTTTGTTGGGGTAAACTCCACACAATTGGGACCATTTATGACCATTTAGGGAGCTGTTTCATATTGGGGTGGGCTTTTTATTGGTTGTATGTAGAGGAATACTAGATAGTCATTGCACACTCCATGTAATCGATGTAATCACTAGTAAGTGTTACTAAGCATTATTAATCACTCTTGATCACTATAGTAATAATTATATCATCCATATGCTATTAATGGCGTATAACCCTACTATTAATCATTATCAAACACTACTAATTACTATTAAACACTATGTTCATTCTTCATCGCTCTTAATCACAATATCAATCACTAAAACAAATCCCCAGTAATCATTATTCATCACTCATCAGATCAATATATCAATCACTATTAAGTGATATTAAGTGGCTTATTTGTTTATTATTAATCACTATAAACATCTACAAACCATCCAGCGATAAAGGGGTACTCCCATGACTATGGAAACCTCTTATGGATTCAGGGGATCAATCACTACTAAGATGCCATTACTGCTTGACACTAGATCCCATCATTACTACACTAATCCCCATACTTATCATTGTTAATTTACCAGAGGGTAATAACTATGATATCAATCACGAAATCCCCAGTAATCCTTATTCATCACTCATCAGATCACTATATCAATCACTATTAAGTGATATGAAAAGTGGCTTATAATCATTATAACCCACTATTAATCACTACGATATCAATCACGAACTCCCCATCAAAAGTGGCCTCCTTGGCGTGGCTTCGCCGCAGTTCCAGCCGCTGCTGCAGCACTGCTCTCGCGAAGCGCAGCTCCGACAACTCCACGCCCGCCACCTCCGGCGAGGGTTTTGTTCGAGCGACTCCGAAACGGAAAGGGACGAACATCACGGGGAAAACCTGGGCAAAACTTGGGAAAATGCAGGAAAAACCTGCGAAAATGCTGGAAAAACCTCGAAAATTGGAAAATGATTGGAAGTTTGAAAAATGATGGGGAAAAGGGTGGAACTAGTGGAAAAATCGTTGGAAAGTCATAGGAAGTGGATGAACAATGCTGGAATCTGAAAGGATGGTGGACAATTGTTGGGGAACTGATGATTGCTGGAACTAGTTGAACGATTGTTGGAAAACAAGGGAAATAGTTGGAATATGTTGGAACATGTTGGGAAAGTGGTGGAAGAAGTTGTTTTTCAACGGCATTTTTAAGTGATGTTTGCCTAAGCATTTCATTCCAGTGGCCTATGATTTCGATCTGTGGAAATATCAAGTGGCCAGTGGCCACATCTCATCAGTTTCCAATGTTGCCTGATGAAAATTTTCAATAAAAACATGCAGAAGATTCAAATGATGAAGCCATTCTGGCAAAAAACAATCATAAGGACAAAGTATATCATACAGTAGCCTCCGGTAATCAAACATGGCTGGGAAAAGCCCCAGCCAGACACGGCTTTTTTGGTGGATGTTCCAGCTACATTTGATCACCGGAGGGCCTACCCCTCTGAAAAATGAGTTCGTCAGTTGGGATGATGAAATTCCCAATATGGAAAAATAATCCAAATGTTCCAAACCACCAACCAGATACCATAGTATACTAGAATACTACTATTGACTACTATCTTCTATGTAATTACTAAGGGTAGCATACTACCACACGATTCTAGTATACCATACTATAGCAGAATTCTATGTAATTCTCATCCCACTTAGCAAGTCATGGGCTATGTAGGGGCAATGTTCACTTTTTACTGGGCTGAACTAAGCTACTTACCAATTGGGTAGTTCACCACCAAGTAGACTATTTTTCTTGATATCTATTGACTTGTTGCCATAAATGATGATAACATATATACATATATATATATACATATATATATATAGAGTATATATAGTATATATATAGTATATGTAGTATATATAGTATATATAGTATATATTACAATTCCATACAGTATAGACAGACTATACTACATATATATATATATGCTGTAGACACTAATTCTATACATATATATATATATACATATGTATGGTCTACATCATATAGTCTACACTATAATTATCGTATACGTACATCATACATGTCATATAGTTTATGTTCATATGGACTTTTATACTATATAGACTATAACAACACTATATTACACTATATTACTATATATATACACAATAACTACATCATATATTACTATAGGACAATAGATAACTAATGTGACATGGGATATATATATATATATGATAATATATATAATTATATATAAAACTACACTATAATTCTATCCTACATTACCATTGCGCCCATGAAGACCAGCGTTTCCACAGGCACCTCTGCTGCACGGATGGCGGCAGGTAACGCGTCGACATCGTCTGCCTCCAGGTGGTGACTGTGGTACCGTGCCGCTGCAAGACATGCAATGTGGGGCCCCCCAGTTACCCTCTGGTAATTTAACATAGCTATGGAAAATCACCATTTATAGTGGATTTTCCCATGAAAAATGGTGATTTTCCATAGTTATGTTAGTTTACCAGAGGGTATGTTTGTTGATAAAAAAACAGTAACTACAGTAGTGCGTTATTTGCGTACCATAAACCAGTTCGTGAAATTGGAGTGATTAGTTCACCCCAACTTAGCGATTTCGTGGCGGAGGGCCCCACTTTGTGGGTCGCTTTAACATGGGGATCTATAGCAGCACCTGGAAAGGATCAATTTTTGCTGGATTTTTCCAGCTTTAGCGATCACCTGATGTCACGGAAACCATAAAAAATGTCGAGTTCTCGAAATCATGTATGTCAACTATAATAATAGTCGTGCTACAAAAAAAAAGAATATGCATGAAGTTGAAATATGACATTTTATTAAACTCGTTCTTTTTACTCACCACCGCAGCACTCTGATTTTTTGACCCCTTTTTCTTGGCTATGTAATTACTCAGGATGCAAGTCTGGGGTTCCACATGTTGACATTCAGACTCTCACAGCAAGTCGCGATCTATGTCACCAACAAGTACAAGTCTGGTTGGCGGTTTTAACCATCTTGAAAAATATGAGTTCGTCAATGGGAAGGATTATCCCATATATGAAATGGAAAATAATCCAAATGTTTGAAACCACCAACCAGAAAAGCGACATAGAAAATGGCCCAGTCGAAATAGTTGATTTACCCATTGATAGCATGGTGGATCTTTCCATAGTTGTTTGTAAACGTTTACCAGAATTTGCTTCACCAGCTCGAGTTGTTGGCTGTGGAAAAGCACCAAACTCAGGATCTTCGGGGGGCGCACCCGGCGCACCCGGCAAGTCCCGACCGGGCGAGATATTGGTGGCGTACCCATTCAATGGGACCCTAAAATTGGTGGAAAACACCAACAATAACTTATGGTTTATCGTAGTTATACGATAATCATGGGGTATATAATAGATAACCTAGGATGGGACTATAGTACATCCACAATTCGCAATTTTGGTGTGCACCAAAGTAGCGTAACCTGGCCTGGAAAATCAAAAAAAGCACTTTCATTGGATGTACTTTTCCCCTTAAAAACACCCGTAGAAACTACGCCCATGTGAAAACCTCCAAACGATAGACCTACGGTTTTAATCTTTAATTTCTAATGTGTAGTTGTGATTTTAAAAAAATCCCTAGGGATTAACCAACCCCACGTCGGAAACATCTTTGGGCAATCATTTTCTGGTTGGTGGTTTCAACCCTCTGAAAAATATTAGTCAATGGGAAGGATTATCCCATATATTCTGGAAAATAAAAAATATTTGAAACCACCAACCAGTTTTCTATGTTTTAGTCGAAAAAACATTCAGGAATATTCAGGATATCGCTGATCGAGATTCTGCAGATCCAGATGATATCTTTGATGAAGCCATCTGGTTATGACTAACAGTTCGCCATGGAAAATCCCTGAACTAGCCATGGAGGTTTCTAGCTTTGAAAATCATCTATTTCTATGGGCCTTGGCTTCCATGGCTATGTTAAATAGCCAGAGGGTATATCCAAAACCCACATGAAATTATATCCAAAACCCACAAATGATACTAAACTCCCCTCTGAATGGGACTGCAAATCCCTAGATAAAACATGAATTTTAACCTATCATCCCATCTACCGCATATGAAAAACACCCCTTACTAATGTTAGCAATGATGTTTTAGATCCCATATTAAACCATGGTTTCTTAGGGCTGTTCTAAACATAGGTCTACATGAGTCTACGTGATTTGCCCAACTAATAGACTTACTCAAAACAAAGCGCTAAAACCCATCGTAAATTTCCGGCTGAGTAAAGCCCCAGCCAAATAATAGATATGATAGCCATTAGCCTACGGTAATCAAGCATTGCAATGTTTTTTTTCATGGAAACATCCAGTACTTGGTGGTTCATCCTGGTTAGTAAGTAGGTTATAATCCTGGTTATAAATGGGCTAAGTAGGGTTAATCCACTTATGACTGGGGTTATAACCCACTTACTAACTGGGATGGACCACCAAGTAGTCTTTCCATGAAAAAAACAATTGATCATCGTCAATAGCGCCTCAACCACTTCCTGCAATTTGCGAAGCTCGCTCAGACCTGTCGAGCTTCGTTGCTTCGTCATGGCATGAGGGATAACGATGTTTAATTATATACAACGTGAGGCCCCCTAGATAGCTAAAATTGGTTTATAACTCCAATAACTATGGTTTATGGTACTTATAACTATAGTTACTGGGGCTTATAAACCAACTTATAACTGGGGGGCCCCACATTGTAGGAAACATGATCGATAAAATGATTCATTCATGGCATGTCTATGGAAAATGATGGAACATGATGACATGATGATAAGCTTATTTTGAGACAAACCCAAACACCTGGATAACAAACCCACAGGATGAATCATTGTATATGTGTTCCACCAATTAGTGACAATATAACTGGAATCATGTGTTTCTAAACTATGGTTATAGTAGTATGTCCCTTCTGCTTCCATGTATGGTATATCCAGCCAAGAAAAAAGCTTCATATGTTGGCTCATTTGTCAATGTCAATGTGTGTCAGGCCCTCACCACACATGGAGGATGGCTCTTTTTTGTCCAGAAATCATTTCTTAGGGATTTAGGGAGGCTCAAGAAACGAAAACTTTTCAAAGTTTGTTCAGTTTGTTTAGTTTGGTTTATCCCAGGATATACCAATTTTAACAATTAAATCACAGGAGCCATGAAAAATATGGATATACCATGAATGTGGATGATCTATGATCTCTGGTTGGTGGTATACCTACCCCTCTGAAAAATATGAGTTCGTCAGTTGTGATCATGACATTCCCAATCTATGGAAAAATAATCCAAATGTTCCAAACCACCAACCAGGTGTGGTTTGAAAGTGGTGTACCCCCCATTCCAACAGATTCAAAATGATTAAACATCCTGTTCATTCATATGTTCCTTAGTAAATGGCACTGTTTTTGTCATTGTTGGTCCTTGGGAACCGAAAAAAATTGGCCATGTTGTTTGAAAAAATTGGCCATGCGGGCTCTTTTTTTCGATCTTCCGGGGCGCTGCAGATCCCATCGCTATCTTTCATAAAACCATTGATATCCCGAGCATCGCGTACGGTGAATGGTTGAGAAATCCGAATCACCAGTTGAAAACGGTGGTTTTTTTACCATCTGGTTATTTAACAGTTTGCCATAGAAAATCACAATTTTTAATAGGTAAACAATCTATAAATGGGTAATTTTCCATGGCAATGTTAAATAACCAGATGGTACATCCCATGATTTTGTTTGGGCTTTTCTCCCATCCTTTTGGTGATGCAGGATTTCGCTGGCCCATCCACAGGATTTTTTTGTTCACCACCTATCAATATTCTGAGGTGGTACATGGAACCATGCTGCGGCCAGAGCTAAGGCCGACCGTTTCACGTTGTATGCAAACATCACAGCACTTGTGGCGGTGCCACAAAAGTTATGTTTCTTGGTGTATAACACCAAAATACCACGAGGTGGTACCCTAGTTTATCAGCGACCTTGGTTTATAACTAATATCACTAGGGTATATGGTAGATATATCTCGAGTATCGAATGGGGCTTACAAGCCAATAATTGGGGCATCACCTGGCATAGTGTATATATGATATATAAATATACATATATATATATACCAGAAAGCAAACATGAACCTACTTATTTTCTCAGGGAACCCAAGGATGCATGGGCTGTGGAAGAAAAAAATGCCTCTTTCATTTTAGGATCATTTTGTTTGCCTCTGGTAAACATGGCGTGCTAGATGTTATTCCCATTTTCTACAGATTTCCCAGCCATCTTTTTGAGGACACAAAGGAGGGGACCCTGTCGGTTTGGTGCTGAAATGTTGGTGAATAGCCTCCCAGTTTGCTATGTAAAATGGCATCCATGGCCCATGAAAAGTTCGATGATTTACTAAAGATGGTACCACAGCAAACAGTAAAGCTAGAGGCTATCCGAATGAAATTATGATGGTTATATCAATGGTCATTTCAGGAACCGATTTATTGGAGCTACCTACCATATATAAGGCCTATATAAGGCCTATGTAAGGGAATATCCCTACAAAATATGGCCTTATATGGTACAGTACCTCAATTTTAGGATCCTGAATTTCCCATTGATTATACAACAGTTCCAATTTCAGGATGTGTATGCCCATATTGGCTTCAATTCCCGAGGTCCGTAGGTGTGCTTGTAGCTTGTCGTAGGAATGGTACTCCTTTCTTTCCCAGCTTCTGCCCGATGGTCCATCTCCATGGCCAGAGTGACAGCAGTCACTCTTGCCTGCTGGTTCAAGGTGAGATTTCCAGGAGCTGGCCTGTCAATAAGGCCCTTCACGTTCTCCGTGTTGATCTGCATCTTCACCGGCCAGAGAGTCGGCTGCGCGCCTTAGCTTTGCGCTTCGGCCGAGGTGCCTGGCGCACTTGTGCCTTAGGCTTGGCGGCGTCATCACCGCGTGTCGGCCTCATCACCAGTGATACCATGTTTGAAAACGTCGTTTTTTGATTGCTAAATCAAAATCCATGTTATCAAACATATCAAATATACCTGATATATATATATATACATATATATGGTATATTGATATGTTTGATACTATGTTATCAAATCCACTCTGTTTCACTCGTTTTGATTGCTACATCGATGGTGAAATCGTCAATCCTCATGGTACATCACCATTTTTTTGTGATAAATCAACCCATTCTTAGATTTCTTTCACCGATGACCGAGAACTCAGCAAAAACGCCTGCTTTAGGGCCTTCTTGGTCCAACTGCGCCTGCGGGTGAACAAGGGCCAGCAGAATATTTATATGTATCATATTATTTATATATATATAATTATATATATATATCATATGTATATATATATATATATCATATATATATATTAATATACGTATGTATATATATATATATATATTATGCATTGAAATCTGATATGTTCTATCATGACCAACTTTAGATCTCCAAAGCTTGGCCCGGCTGGAAAATCATCGAACAAAACGACGTGGGATTTTCTCGCCGAACGTTGACCGGAGGGCCCCGAGGGCCCCGAGGGCCCCGGAGGTATGATGTATGGTAGTTGCAACCCCAGTTCAAGTATACTGGTTGGTGGGGGCCATTTATTAATCCAGGGTTGACATTATATTATAAACCATTCATCTTTCACACTTTGGAAATTACCTATAGGAATATGTCGGAAACACATGGATTTCTACATATTATAATATGAATTTACTGGGATTTTTGGTTGGTTTAGGATGGTCTAATGGGGGTTTTCATACGTGTTACATGGGCAAAACTTAAAAAAAATGCTTGATTTACATAGCCATTGATTGATGATGAACATATATTCTGGTTGGTGGTTTCAAACATTTTTTATTTTTCCATATATTGGGAATGTCATAATCCCAACTGACTTTCACTCCTTCATTTTTCAGAGGGGTAGGTAAACGATTGTTTAATTGGGAGGATACCATAAAAAAGTATCAGATGAAATGACTATTGGAGGGGTACCCCCCTAATTGTCATAAACCATGGTTTAGCCAAATCCGGGGTTGACATTACAGACCAGGATCAACAGGAATCATTGATTACCCAGTAAACTCTATAACAATACCAAGAACAACGAGGGTGCTCATAACAAAAACACAATGTGGATCACGTGCTGCAAAAACTCCCTTGGCTTCCTTCATTTTTTCAGCAGGTGAAATCTGGTGAATGCACATGTTGCCATGGATAAACCGAGTTGACCCAGAGCTAGCTATTTGTTATCATTACTATTATCCCAGAATTATTCCATAATTGTTCCATGATTATCTCAGGATTATCCCCTCATTAGTTAGTATCTAACCAGTCAGTTGACCCAGGTGAAGCCAGGATTGCTATATATTAAAAAAAAAAAAAAACATTACCCAGTGATATCATGATGGTATAATCTATAGTAATTTATACTATATAATTTATAAAAGTAATGCTACATACTATAATTTAAAAGTCATTCGGGATTACTATATAATGATGCTATATCATTACTTTTGAATCATAATTATCATATGATGGGATGTTTATAGTCATGAATATTTATTGTTTACCATGATATTCCCATAAAAACTCTATGATATGCCCATAAAATGCTCGGCTTTCTTGGTGATGTATCCAAAATATCCCAGTTTTTTCGCCCCCGAAAAGATGCCAAGAAGTGTTTCCAGCCAGTTTCCAGGCCAACTTTTCTATGGAGCTTGTTACCCAATAGCTGGATGGTTTATAAGGGAAAATCCATCTAGCAACGGATGATTTAGGGGTACCCCCATGACTTAGGAAACCTCCATACTATGAATATTAATCAATAAATGGGTCAATGTGTTTAATCATCATTTTTAATCAGTATTATGAGTCAATATGATATTTCCTCCCAATATTACTCATTATTAATAACACAAATAATAATATTGGTGTAGTTTAAACGGTTTATAGTTAACTAATTATACCTACCATAAACCATAGAATTCAGCCACTTACCCTCTGGTTATTTAACATAGCCATGGAAGCCATGGTCCATAGAAATAGATGATTTTCCCAGCCTTTTTAACCTCCATTTAGTTCAGGGATTTTCCATGGCTATGTTAGTCATAACCAGATGGTATCATGAAATAAGACCTTTATTATAGCTGGGCCATAACTGTTGGAAAGTTGATGAAATTGGGCTAAAAAAATTACACCCCAATTGGTCCAGTTACTACAGATCATCTAGACGTTGGTGAAATATATATATATATACATATGTGTATATCCTTAGTTATAACTGGGATTATATATAATTATAATACTTACCATTAAAGGTATAATTATAATTAATATATATATATATATGGGTGTCTAATTAAAATTATATAATATTATATATACATACCTACCATAAACCATAGAATTCAGCCACAAAAATATCTCAACTGAACGCTATGGTCCACCTCCGACAGCCGATTCTCGTCAGCCAGGATTTCCGTCGCCCAGGTGATCTGGCGTTGCTGCGCGGCGGCCGCCAGGCCCAAGTAGCGGTTGTTCATGGGGATTTCATGGTGATTAACCAGCAGAAATGGTGATTTTACAATATCTAACAGTCATTTTATGGTGATTTCATGGTCATTTAGTGGGAGTCAATAGTGATTTAATGCTGATTAACATGGTGATTTACTGGGATTCAATGGTTATCAATGGGGATCTATCCTCTGGTTCATTAATATAGATAGCTATGGTATAGATGGCTCATTTAGAGATGATAGGCATGATTATTTGCCCTGTGTTTTTTCGCATGGTGATGTTCCATAGAGTCTGGATTGATTTTTTTTTTCGGCCAAACATCACCATGCTATAGAATGGGGATTTGCCAAGCACGGGGGTTTAACCAACCATCATTGGATTTTTTTGGGGGATATAGAACCCATAAAAAATGGGCATTTAACTATAGGAGTCAAAGAATAAACCATTTGGGAAGATTGACTCAGATTTCTTTACCCAGTCAAACAATTGTTAAGCACTTGAGAAATGGTGGTTGAATAGTGGGTATGGCATATCCCCAAAAAATGATGGTGTGGCAATCCCACAATAGATAGAAAAGTGGGAAAGCTGGAAATATGTCCATGAAATTAACAAAATCGGTTGTGGGATTTGAGTTGTTGGCATTTTTGGGATCATTGAAAAATTCATGTAACCATCAAAAATAGATGTAAGATTGGAGGGAAAATCTTCACCAAGTTTTTGCATGTGTTCATCATTAAACAGTATAAGAATAGGCCTTTCTGGTCAAAATGTTCACTTTTTCAACCAATTCGGAGAAGCATGTTTTATGTGGATGTCATGGAATATAATCCATACATCAATGAATAATTATATGGGATAATTCCATTAGAATCCTAATAGTTAATGGATCTAAGTGCCTTGTGGGTCAAACCAAGTGATACTGCGATTAAATGCAATTAATCTTGAAGCATTTTACGGTTTTTATGGCATAGATGGGGATGTTGCACTTCCGGTAAAGTAAAACACAAGACTGATAACACAATTCTCATGGACACTGATCTAAATTAGATGCACATTGCGGGTTTTCCATAACTATCTGAACTTACTGGAGGGCATATCAAAGGGTTCTCATATTCACTTAGGTCTCTTCAAGATGTAAATTTTCGGTGAATGGCTCCAGTACCAAGAAATCCTGTTCTTCTTAAGCCTTCAAATATTTCTACGTCGTCATAGACGTATGGATGTTGTCTAAAATGTGTTACACCGAAATCTTCCTGAAACTGCGACGGTTTTAAGCTTTGAAACCCATGGTTCTGGGCCACCCCCAATTTGGATCAACTTGGAGGAAACCAATATTAAGCTGGTGGTTAACGGTGGTTACGTGAACCCAAGTTTCTATAGTCGCCCAAAATTATGTATATATATGTATATATATGCCAAGTTATTTTAATTTTAACCCGGCCTTTTGCACTTGAAAAACATACATAATACTGTAAGTTCTGGCTGGTTCAACAACCTACATAGGAATGAACACAAAAACGATCGAACACAAAATGACCGTTTCAGTGCCAACATGATGCACAGTCGGGCGCGTTGTCTTCTTGGATGTGCATTCCAGTGGGTAATATGAAACTATATGATCAGCATAGATACCAGGAATTATATATATTCTATCATCATAATTGCCAGGATTACATATCTATACCAGGATTATATCACTTATATATCAGGAATTATGTATATAGATTATTAAACCCAACACTTCTATCATCTTATATTGGTATATATTTGTATTATTAAACATATACATGTGTATATGTATATATATATATATGTATTTACGTAGGTATAGTTACAAACCAACATAGCTACCTAGATGAGAACTATAGTGCACCATTTCTCTCGGAGAACGGGGCGACCTCCTGTGGCGTTAGCCCCACCAATTTCATCGGCCTTAGCTGCTTGGCTCGATGGAAATTTTGGGAGCGGTCGTCTATCTTCACACGAAGTCAAAGCCAAATAAATCCTTAAAGCTTCATTTGTATTACCTACAGATATTCAACCATCATATTACAGATAGTCAATACCTGCATTTACCCTCATATATATTTACAAAAAAAAAAACGACTCATTTGTATTCGATCATATATTGTAAGCTATATCCCTGTATCTTTGATAGCTAAAATCCTGTAAACCATCATGGCTGCTACTTCTATAGTTATAGAATTATAGAAGTTACTTTCCTCGTGCTGATATCCCTATTGAACTTCCATAGTTCATGGGTGAAACCCATTCAACTTCCACTGGTCTCACGGCCCAGTCCCTGCACTGCGCCACCCCACTCCGAAATGCGACCTGAGATTGACAAAACGGGTGAAAAACCCAGAAAACATCTGGAGTTAACCCGGCAAATCACAGCAAATATATGGCTCTGAAAATGGGATACCCTCTGGTAAACATACAAAAAGCTAGCCATTTATAGTGAGTTTTCCCATTAAAAATGATGATTTTCCATAGTTATGTTAGTTTACCAGAGGGTACCAATAAAATTGCTATTTTAATAGGGAAACTGATCATATCCGGAAAAAACTGGTGTTTTGTGGTCGCAACACACCTGGCCAAAATTGGGATTGAATTGGGGTGGGTTCCTCCCCACCCACGATGCCGGTGGATAGTACAGGATGTGAAGGTAAATAGGGAACCAATCATACAATCTTCATGATCTTAGTTGCGACTTTAGTGGCCTGGGGGATACCGTTTCAGATTTCAACAGCAAAGGTATCCCAAATAGGGATTCCCAAAATTGGATAAAATGGGGGGGTTCTCCAATGACCCTCCCGAAACCTAACATACCTATGTAAAATGCGATGAATATGGCCCATGTACAAAGCCATGACCATCTTTTTCTTTAATGGTGATGTTTGGTGATTTTGCAAAGCTATGTTAGCCATCAATAGCCATCAGAGGGTAATGGGTACTGTATAGCATGGTCAAAACCCCCAAAGGACCATCCAAGTATCCCCCACGAGTTGCTTAGGTATGTCTACCCTCCATTACCCTCCTGAAAATCAAACGTGGCAGGAAAATCTACCACGTAGTTTGACGATCTTCCCAGCCCCAAGTTCGTTTGGGGCGAGAAGCAGTTGCCATGTGAAAGATTACCGGAGGGTACCTCTCGCCACTCTATCCGTGCTGGTTTCGGTGAGTGTGTAAGTTCACCCCAGTGAACCGTTTTTTTTGGCTGGATAAATGTTGATGAACTGGTTGGTGGTTTGAACCCATCTGAAAAATGTGAAACTCAGTTGGGATGATGACATTCCCAATATATGGAAAAATAATCCAAATGTCCCAAACCACCAACCAGATTAAGTAACTTTCCCTTCCTGGGGTGAGCCACAAACCAAAATATAGCCGCGTTCAAAGCCCTCCGTCGTCCCGTAGATTGGTGTATGGCCCTTTTTGCCAAAACCCGAGTGCCCAAACGCTAGCCCAAGTCACAGCTGGTTTATGGATGTAATATATATATATATATATATGGTAATAATATGGTACCATATATGGTAATAATATGGTAATAATATGGTACCCCAAAACCCCCCAAATATGGTCATAATAGGTGTTGACTCATCCCCCAAAAAAAATCATCGAACTGATCAACCAAGAAGGGGTTTTATCCCCGCTCAATTGGCGATTGAAAACCACGGTGCCACATGTTTTCAGGATTTCATGTCGGTCATAGCCACCAGGTTGTGAATCAATGGCCATTTCAGGATCCTAAATTGGAGGTACCTACCATATATAAGGCCTATATAAGGCCTATGTAAGGGAATACCCCCAGAAAATATGGCCTTATATGGTACAGTACCTCCATTTTAGGATCCTGAAATTCCCATTGAGTGAATCACCATGCTATAACCCAATGATCTATGGGATCTCCCTATCCACAGCTAGATGGCTTGTAATCAGTTGCAAAAAACCACAATTCGTGCAATGTGAGGCCCCCGGCAACGATAGTAAATTGGGGTTCACATAACTCTAATAAGTATATGGTTTATGGTACTTATAACTATAGTTACTGGGGAGAATCTAAACCAACAAACATAACTGGGGGGGGCCCACATTGTGGGTCACATCCAAATAGAGGGAATCTGTCATATCTAACGCCATACGGTGGATGGGCCAGCGAAATCCTGCACCACCAAAAGGATGGGAGCAAAACCCTATAAATCATGGGATGTTTACCATCTATCAACTGGTGATTCGGATTTCGCTGGCCCATCCACAGTATCTCACTTGGAGGTTGGAATCGAATTACATCGAATTACGATGCATCGGACCATGTCCAACATCCTCCAAGTTGCCATTATATGATTTGCATATCCCAGCATTTGATGGTTAATATGTGGTTAATCTACTGTTAATAATGGTTAATATTAATGGTTATTATTAATGGTTAATGATGGTTCATTATATCTGGTTGGTGGGGGCCATACCTACCCCTATGAAAAATGATGAAGTGAAAGTCAGTTGGAATTATGACATTCCCCAATATATGGAAAGTCATAATCCATTCATGTTCCAAACCACCAAGCAGTTATTCATCGGACCATTTCGCTGATCAACATCCAATTTATTGTTCGGATACCCATCCGATGGTTGCTTGAAATCCACACGGTTGACAGGGTGAAATCGAATTACCCTCCGGTAAACAAGCTATTGAACATGGCCCATTTAGTTCGTTGATTTACCCATTAATAGCATGGTGGATCTTTCCATAGTTTTTTGTATGTTTACCAGAGGGTATTTGTGGTGCTTAGATACAACTTTTGTTGTTGAATCCACGTGTTCACAGTTGGTAAATGCCTAGCAACTTTTCACATCAGCCAACTATAAACAGGGGATATCATCTCCAGCAGATAAATCCCAGTTATTCCTCTGCAGTGACCCGTTCGACCCCGAGAATAAGCGAATTCTACTAGAAACTAATCTTCCACCCCACTATTTGGCAGGGTCCATGTTAATTTGTTGATGGTTACCCAGGGTAAACTAACATGGATGTGGAAAATCAACCATTTAAGTAGATTCTCTTCCTAAACCATAGCTGTTCCACATCTTTTTCGAATGGTTTAGATGGTTCAATCACCATTTTTGGTTTAGAAACCAGATAATTTGAGTGATTTATACAATAATATCATGATATTATATGCATACATATATATATATATCATATTATCTATATATATATATATTATATATTATTCCCATAAAACCATGGTTGACCAAGTTATTTGCTGAAGAGAAAACCGCCGAGTCACTGCGAAAGCCTTGCCGAAAACGCGACCTCTCCGGCGGCCTCGGTGGTTGGGACGTCATCTGAGCGAGATGACCAACCATAAAATGGTGGTTTTTACGATGAAAAATCATGGTTTTACGATGAAAAATGATGGTTGTTTACCATAAAATGATGGTTTTTGTACCATAAAATGTTTTTGTTTAATAAAAATGAAAAATGATGGTTGAAAAAATTCTGGTTGGTGGGGCCCATAACTACCCCTCTGAAAAATGATGGAGTGAAAGTCAGTTGGGATCATGAAATTCCCAATATATGGACAAATAATCCAAATGTTCCAAACCACCAACCAGTGATGGTTTTAATTAGTTTGAAAAGTTATGTTTCAAAATGGTTCAATCTCTTTCTGACCTCTCAGCATGCTGTTGAAAACCGGTCATCGGGACAGCACTGGAGAGCTCATCAGCTGTATCGCTAGGGAATTTCGACATTTTGGGGACCATAGAAACAATAGAATAGGTTTTTAATAAGTTTAATATTAGGATTATGGAATGGTTTTTTTTCGCGTACCGTATCCCCATTGATGGCCAGCGACATTCGAAAACTTCAATCCCCATTATATCACCCATAGGATCCTTGTATGGTATGTATGCTAACATTGGGGGTATATTGATGGTCAATGTTACCATATAGATATATATATATAGCATACATGGATCCTATGGGTCATATGATGTCCAAATGATATCCTCTGGTAAACTAACATAACTATGGGAAATCATCATTTTTAATGGGAAAACTCACTATAAATGGCCATTTTCAATAGCTTTTTGTATGTTTACCAGAGGGTATCCTCATATTGGCCAAAACCGTGGCCAAAACCACCTGTCATTTTTAAGCGGAAAACCCGTGGCGTCGTGGCGTTCCGAATCGCAAAGTCAGTACGTCACTGAGCTTCATGCGATCTTGGGGCCTGGCTCAAAAGAAGGATGAGCCAAACCATCAACAAATAGGGATTCAATGGGATTTACATAGGATTTAATGGGATTTAATGGGATTTTATGAGATTTAATGGGATTCAATGGGATTTACATAGATCTGAAAGGGTTTTACCCTCCAGTAAATTAACATAGACCCTGGCAGATAGGGCTTGGAAGATATTGGAAGATTAGTTTCCACTAAAAATTGGTGATTTTCAGGGTCTATGTTAATTTACCAGAGGGTAAATGGGATTTAACTGGGATTCAATGGGAATGAATGTGAATGTCATAGGACAATCAAACATGCTTGGCTGGAAAATCCATGATATTCAAATGCGGGGGGAATCTTCCATTGCCATGTGTGATTTCCAGAGGGTAAGCATTCTTGGAATCAAACAAAAACAAAAAAAAGTAGTTTTTCTCTGAATTCGCTATATTGTTTACCTTTAATGTCCTTTAATCGCGTTTTTTATTACACACATTGGTAGTCGAATCTTCAAAACCACGTGAGGTATTTCACGGTAGATGCCGTATGTTTTTCAGCAGCTGCTTATCCGGGGGGTAGTTTACCCTTAAGTACTTCACCCCGATATTTAAGGAGGATCATCCCAAAAATCGTAGGTTGATAACCAATCGATCTGGTTGGTGGTTTCAACCATCTTGAAAAATATCAAAGTCAATGGGAAGGATTATCCCATATATGGAATGGAAAAATAAAATTCATGTTCCAAAACACCAACCAGTTATAATATTGCCCAGATGCGAACCATGGTGCTGGTATATTTACCTACAGAAATGGATGATTTTTGGGGTAAATGTTGATACATATTCCAGCAGCATGGGTTGCATATGGTTTGTATGTCATCCATTTATAGATTTTCGACCCACACATCGCGGACTAACCAGGGTTATGACCGTTATGACCCAGTCATCCGTGGAACGATCCTCCAGAAATAGCACCTCGGGAAACCATTCACTTCGGGTCCCTTGTTGCGTTTTTTTCTGATAATTCAGCGACTGGAAATCAATCCAGCAGGGATCGCAAATGATGCTTCCCAGTCAAACCTTGCCGCAGAGAAACTGTTTTTTAATCGCTACCTTCTGGTAAACTAAGATGGCTATGAAAAATCACCATGTGTAATAGGCAAATCAATGTCAATCATCTATATGGAGGTTTCCTAATGTAGGGGTGCCCCCAAATCATCCATTTTAATAGGCGTTCCACTATAAACCATTCATTTGGGGGTACCCCATTTATGGAAACCTCCATATATAAATGGCCCATGGTTTCCATAGCCGTGTTAAATTACCAGAGGCTCCCTGGGAATTGGTTTTGCCCGGGATCTTTCATCTGGGTCAATGATCGCGGGAGTTTGGGGGAGTTTTCTCTTTGGAAGTTCAATAACAAATCCATGTGTTGAATGATCTGATTAAATCACTTTTTTTGGTAAAATCTCATATGGTGGTTTCCTAAAATAGGGCCCCCAAATCATCCCATTTGAATAGGATGTTCCATTTAAAAAAAAAAACATCCAGCTATTGGGGTACCCCCATGACTATGGAAAACCCCAGATATTTGATGGTGAAATCAACATGTTTCATGGTAAAATCATGGGTTTTTTGCTCGGAAACCTCTGAGTTTCGTCCGAAACCTCAGAGATTCGTGTTGAAGTCCCGTCCTTCAGCACAGGCGCCAAAGAGATGCTCAGGAGGACGAAAAAACCTGTGGTCCGATGGAAATATAAAATGGAATACATGGAGGAGAAAATATATAATTGAATATATGGAATATATAATGAAATATAATGAAATATAATGAAATATAATGAAATATAATGAAATATAATGAAATATAATGAAATATAATATAATATAATGAAATATAATAAAATACAATGAAATATAATGAAATATAATAAAATACAATAAAATATACTGAATTATAATGAAATATAATGAAATATAAAAAAAAATACAATGAAATATAATGAAATATAATAAAATACAATGAAATATAATGAAATATAATAAAATACAATGAAATATAATGAAATATAATAAAATACAATGAAATATAATGAAATATAATAAAATACAATGAAATATAATGAAATATAATAAAATATAATGAAATATAATAAAATATAATGAAATATAATGGAATATAATGAAATATAATAAAATACAATGAAATATAATGAAATATAATAAAATACAATGAAATATAATGAAATATAATAAAATACAATGAAATATAATGAAATATAATAAAATATAATGAAATATAATATAATATAATGAAATATAATGAAATATAATGAAATATAATGAAATATAATAAAATACAATGAAATATAATGAAATATAATAAAATACAATGAAATATAATGAAATATAATGAAATATAATAAAATACAATGAAATATAATGAAATATAATAAAATATAATGAAATATACTGAAATATAATGAAATATAATGAAATATAAAAAAAAATACAATGAAATATAATGAAATATAATAAAATACAATGAAATATAATATAATGAATATAATAAAATACAATGAAATATAATGAAATATAATAAAATACAATGAAATATAATGAAATATAATAAAATACAATGAAATATAATGAAATATAATATAATATAATGAAATATAATGAAATATAATAAAATATAATGAAATATAATATAATATAATGAAATATAATGAAATATAATGAAATATAATGAAATATAATGAAATATAATGAAATATAATGAAATATAATAAAATACAATGAAATATAATGAAATATAATAAAATACAATGAAATATAATGAAATATAATGAAATATAATAAAATACAATGAAATATACTGAAATATAATGAAATATAATGAAATATACTGAAATATAATAAAATACAATGAAATATAATGAAATATAATAAAATACAATGAAATATAATGAAATATAATAAAATACAATGAAATATAATGAAATATAATAAAAAATAATGAAATATAATATAATGAAATATAATGAAATATAATGAAATATAATGAAATATAATAAAATACAATGAAATATAATGAAATATAATAAAATACAATGAAATATAATGAAATATAATAAAATACAATGAAATATAATGAAATATAATAAAATACAATGAAATATAATGAAATATAATAAAATACAATGAAATATAATGAAATATAATATAATATAATGAAATATAATGAAATATAATGAAATATAATGAAATATAATGAAATATAATGAAATATAATGAAATATAATAAAATACAATGAAATGTAATGAAATATAATAAAATACAATGAAATATAATGAAATATAATAAAATACAATGAAATATAATGAAATATAATAAAAAATAATGAAATATAATATAATGAAATATAATGAAATATAATGAAATATAATGAAATATAATAAAATACAATGAAATATAATGAAATATAATAAAATACAATCAAATTTAATGAAATATAATGAAATATAATGGAATATAATGAAATACAATGAAATATAATGAAATATAATGAAATATAATGAAATATAATATAATATAATATAATATAATGAAATATAATGAAATATAATAAAATACAATGAAATATAATGAAATATAATAAAATACAATGAAATATAATGAAATATAATGAAATATAATGAAATATAATAAAATACAATGAAATATAATGAAATATAATAAAATACAATCAAATTTAATGAAATATAATATAATATAATGAAATATAATGAAATATAATGGAATATAATGAAATATTATGAAATATAATGAAATATAATGAAATACAATGAAATATAATGAAATATAATGAAATATAATGAAATATAATATAATTCAATGAAATATAATAAAATACAATGAAATATAATGAAATATAATAAAATACAATGAAATATAATGAAATATAATAAAATACAATGAAATATAATGAAATATAATAAAATACAATGAAATATACTGAAATATAATAAAATATAATGAAATATAATGGAATATAATGAAATATAATAAAAAATACAATGAAATATAATGAAATATAATGAAATATAATGAAATATAATGAAATATAATGAAATATAATGAAATATAATATAATATAATATAATGAAATATAATAAAATACAATGAAATATAATGAAATATAATAAAATACAATGAAATATACTGAAATATAATGAAATATAATGAAATATAAAAAAAAATACAATGAAATATAATGAAATATAATAAAATACAATGAAATATAATGAAATATAATGAAATACAATGAAATATAATGAAATATAATATAATATAATGAAATATAATGAAATTTAATGAAATATAATGAAATATAATGGAAAACATGCTCAGGAGGAGATATATTGGAATTTGATGGATGATGATGGGAATATTTGCTGGGAATTCGATGTATAATATATATATATATGTACATCATGCCCTATGGATCCAGGTAAGTAGCTTCTTAGGAAGTATATTTTGGGGGCATGATTTAGGTGGTTTAAGTACCTTCTCAGACAGTGTTATTGATCACATTCATTAGTTACTATCTAATCCCATAATATTAATTCTAGGAAGAACCCCAAGAACTATGTATATATGTACGTATATGTATATATATTAAGTCTACTGTAGTAGATCCCCATAGCAACATTCTGAGATATCCCCAAGATCTATTAATTCTAATTCATGGGGGATTTTAGGGGTACACCCAAGACCTATTAATTCTAGTAAATCCTCATAAATGGGAAGGAGTCAAAATTTAAGATCTGGGGGGAACACAGATTTTAGACTTTGTTTAGTATTCACCGTCTAAGATTCGGGTACCCAATTTTGACTCATAGCCACATTGTTATAATATACAGAAACCCCAATAACAACTCATATTGATACAGCAACATTAACTGGCGGTTTCCTGAAATGGGTGTATCCCTAAATCATCCATTAATTGGAATTAATAGTTCTTGGGGATGTTTTTGAATGTTGTTATGGTGATTTATTAGAATCAATAGATATATATATATAGTTCTTGTGGTTCTTCCTAGAATTAATATTAGTTGTTATGGGATTAATACCTTATGAATGTTATCAAATTTATTGGGAATATAATGTAGAACTAATTAATGACTATAACTAATTAATGAAAATAAGTAAAGACAATGGCTAATGACAATGACTAATGACAATGACTAGTGACAATAAGTTATGACAATAAGAATGATGGCAATATGATAAATGTTGGTTCTAATGATGGGACAATTCCCAACATATGGGAATATGAGAACATGATATGGCCGTGAAAATAACTACTAGAACATGGATGATATGATGTTGGGTAAATATTACCAACCAACTGTGAATATGAGTTATTACTAACCCCCACATGTTGGTTCTTGTTGGGAATATCATATCAAACTAATTCGTGAGAATGACTAATGACAAAAGTATACCAACATATTCGAACAGATGAGTTGTGTCATATTGAACTGGTTGCTGGTTTCAACCTACCCCTCTGAAAAATATGAGTTCGTCAGTTGGGAGTATTCTTCCCAACTGAATGGAAAGTCATAAAACATGCTAATCCAAATGCTCCAAACCCCAAACCACCAACCAGTGAATATATCACATGGCATATGACATGGATGTGTCTGAACATGGGCTATACGAACAACCCTTGATATGACTGGGAACAATTTGACGAACCACAGGATTTTGGAAGAACATCAAAATGACAATGTCATTGGAGGTAGCTACCATCATATCTAAGGATATGTATTTGAGGCCTATTTGTTAGGGCTAAATTTCAGGGGATATACCCCCAAAATATGGCCAAAAATATGGTACTAACGTACCTCCATTTTTGGATCCTGGAATTCCCATTGATAATGTAACAACTAGTATGAGAATCATTTGGATGTCAATGATATGCTCATGTATCACTACAGGGTGGTGCCCCAGTTCGTTAGCTTAGTTGGTTTATAAGTCCAATAACTATGGTTGATGGTACTTAAAACTATAGTTAACGGTGGCTTATAAACCAAGTTATAACTGGGGGGACAACCTTGTACATATGATTCGGACATAAAACCAACAATTGGCAATAACCACAACACATGAAATGAGGATATAGTACTGGTCTTCCCTCCATCCGTTGCAGTAAAAATGACTAAAACAGCATAGAAAAAAACTATGGACACACAAATGTCTACCCTCTGGTAAACTAACATAACTATGGAAAATCACCATTTTCATTGGGTAAATCCACTATAAATGACCATTTTCAATAGCTATGTAACAAATTACCAGAGGGTACAACCTACAAAGGGTTGTAATATTGAAGCTACAGCCTTCAAAATGTTAATGGTTCAATCCTGGTGATGTGTTGAACTCCTCAAACCAGCTACAGCTACAGGTGATGTAATGGTGATTTCGTGGGGATCTTAATGGTGATTTAATACAGGATGGGGCCGCCCAGTGATGTGAACGTTGGTTTATAAACCATGAAATAACCCCCATTAACTAGTTCGTTATATCTATCATAAACCATAGAATTAAGCCACTTTTTTTTAGGCAACTGGACGCGAGGTTGACAGGGGGCCCCATCCTGTAGGTTTTTGGCAGAGAATGGGGATGCTCTTGAAAGCTGATTCAGTGATCCTTTTTTTTCGTTTGACCCAGATTCAATGCTAGTTCAGGGTTTCGAGTGGTGAGAATTTCGTGTTCAGGGGAAGAGGCATTTTATGAAACCACCAACCAATGCTGCTTTAAGGGGATAGAACGTGATATAACCAAATTATGGCGAACATTAGCACAGTTAGAGACTTGTCAACAAGGGTTCTACCACCATTTACAAGAATGATGCTCCAAGTATATCAGTATATCTGGGTCCAAACAAGAGACCAACCAGATTTGAATCTTCATAGCTTCTAGCACCTTCCCCCAATCAGATTAAACAGTCTCATTCTATGGTCCCAAAATTCTGTCATTTTATCTCCTACATACACCATGGTTTATGGCGGGTGTTGAATATGAACGGGGGAAGGGATTCGGATAAACCCTCACCATAGTCCAGGATGGGATTGTCACTCGGAATAGCCTGTTTTTTCACAGTTTGAAGTGACGGTGTACTCAGAAACAAAAAAGAAAGGTTGGTGTGATGAATTGTGTCTATTTGTCTTGTATATCATACTCAAATATCTATAACAAGAAATAGTGCTATATACAAATATCAAAGCACTTTACATATATATATATATATAAATATATATATATACATATATATATATACATATCATATATGAGTTAGTCTATATTTTTGTTTAGCTGTTTACCTTCAAAACGACTTGTAAAACAATCTTTTTAAAGTCGACATGATCCATCAGACCGCGCCTATGAGGGCAGAGGGCCTCGACCAACCTGCCAATATGTACCTGGCGTCCAACGCTTGCGTTTCGTTGCTTAAAGCTGTGGCAAGCCTATAGCAACCAGCCATAGGAATCACACATGGCTGGAACATCCCAAGCAAATCTGTGGGTATAGTAACAATACATGGCTGGAACATCCCAAATCATCCAAATCTGTAAATGGGTGAATTTCCCATTGCACACCATTGCTATCTTTGATTACCGGAGGGTATAGATTTTTTTCTTAACCTGCCACAATTTTCTGCGAAAATACTGGGGCAGCACCTCGCACCGGACATGTCCTGTCACATCCCTATAGGGGGGCGAATCTTTACGGGTTTGTCTGAAAATTGAAAGGGAAACCCTTAAATTCACAGATTCGTCATAATTTTCACCATAGCAAATTACGATTTGCACAAACTCTAATATCTGGGTTATAATAATTCACAAACCTGAAATAAGGCTAGTATGAGATAGTTTTCATAGTTAGCCCCAAAAACAATTCCCATCATTCCAGTGACAGAGGACAGTGAGGTCGATATGTTCTTTTCCCAGAGTCATGATGGTTGCAATGGTTGGTTAAATCAATTCGCTATAATTTACTATCATTATATCCCAATTGTGTTGCTTAAAATCACGTGGTTCTCGCTGGTTCTTGCTGGTAAAAAGAGTCTCCTTTTCCTAAAAGTGGTATACTGTTGATCCCCAGCTGAAAGCTGACAATCCAGTTGCAAGGTCGCCCAGCGTGATATTCTGAAAAATGCTCTGTCAGAAAGGAATGTGGTAGGCACAATTTTCAAAATGGCTTTCTATAAAAATGAGATAAGTATATGTATGATATACAGTACCCTTAAAACCAAATTGGTGATACCTGATTATCACACTCATAATCCCAGTGATGTTATCCCCAGGATTTATCATAAGTATCCCCAAGAGGTCCTCTCGGTCACCCGGACTCTCCAAATCCCAACCAAAATGGTACAACTGTACAACTCCTCTTCTTAGTGGATATAAGTGGGTTAGTTCACCCTAGTTATAAGTGGAGATTGCCCCTACTTATCCCATTTACAACTAGGGGTATAACCTATTTACGATTCGTGGGATGAACCACCAAGTAAGGTTTGAACAATATGTGGGATTTGATGGTACAATATCATTACTAATCATCATTCCCTATGGATCCAAACACTGTCTGAGAAGGTATGGCTAACCCCCTAAATCATGCCCAAAATACTTCCTAAGAAGGTACGGCTGGATCCATAGGGATTTATTTGGGATAATATAATGTAATAATATTTAATAGGTATACAGTTCCTCATCATGAATGACACCATATTTTGTCTGGTTCGTAGCTCGCCACGCAAAAAAAGAGGGCTGCGTAACTCGCTTCTTTTTCCGCCGGCAAACCGCGGGAAAACGGAACTGCGGGGACAAAGTGATTGCGAAGTAATACCAGTTTTGATGACAAGTACATAATAATATAGTGTACCCATTGTTTAACGGCAAAAATGGTATAACCATGGTATAAAATATTGTTTTGATGACAAGTACTTAATGGTTATAAGTTATAACTGCAAAAATGGTATAACTATGGTTAGAACCATGGCTTTTAGACATAACAAAATCACAAGTAATGAAGTTTGGATGTATTGACAATACAAGTGATTATGTACTTGATTATGTACTTGACAATACAAGTGATGAAATCCAAAAAATGTGTACAAGTACATATGCTCCATGGTGCTGGTATATCTACCTACATTTGGGTATTTGTTAGGGCAAATGGTGGTAAATATTCCAGCACCATGGAGCATATGGGAAGTACATAACATATCTTCCCTAGGATTCATGGATTGTTAAGTCTCATTTTTTGAGAAAATCTGATATTTAAATCTATGTTTTTTGGATAAATCACCATAATTCACCTGAAAAGTTCCGACCTAAAAAAAGGTCGGATCCCGAGTCTTCAGCATAGCTTTCAGTAGCAAGTCGTGGTCATTCACGACGACTGAATGACGCTACCATGGGTACCACCATGACTTCGGAAACCTCCAGATGTATATGAGAATAGATGATAATAGATGATATATGTATTGCTGAATGTTCCTTAAAAAAATGAGATTGCTAAAGTTTAGTCGCCTTACTCAAGCTAGAATATTCACATATATAATAGACCATACCACTGCGTAACTCAACATCATCTGAGGTCGCAGTGACTCATCATTCATCTTCATTCATCCCCACCGCGCGCGCGTAGTAGGTATGATCTGCCGGGCAGGCGGTGTAGCGCTTCCCGCAGAAGCTCTTGCTGATGGAGCTGCACTTACCTGTCGCAATCATTGTGGCAAGTGCCCCCGCTAAGTTGGCGAGGTTGGGTTATATTCAGTGCACAGTAGACCTAAGGTTTATTGTTATTTTGACTATGGTTAACGTTTGTAAAACGACCTGTGATTGAGGGGGCACCACCTTGAATCATTAGTGAAACTACCTTCAATTTTGGAAATATAAGTGGGATATAATGGGGGTATGTGATGGCAGATAGAGCCATTATTAAAAACATGGCAGATCTAATGAGAATATTCGGGAATAATGGGGATACAATTTGTAAATTTGGTGGATATTTTTGTGGATTTACGGTTCCCATATCCTCCATGCAATCACCATAGCCATACTTAGTCCCATTGACAGTTTGTGTTGCGCCCTAAGAACTATTTACTGTACTGAAGAAAAAAATACACGACGGTAAGGCCCAAAAGAAAGCAGGAGGGAGGAGACGAGAAGAGAATACAAAAGAAGATATAATGATGATGAATGATAAATGATGAAGGATGAAGGATGAATAATGAATGATGAAGGATGAAGGATGAAGGATGATGATGATGATGATGATGATGACGATGGATATATTTCACCATGGTTATAGGGGTTATTTCCCAAAGAAATGATGTTCTTACCATTTTCATCCATGAAAGTCACCCAAAATACGGTACGTGTGTATATCCGCATTATGGGAGGATGATTTTCTCATTGTGTCCCCGTCGCAAACCCATGTAGTTTTAAGAACTGTTGGTACTATTCATCATATCCCAATGATATCTCCATTTCCTAGTTGAAATGATATGTTACATCCATGTTTCTTCCCATAACATTCCCATAAATGTCACCCCCAACTGCACCGACAAGTATTATAATCATCATATTAAAGGCTTTATGTATACATATATATATACATATATATATATATACGTATGTATACGTATATGTCTATATACTCATCTATATATACATTATATATCATATGCACCAGATCATCATTTCCAATGATATGTCCATGATAAACCCATCCCCACCACCTTCATAGACGGCACAGCTGGGAGCTGAGCAAAAATCCGTGGCGAAGGTGAACAGACGTCGCCTTAAGCAGAAAGGTCTCGGTCGCTGGGGGATTTGCATAATAGGAACCCCCAGAAAAATGGTGATTTATAGTGGATTTACACATTGAAAACGGTGATTTATAATGTGGGATACAGATTAGTGTGGGGATACAGAATTGTGTCCACAGACTCCAAAATTATTTTGTAACTTTGGAAATGATCGAGGGGTACAGTTTTGTGTCCACAGGATTTTGGTGTAAGTTTTTTTTTCATTTTTTTTGCTGTTTTAGTTTTTAATTGTTTTTTATTTTTATTTTTAATTATACTAAGTTTTATTTTTAATTATTTTTTATTTTATTTTAAATTATTTGTTATTTTTATGTTTAATTATAATAATTTTTAATATAATTATTTTTTATTTTATTTTAAATTATTTTTTATTTTCATTTTTAATTATAATAATGTTTAATTTAATTATTTTTATTTTTAATTATAGTTTTTTATTGTTTTTTAAAATTGTGTCAGGATACACAATTGTGTCATTGTGTCAGGATACACAATTGTGTCTTGGTCTTTTTTTGTTGTTCAAACATTTTTCACTTTTTTCATTTTTTAAAGCTTTTTTCTTTTACTTTTTATTTTCCATCATTGAAATTTTTCAGATTTCTTCCACAGAAAATTACATCCAGGTACACAATAGTGTGGTTTGTTTGGAGGGTACACTATTGTGTCCAGCTGCTTTCCTGAGGTCATGATTTTTTGTTTTTTTTCAATCATTTCCTTTACCTTTTCCTTTGCTAAAGTTTTTCTTTTAAATTACTTAATTACTTTCTTAGTTTCTTTCATTTGAAATTCTCAGAAATGCCCAGTTTTCCAAAATATATGATGCCTTATTAAAACCCGATTAAAAAACATCACTCAAACAATTTTTCAAGGGGGTAGTCCATGAGCAACCCTGATACATAATAGTGTGGTTTGTTTGGAGGGTACACTATTGTGTCCAGCTGCTTTCCTGAGGTCATGATTTTTTGTTTTTTTCAATCATTTCCTTTGCCTTTTCCTTTGCTAAAGTTGTTTCTTTTAATTAATTACTTTCTTAGTTTCTTTCATTTGAAATTCTCAGAAATGCCCAGTTTCCTAAAATATATGATGCCTTATTAAAACCCAATTAAAAAACATCACTCAAACAATTTTTCAAGGGGGTAGTCCATGAGCAACCCTGATACATTAATAGTGTGGTTTGTTTGGAGGGTACACTATTGTGTCCAGCTGCTTTCCTGAGGTCATGATTTTTTGTTTTTTTCAATCATTTCCTTTACCTTTTCCTTTGCTAAAGTTTTTTCTTTTAATTACTTATACTTAATTACTTTCTTAGTTTCTTTCATTTGAAATTCTCAGAAATGCCCAGTTTCCCAAAATATATGATGCCTTATTAAAACCCAATTAAAAAACATCACTCAAACAATTTTTCAAGGGGGTAGTCCATGAGCAACCCTGATACACAATAGTGTGGTTTGTTTCGAGGGTACACTATTGTGTCCAGATGCTTCCTGGTGTGATGTTTTTTTCAAGCATTCCCTTTACCTTTTCCTTTGCTAAAGTTTTTCTTTTAATTAATTAATTACTTTCTTAGTTTCTTTCATTTGAAATTCTCAGAAATGCCCAGTTTTTCAAAATATATGATGCCGTATTAAAACCCAATTAAAAAACATCACTCAAACAATTTTTCAAGGGGGTAGTCCATGAGCAACCCTGATACATTAATAGTGTGGTTTGTTTGGAGGGTACACTATTGTGTCCAGCTGCTTTCCTGAGGTCATGATTTTTTGTTGTTTGCAATCATTTCCTTTACCTTTTCCTTTGCTAAAGTTGTTTCCTTTTAATTAATTAATTACTTCTTAGTTTCTTTCATTTGATATTCTCAGAAATGCCCAGTTTCCCAAAATATATGATGCCTTATTAAAACCCAATTAAAAAACATCACTCAAACAATTTTTCAAGGGGGTAGTCCATGAGCAACCCTGATACACAATAGTGTGGTTTGTTTCGAGGGTACACTATTGTGTCCAGATGCTTCCTGGTGTGATGTTTTTTTCAAGCATTCCCTTTACCTTTTCCTTTGCTAAAGCTTTTTTCTTTTATGGTATTTCTATGGTATTACAGTACTATTGGATTTCTATGGAATTCCTATGGGGTTTCCATGATGTTTCTATGATATTTCTGGAGGATTTCTATGGGATTTCTGAAGGGGTGCTATGGGAGTTCTATGGTATTCTTATGGGATTTCCATTGGATTCCTATGGGATTTCTATGGTATTTCTATTGGATTCCTATGGAATTTCTATTGGATTCCTGTGGGATTTCCAAGGTATTTCCATGATGTTTCTATGATATTTCTATGGGATTATTATTTGAATTCTCATGGGATTTCTTTTGTGGTTCCTATGCTATTCCATGTTATTTCTATGATCTTTCTATGGTATTTCTGTGAGATTCCTATGGGATTTCCATGGTATTTCTATGATAGTTCTTTGGGACTACTATTGGATTTCTATGGGATGTCGATTGAAAGTAAATTGGCAGTAAAATGAAATCAATTGAAAGTAAATTCAAAGTAAATTGAAAGTACATTGAAATCAATTGAAAGTAAATTGAAATCAATTCAAAGTAACTTCAAATCAATTGAAAGTAACTTCAAATCAATTGAAAGTAAATTGAAATCAATTGAAAGTAACTTCAAATCAATTGAAAGTAAATTGAAATCAATTGAAAGTAAATTGAAATCAATTTAAATCTAATTCAAATCAATTGAAAGTAAATTGAAATCAATTCAAAATAAATTGAAATCAATTGAAAGTAAATTGAAATCAATTCAAAATAAATTGAAATCAATTGAAAGTAAATTCAAATCAATTGAAAGTAAATTGAAATCAATTCAAAATAAATTGAAATCAATTGAAAGTAAATTGAAATCAATTCAAAATAAATTGAAATCAATTGAAAGTAAATTGAAATCAATGCAAAGTAACTTCAAATCAATTCAAAATAAATTGAAATCAATTGAAAGTAAATTGAAATCAATTTAAATCTATCAATTTTTTTGATTTCACCGTATTGCGTACCCGGTACCTTTTTTTTCCCACACTATTCTGTATCCAAAATTTGTTTAGGGGGGGGGGCCTCCCCACACTAATCTGTAACCTACATTAGTGGATTTACCCATTGAAAATGGTGATTTATTGCTGTTTAATGGGACTTCAAAGTGTGATTTAATGGATTATGAATGGGATATACCGTGATATACCCTCTGGTAAACGTGCACACAGTTTGCGAACTGGAAGCCATGGCCCTAATCGAAATAGATGGTTTACAGAACTTAAAAATGGTGATTTTCTATAGCTATGTGAAATTACCAGAGGGTATATATATATAATATGTATATATAAGAATATGTTTAATTATGTACATATACATATATATATATATATTACTATTACATAATCATGTATTAGTATTATAATATAAATTATATATGTACAAAACTGTAGATTCCCCGAGTAGTGGATGTCCCATATACACATGGATTGACTCGAGGGAGAATCCGGAGATGTTCTCCGAACAAGGCATTGATTAAAGAGGTGTCGCTAAAATATATATCCCATAAGATTAAAACCCATAGTCCGTTTATAACTATATAAATATAAACTATATATAAACTATATATAACTGTATATATATAACTATATATATATATATTCGTTTTTATGGTATCCCATGGTTTTGTTGCTGAAATCAAACTTAAATCATCTCATATGCAGATCAGAAGGCAAGCGTAAATCTATAAAATTGTGGGCTCTACAGTAAATCCCAGAGAAATTCATTTCTGGTTGGTGGTATACCTACCTCTCTGAAAGTCATATGAAAGTCAGTTGGGGTTACCCTCTGGTAAACTAACATGTTGAAAATCACCATTTTTAGTGGGTAAATCCACTATAAATGACAATTTTCAACAGCTATGTTAAATTACCAGAGGGTACTATGGTTACTATTCCCAACTGAATGGAAAAATCATCGACATGTTCCAAAGCACCAACCAGATGCATCCCATGTCTAGATGCGTTTCTCTCCCTGTATAGTACTGTAACCCCCGGAAAAAAAAAAGTAAAGTCCTACTAAAAGAGTGATGAGTCACTCTTGCCCCTTTGGGGCTAATGTGGATAAAACCATGCCGCAAACCATCCCCCAGTCACCAGCATTTTCGTAGGTGGTATGGTTACCATTCCCAGTCATGGATGGTTTATGACATTGTTTTTCCCACATTAATGATATATCCACTATGATAGTATCAATTGTATGTCCACTAAATATATATATATATATACATACCGTATCTAATTCTAGTAGACAATCCACATTCATGGTATATTATAGTCTTACTATTGACCATTCTATAATCCACTAAATATCTCCATGAAAAATCACATGTGAATCCAAGGCGCATGGTGCATTTGCAACACTCCTTGCCTCGCACCGCATCGCTCAAGGCTTGCACAGTTCCTGGACGGAATTGGAATGAATCGCGCAAATGGACAAAAAATGTCGGTTGAACCAACCAAAAATGTTGGTTTAACCAACCAAAAATGTCGGTTTAAACAACCAAAAATGGGGGTGTAGAACTATCCAAATCTGGGGCTATATAACTACCCAAACCTGAGAATCAATTGATTGGTTTCTAGCCGTAAAAATAAGATACACCGAAATCATCCTTCTCTGCTGTGCAAATGTTTGCGAACGTTACTTCAATGTGGCATGGCCTTTATATAAATACCCTGAAGAGGACAAACATATTCCTTAGGTGGTTCATCTATACACCAACCAAATAGTAAAAAAAAAAAACACAACTGCTCAAAACTGCAGCCATGTTTATCCGGGTCCTTAGATCAATCCAAGAAATAATCATTTTCCAAAATGAAATGTTGGGGTATATCTGGTAATTTACAGTTTGCTATGGAAAATCACGATGTATAATAGGTACCATAGCTATGTTAGATTATATACCAGAGGGTACCTGTATACCCCCAGTGCTGACATCACACTGATATGAGACTGCTGCGCACACTTCGTATACGGTAATCTCTTGCTCTTTGGCCATGTCTATGATTGTCTATGGGGATATATTATAGTATTATATACTCTAGCTGTTGCAGGCTGGGGCCCCCAAGATAGCGTTCAGTTGCCTTATAAGTGGCTGAAATCTATGGTTTATGGTAGATATAACTATAGTATTCATGGGGGTTATAATGGTTTATAAACCAACAAGCATAACTGGGGGGGGCCATCCTGTACTGGTTTTTTGGTAAACATTCCTATTATGGGTCATAGTCGTAGTCTGTTATACAATTTCCCAAACATGATATGATATATAATAATAAATCAACCATCAACCAGCCATCATTCACAAACATCAACAATACCCCCATGTCTTTGGATGTGTCAAGCCCCTATAAATGATTGTTGTTAAATCCTATTTAAATAACTACTCAACTATCGTCGTGTTGGTCATTCTGTTGGTTAAATCTCAATTTGTGTGGTTTAAATCTCCATTACCCTACAGTAAACTAAGATAGATGTGCAAAATCAACCCTTTACTGTAAGTAGATTATGTTCCTATTGAAACCATTGCTCTTCCACAATTCCACATTCATGTTATTCATTCGGTAAATGACTGTGTTTTTTGTTGCCTGCCCTCACTCGGACATCGCCTGATGCAAAGTTCTGCAGATTTGCATAGGTCTCCTAGCAAACTAAATATTTCGGGGATGGGTCGTGGCTAGAAATGGAAGGAAGAAACAAATTGGAATGTCATGGAAATATGATGATTAATGGTGGATTGCACCTAGAAAAATGGTGACTAATTGATGGATAAAGAGCTGGCGGATGGTTGAATTGCAGCATATGATCATATTCCCTTGGCCAATGGCAGTATGGGGATGAATGGGAATATAATGGGAATATGTATATAGAATGGCATATAATGGTGATGTGATGAAAATATCATGGGAATATCATATTATGGGAATATGTAGAGCACAATATGATACGCGGTTTATATATATATATGTGTGGGTGATCAATTAATAATGTTTAGTATGTGGCTAGTAAGTGCAAAGTGGTGACGAAACCATGATACTTAATTCAGTAGCTTATCGCAGCTTTCTGACATGTGGACCAAAGTATGTCAAACCCACAAAAACAAAACCAACAGGACAAATTTGGTTTGAATGCTTTTAACTTTTGACCCATAGGACTTTTTCCTACACCAAGGGGAAAGTGCATAGATACATCAGAGCAATGGCCAAGCAACCATTGATGATATCCTGTCAAGTCTGGAAACTCTGTAGATTCATGCTATGGAGTTTTCGTTGGGTCATCGCACCTAGGTACCCTGGTTTTCGCATCTCAAAAATCCATAGAGAATAATTGAATGTACTATTTGGAGATGAGAACTGTTATCCAGTTCATTGTAAATCTCCAAACCCAGCAAAATACATAGCATTTCATAGCATACATATTTGAGCTGGGCCGTCTGCAAATAAAAATAAGTATATATATATATATGTATATATTATATACATATATGTATATATATACATATATATATGTATATGTATATATATATATACATATGTATATATATATACATACATATATATATATACATATATATATACATATATATATACATATACATATACATATATATATATATATACATATATATATATATGTATATATATATATACATATACACATACATACATCGGGATAGTATCGTTAAGAGCTTCGAACGAGAGCCGTCCATTCCATAGCAGTTGAACACCAACGTTCTTAGGAGGCATGTGAAACGATTACAACTTCTGTGAAACGATGACGACTTCTGTGAAACGTGAACAGCTTCTGTCAAACGTGGACAGCTTCTATAATTTCGATGACAAGTTCTGAAACTTTGCGTTAACCTCTTGACTGGACTATACTTATCATATACATTTAAAGTTATCCCGGATTTCAAACTGGAAGAGTATTGAACTAACATGAACTAACAACTCCCCAGTTGCTTTGCTCTGTTGGTGGTTTTTGGGCACAACCACAAGCTGTTTCCAAGAAAAAAACATCTGCCAGCCGGCAAAAAAAAAACTGGCTGTTTAAGAACGGATTTCCCAGTTCATGGATCAGCGAACCAATCATCAACCAACAAGGCTTTGAGCAAACTCCTAGAAACCCTTTGTATAGGTCATCATGTGATGCCTTCTTTGGCTTATTTCTGGAAATTTTAGATTTATGTTGTCCACTTGGAACTTATATCAATTCTATCCACTTGTAACCTATACCCACATAATCGTTGATCCTTCAAAAATCGCTCTATGTATAAGTCCCAACAAATGAACCAATCAACCCAAGGTATTGTTAACATGCTGAATCTTAGATACCTGACAAAAAAACACATTTTTTAGCTGGTTAGGACTAATTTTACCATTAAAATCGCAATTCAGATTCAAGTACTGGTTCGTATCTAACCAGTCAGTTGACCCAGTCAATTGATCCCACTCATTTACCATCATTATCCATATAAAACCCTGTACATATATACATATACATATATATATATATATTTGTTTCCCATATAAAACAATCATTTTCCATATACCCTCATTTTCCCAGCATATCATCGAAGTTTTCCCAGCATATCATGGTCTTTGGACCAATCAATGGCTCCTTTCTCCACTTCTTCTTCCGTTTCTCGTTCGACTCCTTCTGTCGATCCCTGGGCAACGTGGGAACGTGGGAGCAACTGAAAATGGTGGGATGCTCGACTTTGATATACCCAAAATGAGGATATGACATGGGATGACATGGGATGACATGGGATAACATGGGACAATCGGATAGAAGAGGAAATTTCACGGGATCTATCATCAACTTGATCTGGTTTGAAGTTTCTGTGAACATTTGGTACTGGATACGCTATAATTTGCAGCTTGAATGCAGAACATGATGAAAAGGCCTTGATACATCATTGGATTTTGATTCTTGCTTGGCCGGCCATATGGACAAAACCCCATTTTTGATGCGTTTGTCTCAAGCCTAATGTACGGCCAGTAAACTAAGCAAAATTGTCTTTAAACCACAAACCGGCTCCTGTTTGAAGATATTCGTAGAAATTGACCATGTATCATATGTATATATATATATATGTATGTAATATATATATATATATGTATGTAATATATATATATATAATTATATGTATATTATGATATAATATATTTTATTATACATATATATATATATATATTCATGGATCATTCATTCATATATGGCATGAAACGGACCATTGGTAATGGGAAATACTATCCATATACTAAACCATTGGAACTGCCAACATCCAAGGCTGAGAGATGACCTACAAATTCCCAGGGAGAACGTTCAGGTCGTAACGATATCACTTAACTAAGATCAGATAGTTAAATAGAGTTAGATTTGTAGCCTAATGTTTAACAGTAGGATATACATCTAAGTATATTTTCAGTACTAAATATCTTGTTTTATATAGATCTACAGTAACTATCATGTGTACCGTGGGGATTCGTGTTGATGGTATTAAGATTGGACATGTTCTTAAAGTCATAGCATTCCCATCTATTCCCATATCCCCATGTTTGTGACTTTAATACATGTATCTGGGTAAATTATAATATTTCACTAACCTGAATTGTTGGGCCATTTGGGGATGATTTCCCTAAAATAAACCATGATTCCAGTGAGGGAGAACAGTGAGGTCGTTATAATTTACCCAGATGTATTCATAGCTAATCAATCATCCCATATGGTGGTCTAAAAAGCCTATGGTCGTTGGGTGTACCTTCATCCATAGCCACACAGTAGGGTACTAAACAGAATTTCCATGCCATGGTCAAAAAACGTTGTCTTTTTGGTATGGGAAGCCTTCCATGGTGGCCAAACAGAATAACTGAGCACCATCCCTCAAAACTGAGCAAAACTAACGTTTCATCCATGTATGAATAAATATATTTCATGGGTACTAATGTGTATATATATGTATATATATATATGTATGTATATTTATCTATTTATTTATACTGACCATATATAGCAATTTATGTTTTGACCTTGGCAGGAATGTTTTTCACCGACCTTGCTGGTTTTCAGAAGGGATTGCCCATTCAAAAGGGATTCTGATCATCCCCAATGTATTGGAGAGTGCAGCCCCGTAGAATCAGCAACCAACAAGGCTTTTGAACACTTATCTATATATGTATGCTGATAGATATATTTGTTGGCTGCTGATATAAGGTGTTGTAACGTTAGCCAACTATATTAATGTTCAAAAACTATATATATATATATTTGGCTGACGTTGTTTATATACCCCATGATATCATATGATATCCCCACTTTAGCTGCTTGAAGCATTATTGTTGCTAAAATCCGCCACATCTTTGTAACTTGACCATGGCTCATATATGGGATTACAGATGATTACAGTAAACTGATCAATAAGGGGAATACTAACCATACAATAGCATATAATAACCATATAATATACAGACATATACAGACCATAAGATCGGTTTGGCTAGTATAGGCCCTTGAAATTGCCTGGAATCAACACCACAAAGGTACTGTCGGAAACATCTTGGCGCAAGTGTTCCCACTATCGATCCCCATTTGTATCCAGACTATATCCCCGTTTTTGAACGTTTTTAATGGGTTTCCCTGTCTAGCCTCACCAGAACTTGAAATTTGCTGAAGCCCGAAAAACATAAAACATACCCTCTGGTAAACTAACATAGCTATTGAAAATGGCCCAGTCGAAATAGTGGATTTACCCAGCTATTTCTATGGCCATTTTCAATAGCCATGTTAGTTTACCAGAGGGTAATGAACCATATTCCCACAAAAAGACCCTATGTCGATCCCTATGTCGAGTCAGGCGGAAAAAAAAAAACGAGAAATTTTCCGCCACGGGACTTCTCTTTTCGCACCGCTTCTTGCATCCATTCATCACCTGAATGGCCCCAAAGTTCGGCGCCCAAAATTGGCGTTTTTGCCAAATAAATGCCCTGGGGGGTTGGATATTTTTATCCATTGGCATTAAAATAGTTTTGATGGGATATGTAACCAACCATAATTAAATGGTGATTTATTGGGTATAGAATGGTAATATTAGATGGGATCTATGACCATCACCAAGAATCTGAGAAATCCAAAAGTGGCCTAGCCATGAACGTTTAGCTCGCTGGAAATTATTATCCACAAAAATGGGGGATGTCCAATTGTTATTTTTGCTCTCCGGAGGATACGCCCTTTTTTTTGTGCTGAGTCCACACATTTTGTTGTAATTTCATGGTATACTAAGTATACTATGACAACTGAATCATGACACATCTGGCCGTGTCTGAAAATGGAATATATCACCAACAATGGCATCTTAGTCGGAAAAAATCATGATGAACGGGATGTTTCAAGGAGATCTCAGGACGGCACTGAGATGCCACCATGGGGTTAGCCTCTGGTAAACATACAAAAAACTAACTGGAACATCACCATGTTTCTATGGGTACATTGGGTACTATTCCGACTGGGCCATGGCTTCCAGTTTGCTATGTAACATTTATATCAGAGGCTTACCTCACTGGTTGACTTCCTATGGATTTTCACGAAAGATTTATCATTGAAGCCACCAGGAGACAGGTTCTTTCGTAGGGGCGCCTCCCGGTCCCTTCTAAAACATGTCAATTTTTTTGGTGCCCCCAAAAAAATATCCAAAGGTTGTTTACCACTAATAATAACTATTATATACTATTATCAACTATACTATTATTAACTATTGGGTTTATGTTGGATGTATCTGAATGAGTCATACAGTATCTCCTTTTCAACAGTTTCTATCCAAAGTGGTCTAACGTGGTGCTCTGAGTCATGTCTGTTGGTTTATAAACCCCGTCAACAACTCATGGTGAATCTTAGATACCTGGCAAAAAGTCCGATTGTTAGCTGTTCAGGACTTGTTTTTGCTGTTTAGGACGAGATTTTACCATTGAAATCGCAAAAGATTAAAGTACTATAAACCGAGTTGACCCAGAACTAGTGACTTTTTTCGAGTACAAAAAGCTATTACCGTAAATGACATCTTATTACTATCCCATTGTTCTATTACCATTACTATGATACCATTACTATTCTGGTTGGTGGTTTCAACCCCGCTGAAAAATATGAAATTCAGTTGGGATGATGACATTCCCAATATATGGAAAAATAAAATTCATGCTCCAAACCACCAATCAGATTACTATGATACCATTACTATTTTCCCATGTTTATTCCGTTTAAAAAAAAAAAAAACGTCGGTTGACCTTTCCCATCAACCGGCTCGCGACTAGTGGGATCCTGGTACGGACGATTGACAGCGATGGTGGGGATAGCCTCCAGTAAACTTCAACTGATCATCTCCTGACTTTTCTGACTGAGTTTTTTAATAGTAATGTGTTGACTCCAGAAAATGGTTGACATGATTTTCCAGTAAACATACAACGAGCTGTGGGAAATAAAAAACCATGTAGTTATTGGCAAAGAAACAATGTAGCCCTGGTGAAACATCCCAGGGGATTTCAGATGCCGCATTCCGCCCTCACTTTGTTCCGCGCCAAAGAACGTTCTTGCTGTGAGGCTTGAGCCTTCTTGTGGAGTTTGCTGTAGAAATCCTGCATGATCCTCAGGGTGTCAAAGATGGAGGTAACCTCTGGTAATCTACCAAGTATGCTAGGGATAATAATGGGACAGTAATGACATTATATATGTTTTTTGCGATAATAATCGGATATAATCGGATAATGAGGAAATGAATGATAGGTGTTCCTACATTATATCCTCATGAATGCCCCATATCCCATGGTCAGTTCCTATCGGGTCAGCTTCCCCAGGACTATATCCCATTGTATTCCCATTACATTTATGAACCCAAAACCAGTGCCTTATATCGTAATCATCCCAACAGTCCAAGTAGCTATAAGTCAACCAACCAGTTATAAGTTATAAGTTTCTTTATAAATCCCATTAACTATAGTTGTAACTATCATAAACCATGGAAATTTCAGGGTCCTGGCCCCAGCTTTAGCACCACTCCAAGGTGCAACTCCTGTCTGGTGACTTCCTTGTCACCCCCGAACCATCCGCTGGACGTCACGGTCGACGTCTCCTGACGAAGGTTTGAAAAAGTTTTGCCCGGGCAAGGAGGCGACACTTGGAGGAGATGGCTATGAGTCAAAACCTTGGTACCTTCATCACCAGCCCGCGTGCGAAGTGATTTTCATGGCTTTCTGCATGGAAATGTCATACTTGGTGGTGAACTACACAGGAATCGGATCCGGTGGGTGAGTTCAGACTAGTGGATATTGCCCCTACAGTCAACGCCCATTGAAAGCACCTGTCAGTGAACCCATTCAAGGTTACAAAAACGAATCGCAAGTAGGGCGTGTCATTTGGGTTGGAAATGGGTGTTTTGTAAGGGCAATGTTACCCTGGTTGGTGGTATACCTACCCCTCTGAAAAATATTAGATTAGTCAGTTGGGATCATTATTCCCAACTGAATGGAAAAATAAAAAATGTTCCAAACCACCAACCAGTAACTTATACTGGGGTTAGAACCAACCTAGTAGCTGGGATGAACCACCAAGTAAATAAATAAATAAATAAATATATATATATATATCGATGCCACCAATGAACATGAAGAACATGAAAACATCAAAGTTAATAAATCAGTACAAATAATCATTATATAGTCATCAGAAGTATATATATATATAATCATACCTATGTAATTGTATACCATAACTAAACCCAGATAATCACCCGCAAATAGTCAGGAGGAGGCAATAGGAATAACTACAGAAAGACAGTTCCCGTTCCCCAAATATCGAGCTTGTGATAGCAAGATGTCGGAATTTCGGCTTCGTAAACCGGGAATACCCAGGTAACCTTTGGTAAATTAACAGTACGACCCTGGCAGTTGTTGGGTTTGGAAGACTAGTTTCCACATGTTTCCACTATAAATTGGTCATTTTCAGGGTCCAACTGTTAATTTACCAGAGGGTATATCCCATTATATCCCATTAAATCACCATTAAATCACCATTAAATCCCATTAAAACCCATTAAAACATATATTCCATGATTTACCAGAGGGTAACCTTTGGTTAACCAACCATTTTCAACATTCAAAATGACCAAGAGTCGGATGTTGGGGTCCACCCCACGAATCTTGGGAAACCAGCATGAGTTCGTATCTACCTGGTGAGCTACCCACGGTCCTCGCTACCTAACGGTTAGTTCACCCTGGTGAAGACACAATGGTGGCTTGTAGGGGCAATGTTCACATCGAGATTCACATAAAACAACCATACAACAACCATAAAACAACCATAAAACAACCAGAAATCAACCATAAATCAACCATAAATCAACCAATCTCCTGGTGATTTCAATGGGCCTTGTGTAGGCTTAATCCACTTAGTCGTCATCACTGGCCTTCAGGTCATCCAGGCAAGCTTTCTGCTGAGTGACTTTACCTTGGCAGGGATCCCCTATGCTGGGATGCTTTACAAATGAAAAATCCTTCAACCCATATCGGGGGTTCCTCCATTTGATGGTTTAAATGAATGACTTATAATGTTCATCCATAATTGACATCTATTTGCAATGGAAAAGCAAGGTTTAACATGGATGATTTGGGGGTTCCCCGCATTTTTGTTGAAACCTCCATTTGAAAAGCATGTGCCATGCTGGCAAATGAGCTAGCTTGACCGCTTGACCCTCAGTGATGTAGCCAGAAAAATGGGATTAGAGTATCATATATATAATCCCATCCCCCAAAATAAATAGTCCTGATTCTGTGGAAATACCCTACTAAACCATGGTTTCTGAAGGGGGTGCTTAACATTAGGGGGAAGGAATTACCCTATTTTACAATGTGCCCCTCTTTTGGTAGGCTTATGTCGACTTAGAACTCTAAGTCAACTCTTGGATTTATGATGGATATTAATCTACAGTTAGGGTTTAGAAACCACCTTATAACTAGGAGCTTTGTATTTGTGTATTGATGATATTAGGATACCAGGAATGATAAGTCAATCTGGAGTTTTTGTTGGTAGTGCTGAAGAGCTTGAGCTAACCAAAGACTCACAGCGATGGAAATATGTACAATCAGCGCTGTTTGGCATAGAGGATGAAGCACTATTCTGTAAGGTATTTAGCGTATACATATACATTTCTCTCTATCATATGTAAATAAATATACATATGTATATGTGAGTGTACACATAAATATATATATATATACAGTATATACATTATAGGCTATCAAGATCTCAAAAGCAGACAGAACCATCAGAAATGGGAGGACTTCCACTGATCGGATCATCTTTCCATACTCCAAGGACCTACCATAAATCGACCGAAAATAATACCCTTTGGTTATTTAATTTAACCTAGCCATGGAAAATCATCACTTCTTAATAGGTACATCATCTATAAATGGGTCATTTTCCAGTAGTTTCAGGATCTCAAAAAGGTGATACAGCCCAAAATAATCGCGATTTTATGATGCTTGAAGCCGACTTGAGTTTTCAAATGGAGGTTTCAACAAAAATGCGGGGAACCCCCAAATCATCCATGTTAAACCTTGCTTTTCCATTGCAAATAGATGTTAAGTATGGATGAACTTTATAAACCATCCATTTAAACCATTATAGATGGTATAAACCATTCCCAAATGGGTGGTTTATCACATTGTTTTACCCACATAAAATAAGATAAACGGATCACTTTCCACTACAAACTAACATCCATTTTCATAGGGCTATGTCGTTCCACTATAAATCATCCACCATTCACCCATGAAATAAGATCTTCCACAATAACCCCTAGTTCCACTACAAAATGGATAGTTTTCCACTACAAACCATCCATTTTCCATACGGCTGGCCATCCAAATCGGACACCCAAAACATCCGACAGATCGATCCTCCCAGGTGCAACTGGCGATGCAGTCCTTCAAGAGCTGCTTTAAATCTGCGACCTACACGGGGAGATCAACGAGGATTTTAATGGGGAATGCCAAGGATAGGATAGGAAAATCAATAATGCCCTTTTGGTAAAAATAGGTTTGGGCCGGTTTGGTATACCATCTATCATCATTGACCTGTTGTTAAAGGGGTAAACAAACCCCTCTATTCATCAACCAACCAATGGGAAAAGGACATCTATGAGGAAAATTATATCATATAATATGATTTTTTTAAATCATATAAGCATCATGAATTCGTTTTAATTCTGAAGTGTACATGATATAACATGATATAACTATAGTTAATGGATGTTACAATGATGTTACTGGGTTTTACAAACTGTATTACCATCATCTAGGTTTTATGGGGGGATACCACTAACTATAGTTTTTTTTGCATGGGTTATATAGACCATGGTATGATATAGCTATATTATAGTCAATGGATGTTATAATAGTTTATAACCAACTTGAAATAATTCACTACTTGAGGGTGAGCTATCCACGAACGGCAAATAGGTTACGTCACCCTAGTTGTAAGTGAGCATTGCCCCCTACTTATCCCATTGAAATCACCAGGGCGAACTAAGCTACTTACGATTCGTGGGTAGTTCGCCAACAAGTAAGAAATGGTGATTTCGGCTACACTTGAATGTTATGGCTACAGAAAAGGGGTGATGATGATATTCCAAAATCGTGAATACCATCATTCCAATATGATTAATAGGAATATCTATTAATACGGTGCTATATCCAATCGTGATCATCATTCCAATATCATCATGATATTCATAAGAAAATCTTGTGGATTAATAGGAATATAATGGTATTGCAGCCATTTCATGGGTATTCAGGGCGAAAAAACACTGTCGGAATTTCAGCAACAATTATCTACTAATAGATGCACTAAATGAGTGGATTAATCCACCTTAGATATATCCACTAAATGAGTGGATCAAAATATATAGTGGATTTAATTATGAGAAGTGATTATTGAAATATAAGTAATTTATTAAAATGTACTTAGTGACCCTTATTTAATGATTATATACCAACAAAAAAATGATCACTAATTATATTAATGATCACTAATTATATTCCAATAATTATATAACTAACCACTTAATGAAACTTGCTACCAACAAAAAGTGATTATGGTTTTGTCGGGAGCCATGGACGGCGGGGATCGAACGGCATTTAATTCATGGGATGTTTCATGAGCCAGGATGGGACCCCCCAGTGACGTGAACGTTGGTTTATAAACCACAACAAAACCACCACATTAGCCAGGGAAATCTATGGAAAATCTACGGAAAATCTATGGGAAATATGGGAAAATGGTTTATAAACCATAAGAAATAACCCCCCATGAATACTAGTTCGTTATATCTACCATAAACCATAGATTCCAGCCAGCCACTTATAATATAGGCAACTGAACGCGAGCTCGACTGGGGGCCCCATCCTGTAGGGTGGCTGGGTGTCTCCGGAAATGCATTCACCCCCCAAAAAAAGGCCAGTATTGTCATGGAAAACTAGGTTTTATCTCACTACGTGGTGTTTTTTCCCAGCAAGTGGGTTATAACTACAGCTATAAGTGAACATTGCCCCTACAAAACGCCCATTTGTAATCAGGATGAACTAAGCTACTTACGATTCGTGGGATGAACATTGACTATGAGACGTCCGGCGCCAAATAAAGGTGCTTAAACCATATGGATCCATATGGATGGGTCTCCATAAAGGGCTTTACCCCTATAAAAAAATGGATGGTTTAAATGGTGGAAAATCATCCGTTTGCTGGTTTCAATGGATGGTTTTTTTTGATGTTCATCCATAAGTAACATCATGTGAAAAATCATCCATTGATACAGGGAAATCATGGAAAATCCATGTTTAAAATGGTCGCCTTAATAAACATCGGATCATTTTTAGATCTTCCACCCATCGATGTCCTGGATGATGATGTGAAGATGGTAAATATGAGTGGTTAACATTAATCTAATTGGCTTTGTCTGAAAATGTTGGGTATATTCCCAATGAAATAGCCATTTAATAGGGATAATGATCAGCAAAACCATTGGGTTTAGGGGTACACTATTTTCAGACACACCCAATTGGTGGTTGACCTACCCCCCCCTGAAAAATGATGGAGTTCGTCAAAATGGATCATCATCCCCACTATTGGGGAAAATAAAAAATGTTCCAAACCACCAACCAGTAATGGTTATTATTTAACCATGGTCAATGCATTAATGGTTATGATGGTTAATATTAACCGTGAAGCTGGATTTTTTCCCAGCATTTCATGGTTAATATTAGTAGTTAATCTACTGTTAATTTGATGGTTAATATTAATGGTTATTATTAATGGTTATTATTAATGGTTATTATTAATGGTTATTATTAATGGTTATTATTAATTGTTATTGTTAATGGTTAATGATGGTTAATAATCTGGTTGGTGGGGGCCATACCTACCCCTCTGAAAAATGATGGAGTTGGTCAGTTGGGATTATGACATTCCCATTTTTTTGGGAAAAATCATCCAAATGTTCTAAACCACCAACCAGATGATGTGAAGCTGGTAAATGTACACCGCACCGCAAGAGACGAAGTTGTACTAAACATTACTAAACACTCAGCCATTTCTGATGAAAATCATCATTGTTTATGGGTTGAATCCCATTTTTCATGCTGAACTCATCATATCTTTGGTTTTTCATCACCATTACTAGTAGCTTACATCCTAAAAAATGGCTTTAATCCCAATTTTTCTGGGTGAAATCACCATTTTGCTTGGTGACTTAAACCTCATTTCTGTTTCATCCCCATTCTTTGATATGGAAGTTTCCTAAAAATGGGGTACCCCTAGTTCTCATCGATTTATAGATGGATTTTCTATTATAAACCAACCTGGTTGGTGGTATACCTACCCCTCTGAAAAATGATGATGTTCGTCAGTTGGGATGATGACATTCCATTCCCAATATGATGGGAAAGTCATAATCCATTCATGTTTCAGTCACCACCAACCAGATATATTGTTATTCCAATTATTAACCATAGATTAACCATAGATTAACCATAGATTTATAGATGGATTTTCTATTATAAAACAACCATTTTGGGGATCCTCCATTGGAAACCCCGATATTTCCCTATCCGGGTGGCCTCGGTCTCGAGCTGCTTCACCTTTTCGCTGTGGTCACCTGATACGAAAAATCGGTGATTTCATCGGTGAGTTCAGTAACAACCAAATGGGGCACATTTTCATGGGTTATAAGCAACAAAATGGAGGGGTTCACTGGATTTCTCAGATGTAGAGCGGTTTTTTTACGACAAAAAGTGGCTTTCATGGATTACAAGCAACACAATCGGGGGAATGTTCGTGGGATTTCATGGGATTTAGAGATAAAGAGTTGTGTTTTAATGCTGGAAATGGTCGTTTTGACTGATAAATGAGCCACAACAAATGGTGATTTCATGAGACCTCTGGCTAAACAAAATGGTGATGGGAGTTTTACTTTGGTCAGTTGGTGAACATAAGTCCAACAGCTATGGATTCATATGATTCATGCATGTTCATTGATATTTTCATGGGGCTTTTGTTAAGCAACAAACATAGCTGGTTGTTGGTTGACCTACCCCTCTGAAAAATGATGGAGTCCTTCAGTTGGGATGATGAAAATTCCCAACTGAATGGAAAAATAAAATTCATATTCCAAACCACCAACCAACAACCTATAACTTGGTAGTAGTCACTATTATAACTTGGTGGTTGTCATAACAATGATGGTTTATAACTATTATAACTTATAAGTTATATCTACATAAGTAGGTAGTTGACTTATAACTTGGTGGACTCGCCGGTTTTTACGGCTCCGATGTTTCACGGACTAGAAGGATTCATGGGGGAGGGGTGTTGTTCAGCAAGAAACATTTCACTGGGACTCACCTTGCTATGGTTTTGTATCATGGTTTGATGTTTCATGGTTGTGATCCTGATTTATTGTCCAGCGGTCGGGCGAGGGGATCTCATGGGTTTTTCACCACACCTACTTGGTGGTTTTTTTTCCGAGTTGGTAAGTGGGTTATAACCCTAGTTATAAGTGGACTAACCCTACTTAGTCCGCGTACAACTAGGGTTATAACCTACTTACGATTCGTCGGATGAACCACCAAGTAGTTTCTTGGTGACCTAGTTGCTCAACTTCCTAGTTACCTAGCGGCCCCGTTTGATACCTAAGCTACCTGGTGGCTCATCCCACAAATCGTAAGGAGGTTGGTTCACCCTGGTGATTTCAATAGGATAAGTAGGGCAAGGTTCACTAAAAAAAACTAGGGTGAACCAACCTATTTACGATTCGTGCGTAGTTCACCACCAAGTAGTGAATTATTTCAGGATGGTTTATAAAACCCATTAACTACAATTAAATCCTAGTTTGTACTATTTAGGATTATTTCATAAAACTTTGATGATGGTAATAACGTGTAATACATATAGATAAATATATATTATATATATATATATGGTCCCGTCCTCCGTCTCTCCACCCCCCCCCTCCCCCCCCCATGGGTTGGGTCCCCAGGTACCACCCCCCCTTTCCTTCTATTTGCAAGCTATTGGCAGCATTTCTGAGGTCCAGCTTCGTATTTGCTAGGTCTTTGCAGCATTTCTGACTACCAGCCTCGCATTTACTAGGTACATGCTACCTTTTAGGTGACCTACGTAGCACATATACTCCCTCAAAGTACCTACGTGACACCTACGTACTACCTATAGTGATATATATACATGTGCTATGTATCTACTTCCTATTTACTACCTGTGTACTCTGACAACATTACATGTGTTTAACATATACCGTACCTACCATACATTCCAATGATGCCATGCATACCATACCTATCATACCTATCATACATACCACATATACCATACATATGCAACATAATTGCCACACCTACCATACATACAATAGCAAACATACATGCCATACATACCATACCTACCATACATCCATACTTTCCAAACATGCCATACCAGACCGACCATACACACCATACATACCCAACATACCATACCACACCCCCACCACACCACAGGGGGGGAGGGGGACAGTACCACACCCCCACCACACCACAGGGGGGGAGGGGGAAGATCTCAATATGGGACCCATCCCATGCGGGGGGGGGGGGGGGGGGGGGGGAGGGGGGGGTGGCAGGGCCTGGTGCATATATATATATATATATATCCACCATCCAATACCACCGACCCATCAGTTCTCCGAGCGCCAAGGTGCTGCGGGCCAGTTTCACTTCTTTCGACCGATCTGCAACGGCCTGACACGATCGAGCAGTGGAGTGAACGACACAGAAAGAGATGTTCAATGAAGGGTCTTTATTTGTCTATATAATTCTATACATATATATATATATACAGTACATATAATTATATATACAGTATATATAATTATATAATATTATATATATATGTCATTATGTCATTCTAGATATATACTTACAACTGAAATTGAGGAAAGAAAGCGGAAAGAAGAGGAAACAGCGCCTCTCATTCCGAGGTCTGGGGATACTTTTCCAACAAATAGGTATCGCTACAAGGTGGTGCCCCCTAGATAGCTAAGTTGGTTTATAACTCCAATAAGTATGGTTTATAGGTGATATATCTATAGTTAATGGGATTATAAACCAACTTATAACTGGGGGGCACCACCTTGTAGGTATTGAAAATGGCCATTAATAGTGGATTTTCCCATTAAAAATTGTGATTTTCCATAGTTATGTTAGTTTACCAGAGGGTTGGTATCGCCAAGGTATCATCGCTAGGGGTATCGCTAATTTCGCTTCTTGCATGTACGCAACCTTATGTAAATCAGCTTCAAATGTGATCATCATAATTATAATCATCGCTTTCTGGCGGGCTTGCTGCACAGAGTGTTTCGTGCACTTTCCAGACACCAACTGAGCACTCCCTACTAAAGTGGTCTACCAAAGTTTTGTCCGTGCCTTTTATGATGAGGATTCAATCATCAACTTAAGATGTGTAGACAGATTCTTCAATCGTCTATGATGAAACTATGGTTGAAAATGTTGATGGGGATTCAATTGCATTTGAAGACCCATCCCAGGAATCGTAAGTGTCTTGTAACCTGTATATATATATAATCATATATTCATATATATATATATAAGACGTATGAATATATATATATATATACACGCATACACATGTATTTGCATATGTATAATATATATATATACAATACATACTTATATATATATATACATATATACGTATTACCCATGTATGACTGGAAATGGAATGGGGATATTCCATCTATAACCAGGTCATTTCATATTAGTTTTTACTTATCACCCACTTACAGCAGGACACACCAGTGATCTCCCAAGCGCTTGGATAGCAAAGCAAATGGGTACCCCCATGGTGTTCTAAAATAAATGGGATTTGTTGCTGTTTATTGCCCCAGTATGCCCCAGTCATATGGTAATTGCATCTGGTTGGTGGTATACCTACCCCTCTGAAAAATATGAGTCAGTTGGGATGATGACATTCCCCAATATATGGAAAGTCATAATCCAGCCATGTTCCAGTCACCACCAACCAGTCATAGCTTTTGACATGTTTTCACCAAAAATCGCCAGGTCTCTCCCAAGACGCATCGCCAGGTCATGTTTGTTCTCTCCGAACTCCATGACGGCATTCTCAAATCACCCAATGGCTTGGTTGAATGCTAAAACATGCTGTCTTGGTAGAGGTAAAATGATCGATTTCTTCCACAAGCTTGTGGCTATCATGCTAACATAAGTTACCCCTGAAAAACAAGCAATGTTTTGTCTTTTGGACAAATATCGTTAGATCCCTTTCAGAAGGTTTCTGTTGGTCTAGAACTAAGTATTCGATTTATGGTAGAAAAATCTACGGTTATAGATGAACATCAACAAAGAAACGCCACTGGGGCCACTAGGGGGCCCCATCTGGCCTGGTTATCAGCTATGAATCCATTCTGGGCCAAGTCCACTTCCAAAAGATAAATCTGGCTGAATTACATACGAAAAAATTGAATTAAATAAGTATTATCAAATTCATATATATATATATGTATATATATATGAAATATCTATCTGAATTCACCAACCGGAAAGTAAATAAAAATAAGTGTTATCATACGGCCAGCGATGTTGGGATGATTCCCCGAAAGTAAAATCGTTCCAGTGACGTCTCAATGAGGTCATTGTAATTCATCCAAATCAAAATCCCCATTAATGATAGCGATGGATGAATTGATGATGGATGATGGCTATGAATTTATAGCGAAAGTCTCATTGATACTGTGGATGGTTGCGAAATCCTGCATCACCAAAAGGATGGTTGAAACCCTATAAATAATGGGATGTTTACCACCGTTTTCAACTGGTGCAGGATTTCTTCCATCCACCGTATCCCATTAACATCCCATTGTCATCCTTATGAAACCATATAAATCATCGCTATTTCACCATTGTATGCACCAGATAAATACTTGGTGGTTCATCCCACTTAGTAAGCGGCTTATAACCCTAGTCAGTAAGTGGGTAAACAAACATAAAAACAATTGTCACTTGAATTCCCTATGTTTTATTCTGAAATCACCTTTTTTGGTGATTACCCTCTGGTAATTTACATAGCTATGGACATAGCTATGGAAAATCACTATTTTTTAATAGATAATTCAACGAACTAAATGGCCATGTTCCATGGCTATGTTAGTTTGCCAGGGGGTATATGACTGAACCATCACAATCACCACTATATCCTCATTACATCTTCTTACCCTCTGCTAGTCAAACATGGCAATTTTTCCAATGCGCCATGTTCGGGGCCGCCTTTGGCCATGGATCTGACGGGCTGCAGTCCTTCAAGTTGCTACAACCTGGCGTGATCAAAGCGATCAAAGCTTTACCACATTAAATGGGTTTTGAGGAAATAACAATAGTGATTTAATGGTGGTTTGTAGTGATTGATGATCGTGTTTTTATAGTGATTGATAAAACCACTATAGTGATTTAGCAGTATGATTTATAGCGATCTATGAAATGTGCTTCGTAGTTCAATTAGTTCAATGGGAATGTTACGTGGTCGTCTGTGTTCCTATCATTCCTATCCCCTACATCCACCATGGTTTCTATGGTTTCTGGGTTGATCTAAATATGAGGGGAAGGGATTTTGCTGGGTTTTAACCAACCAATGTTACTGAGATCATTGGAAAACCTGGTAGATGAACGCCTGGAAATACAAATTGGAATCAGTGGGCAATGGTGAGCTAGATTCTTGGCTAAAGGCACATATTAATAGATATTCTTTCTGTTGTGTTTTTCGAATAATGTAAAACAAACGATGGTAGAGGATCACCTACATGGATTGTACTTCATAGTTAGATTATCCATTTATAACATATTTATTCTACAGAATAATTTTGTGACAAACAAACTTACCATGAAAATATACAGAAGAATGGGCATATTTTTCTCGGATACACCGAGAAAAATGGATTGGGTGTTGTACTAACCATCACGGCAGGTTGGGTGCTAACCTCCTTCTGGAGATTTTTTCATCTGATGGCTGATACGTAACTGGTTTACGGCTTGGAAGTTTTTCATGGCTAAAAAGCTATGGCGAAATGCAGTCACAACATACTTGGTGGTTCATCCTGGTTAGTAAGTAGGTTATAATCCTGGTTATAAATGGGCGTTTTGTAGGGTTAATCCACTTATGACTGGGGTTATAACCCACTTACTAACTGGGATGGACCACCAAGTAAGTGTATCTGTATACATATGGAGGTTTCCATAAAATGACAGTTCCCTAAAATTGATGGTTGAAAAAATGGAAAATCCCAAACCAAAATGGATGATTTGGGGTCCCCCTATTTTAGGAAACCTCCATATATATATATATATACACATATATATATACAGTGTATGTCTGTCTGGCTGTCTGTCTAGCTGTCTGGCTGTCTCTATGCATGTGTGTTTGTATGAAAATATGAGTGTGTGTGTGTAGATGTACATTTACGTGTACATGTATATGTCGGGTTAATCATAATATTTCACTAACTTGAATTGTTCGGCCATTTGGGAATGATTTCCCTTTACCATAAACCATGATTTTTTCGGCTTCGAACAGTGAGATCGTTATCATTTACCCAGGTATATATATATATGTATATATATATATATGTATATATATATATATACATATATATATATATAATTATATATATATATGGTTATTACCAGTTTTAATAGATAAATCAACATGTTTATGATCTATAAATGGGCCATCTATATCATAGCTATGTCCGGGCAAACTACCATATTTCACCACGAAGATTTCGGCGATACAATTGGGATCATCCCAGTGAGATCATTAAAAAAATGATGGTATAAATTACCCTCCAGTAAATAAACATAGACCCTGGCAGATAGGGGTTGGAAGACTAGTTTCCATTAAAAATTAGTGATTTTCAGGGTCTATGTTTATTTACCAGAGGGTATGGTGAAAAAAATGAGAAACTCCTAAAATCAATCAAATTATGGTAAACATTGAGAAAAGAATGTTGATAAACTCTGATAAACCCCAAATCGACCAGAGGTGTTCATGGTTTCATGGCCAATCTCAGATACGCTTCAAAACATATTCTTGGCTGGTGAACCGACCAGAATAGAAAAGATGCAATAATCGAAAAGTTCGACATATTATTTACATCATCATTCATATCTGCCTCTAATCTCTCTAGACACGTAGAAATATATCATATTCTAATATATATATATGTGTGTGTGTGTTTGATATGCCATACTGGTTCACAACTTTCTTCGGAGAACACCAAGAAAATCCAAGACACACTTCTTCGGCTTTTTGCAGAAGACCGTCTTTTCCTCGCGAAAAGTCACCAGAATCATTGAAAAAAACTGAAGGCATGAAGGTATTACATGGCGCAGGCCGCATAGATGGCTAAGTTGGGGCTTAGTTGCCTCCGTAAAGTAGGGTTTATGGTGATAATATGGTGATAATATGGTGATATAATGACATGAGGTTTTTGATTCATCAATAAATCGATAAAGATAAACCGGAGGTTGAAAAACCCCTTGTAACCATGTGTGGATTTCCGATACCTTCAAAGAGGGCTACTACGCGGCTCCCTTGAGCGACGTAGCTTAGCTTTGAGGTCCATGGCTGGTTGGTCGTCCACCATCCAGAGATCCCCAAGTTGGTCAGTTGGTCGGATCGCAGAAACCATCCCATTTTTGAGGATCATGGATACAATGTGAGGCCCCCAAGATACCTAAGTTGGTGAACATCACTCCAATTTCACTATGGTTTATGGTACTTATAACTATAGTTACTGGGGCTTATAAACCAACTTCTAACTGGGGGGGTCACATTGTAGAATCTACATGAACCGGTCCTAATCCAGCTATCTAATCCATAGTATCCATAGTTCTGGCAGATCTGAGACCAATTTGCTCCATAGAAATGACCAACCTATATAACTGTGATGTTCTCCATAGAAATCCATAGTTCTACTACAGGATGGGGCCCCCAGTCGAGCTCGCGTTCAGTTGCCCTGTAAGTGGTTTTTTTGAACTATGGTTTTTGGTAGATATAACGAACTAGTCTTCATGGGGGGTTATTTCTTATGGTTTATAAACCAGTTTCCCATATTTCCCATAAATGTTCCATAGATTTTCCATAGATTTCCCTGGCTAATGGGGGTTATTTCAACCAACGTTCACATCACGTTTGGGTGCACCATCCTGTAGTTCTTAGCGTTGATTTTCTCCATAGAAATTACCAAAAAAACCCATGGAATTCACCGATTGTCTCGCGAGCGCTCATACCCCCGAGCCAAAGCCCAGCTGGCCCGTTCCGAACGGATGGAGAATTCGGAGAATTCTGTTCTTCTATGGATACAAGGTGGTGCCCCCCAGTTATGTTTGTTGGTTTATAATCCCATTAACTATAGATATATCACCTATAAACCATAGTTATTGGAGTTTTAAACCAACTTAGCTATCGAACGGGGGCACCGCCTTGTAACATGGAATAACCAAAGACTTATAAAAACGGGGATACTATGGATTCATGATTCTCCATCAAATATCATCTGGTTGGTGGTTTTCAACCAACCCCTCTGAAAAATATGAAAGTCAAATGGGGTTATTGTTTCCAATACATGGAAAAATAAAAAATGTTCCAAACCACCAACCAGATTATATAACTGGTTTGTGAAAAAAAAACTTCAATCATCCATGAAAGTTGCTCGTTTTTTCCAGGTATCTTACATGATAACTTCTGTTTGAGACCTGCTTTTGGCAGTTTTCGGAAGCGTCTGTTGTTGGTGATGTCTCCATTCTGACCCCATTGGCATGTTGAAACTCCTGTGAAATCCTGGGTTGTAGCACTCAACGAGTGGTACTGTATCTACCAAACCCAATTCCCGTAGCATACTTGTTGAACGACCGAACGACCCACGATTCAGGTAGCTTAGTTCACTGGTGATTTCAATCGGCGTGCGTTTTGTAGGGGCTTAATTAGTGTCCACTACAGAACCGAGGTGAACTAACTCACCCTTTTACGATTCCTGCGTGACCAGCACCAAGTAGTGACGGGCCGCGAGTGACGTGCCGCCCCTTCCCTACAATTCCTGGTGAACTTAAGTTGATTCGAAATCAAATGACCATCCCCAATATACAAAGGGTAGGTTGATCCCATATCCCCATCGAAAAAACATCAACCAGTTAACCAGTTTTTGATGACATTTTTCGAAAAATGATATGTCAAAAAATGATCCTGATCATTCCTGATCCAATTTATGCCATGTTTTTCGATCGCTTTGTTCAACCAGATGCTGGAAATTCCCCATGTTCGATGTCGACGGGGTGCCTACTGGGATGAGCTGCGAAATTGTCAGAAACCAGCCGTGGGCCTGCCTTCGAAGACAGAGTTTGGCTACCCTAAATGGTAAACTAATGGTTTAATAATACTATGGTTATTATATGGTTCATATTAATGGTTCTTATATGGTTAATAATGGTTGATATTAATGGTTATTATATGGTTAATGATGGTTAATAATAATCTGGTTGGTGGTTTTCAACCAACCCCTCTGAAAAATGATGGAGTTTGTCAGTTGGGGTTGTGACATTCCCAACTGAATGGAAAAATAAAAATGTTCCAAACCACCAACCAGTAATTATGGAAAATCACCATTTTAAATAGGTAAATCATCTACTTCTATGGTCAACTTTCCATTGCTATGTTAGTTCACTGGAGGGTTAATGTCTGCAAGAATGAACGAATGAGTCAATGAAGGAATGAACGAATGAGGGAATGAACAAATGATTGAATTCTGAATAGGTTAATGATGTGAACCAAGGGAAGAAGGAATGAATCAAGGAAAGAAATATTTTTTGATGTATAAATCCTGACCATTCCATTCCATGGTTACCCTCTGGTTATGTCAAAATAGCTATTGAAAATGGCCCAGTCGAAATAGTGAATTTTCCCATTAAAAATGGTGATTTTCCATAGTTTTTTGTTAACGTTTACCAGAGGTTAATGCTTTGACCATTCCCCACATTGGGGATCCCAAGGGATCCCAACCGATGACCCCATCGACTCCAAGGCGCCAGGAGTTGGCAGGTCATGCTCTTTGGGTCCGCGATGTCGCCACAGCCGCAGGAGCAACCGACCCCACTGGAGCTCTTCCCGGTGACATGGCCCTGGCAAAGAAAGACCCAGGACCCGGCCCGAGTGTTTCATAACTCATGCCCAACTAGGCGATTGGAGTCGGGGCAAGTAGATATATATATATATATATATGTTGGTAGCCCACCTCACTGCAGCGCATACCCTGTTGCGCTCTTTTCTCCACACTTGGCCTTGAAAGTGCCTGCGGGATATGTGAACCATGCAGACCTCGGATGCATCAGTGCACTAACACTCCTCTATAGTCTTTAACCTGCTTTCTATCTCAGGCAGCACGGCGGCGAGGGATATTGGTTCCTGGAATGAGCACTTGTTGAGCACCACCGTTTTCCACTGCCGTCTCATCCTTCACAGCCATCAAGTATTCCACCAAATCACGGAGCTGGTGTGAGCCCTTGGAGTAATGGCTCATCAGCCACTTCTTATATCCCACATCTTCATCTGAGCGAGACATGTGCAGTGACAGGTAAGAGCGCTTGTTCATGAACTTGCCGAAGGAAATCATAAATCCACCCCATTCACTGAGGGATTGAACTCCAGGTGGCAGGTTGGGCATCGTCGACAAGGCGGACGTTGCCGAGGGCAAAGGAGCTGTTGGCTCTGACCCACGTCCACCATAAGACGTCGGCGCATCATCTTCGCGCAAACGTTTGGAAGCATCACTCATGGCTCCCAAGGCTGGCTTCTCTGAGATGACATCCCATTCACATTCCTTCTCCATGACATGTTTCATCAAGGCAGGGAGGACACCACAATCACGAGCCTTGCACAAAAGCTTCAAGCAAAGCTGTTGATCTTCGTCAGTCCAGGCATGAGCTGACATCGCTCGATGTGACATGGTACGCAGGGATGCTGGCTAATCGCTGATGCTGGATGCGGCTGCACTCACACAATCCTTTTCAGGCACTGCTGCAAGTGATAAACCCCAGTTATTACTATCCCCAATAACTACCCATACTACTCCCATCTTATTAGTTACACAGTGAGACTAAAAGGGCACAGAACTTGGCACGTTTCTCGGCTATCTCCTTTCTCTTCTGTCTCTCATTTGCTCTCCATTCCAACACATCTTTCTCCGGACTGATCTGGTATTTTCCAGCCTTGATGCAAGCACGCAGTAAGTCCAACGCATCGGCAGACTCCTTGGTCATGCTGTCTGCCAACATACGGTCAGTTGGCAACCAACGGACTGAGGCGCACATTCTCCGGACTCCCTCGCAAATAATAATGATGTCGATTGAGGTCCTACGGTCATCAAGTGATGGTGCTGACGGCGACTTCAAATGATCAAATAAGGACTTACAATCTGTCACTAACATGCAGGGAGGACGGTGAGGCGCTTCCCACAAGGACTGCGCACAGCATGGTCCAAACTGGACATCGGCTAGGATGAGGGACAACCATTCACACATGCTAGATGCTGCTGACATTGATTGTGCCTCTGCGCTGAGAGTTGAGTTCACTACTCTGGGGAGTCTGTGGCTCTTCCAATAAGCCGGGGTCCAACTACAGGTGTCTCCAACTTCTAAGTTCTTATGGGTGAACCCAATTACATAACCCCCTTGAGTGGCCCCTCCCTTAGCATTTGCATAGGCAGCATCAGAGTGGCACACAACAGCAATCTCGGACATCGGAATGGATCTGTACACAATGCAAAGGTCGGCATGTTGACGGGCTCGGCGAATTGCATTGTTGGCCGACAGGGCATCTCCTACAGTTGGTTGGGGAAATGACTGCTGGGAAAAGGACACCTGTGCTGCAAGATCAGGACGTGATTGAGATGAAAGCCAATTTAAGCTACCATTGATTGCCCTAAGACAACTTACTTCCTGGTCGGACAGCAATGCAGTCTTGTCATGGCAACGACTTCGGCCCATGTGAAGCGGTCGAATGCCACTGGCAAACTTGGCTTGGCTCATTGAAATTTCAAAAGACACTGGATCCTGAACGTATCTGGCACCACAAAAATCTCCATCCAGAAAACGCCATTTCCGAAACTCAAACTTCGCCTTCAACTGGGCCATGGCCTTGTCATATTTTGAACCAAAACCGCCTGTTGCACAACCATCCACATGCACACCGTATATTCCAACTAGTTTTCCAGATTCATCTCGCAAGGTGTACAGGCATGGGTCAAAACGACTGGCCACAAAACCAACAGACAAAAGTTCACGGTGTAACTTCTGCTGCCATGCGGATGGGCTATCATTCAAACCATAAACATGACCCGTCACCTCTACCAGAGCGTCTGAAGGAACACCAGGTATGCCACCCGGAGGTAACCGGGCGTAAAGTGGTCTGTACTTCTCAGGAAGTGGACCAGCGGAGAGAAATGCTCCTTTGATATCTCCAAGGGCCAACTGCCATTTGTTCGATGCAATGGTTTGGAACAGGACACTTCTACTCACTTGTGACAGAGTTGGACTTTGGAGTGCACCTTCAAGGGCTTTCACAGAGAGATCAGGGTCTCGGTGACCCAGCAAACACCAACGAGCCTTGATCTTAACAGGGGCATCTTCTTCTTGTTTCAACGTAACCACAAAACGGCTATCCATGATTCTGTGAGACAGCTTCTGACGAACATGTTCAGCTTCAGGACCATGAATCAATCTACCGCCCCCCTTTCCTTCAATGACATGCCATTCAGCCAATTTGGCTTCATCGATCCTTTTCTGTTGTTCAGGCTCTTGATTGGTGTGCGGTATCTCCTTAGACCCACGCTTTTGATGGTAGGAGACCAGCATGACCTCCCATGGAACACCTGCATCATACATTTGGATCAGCTCAGCACGGTCATGCTCAGAAAGCTCTTTCGAACCCGAGGCAACATGTTGGACTGGCATAGCGCCAGTTGGTCTTGTGGCATCGCCAGCGCTACTTGACGATTCAGTTCTTGGGACCTGAGCGTGACCATGTGACTCAGCATTGTCTGGGCTAATTGCACGCTTGACACTGTGAGACCGCGGTGATGACATGGCTGCATCGGGTGTGTCGACTTGTGGAACCAAAACTTGATCTACCAGCCTAGGAACTATCTCTTGCATCATCTCAGCAAAATCATCTGCCATCATAGGAGCTGGACGGTATAAACCACTAGGACCATTCTTACCTCTCAAACGTCGACGCACTGGACCATATGTTGACGACTCCTCAGGACTTGAGTTCTGGTCGTTTCCTGCAGTAGCATGGCCATTTTCTGAAACAACATCCAGGGATGGTTCAACAGGAACAGGAGTCATACCTGGTGCAGCAGCGTCATCAGCTACAGGGCCGGCTGTGACAGCAGGACTCTCGGTCTCGGTGTTTAAACGATCACTCAGAGACATGGCTACGGTCGGACCGTCTGATTGGCTAGGGGCTTCTGCTGGAGCTGCTTCGGACTGTTCTTCAGTGGGATATCCTTGAGGAATCAAGTCCACATATTGTCGACTAGCAATCTGACCAGCTTCAAAGGCATGCTTCAGTCCAAGCAGTTCGGCATGTGGAGCCCTTACCAACTCTCGTTCCTCGCTTGTGGCAGCTCTTATCTGCTCAGGAGCGCATCTAATTACCTGCCTTTTGTGCACCACCACAAAGTTGCGACCAACCTTACCTAACACAATGGCGGGCCCATGCCAACGCCCATGGTTGTTCAATTGACCCTGTTCCCACTTTTGGGTTCTCCAGTAAGCAACTAATTGACCAGGTTCGGGTTCTTTCTGATGGCGCGGTTTGGCAGCTAAAGCAAGACGCAAGGCTTTGTTGTCCTGAAGTTCTATAACTGCACGACGTGCGGCATGACGAACAGCGACACGTCTGGCCACTTCTTCTTCATATAGTGGGGCAGTGGCTGGAACTACTTCCAACGGTTCATCCATCAGGTTCTCAGGAATTTTGGGATTGCGACCAAAAATAAACTGAGCAGGAGTCATACCATACACCTGAATCAACTCATTTTTGCAGTGAGCCGCAAACACACATTCCAACCATGCTTCTTTGGAAGTCGGTGAAAACTCATGAATGGTCTTTTCCAACACCTGATTGAACCATCCACCATGAACCTCTACCTTGCCAAGCTGGTAATGGGCGTCCGCGGCTGTGACATGGATTGTCGATCCGGACAGCTCTTGTGGCACAGTCAACACATCAGACAAATTCACTCGGTGAGGATCACAAATGATCTCTGATGGCTGTCCTGCCCAACTGATCCACCGTTCCTGCACAGCTTTGCGGAGGTTCTCAGCGGTTGGACGTTCAAACAGAGGGACAACAACCTGGAAACTGCTAGCATAATCAACAATGTTGAGAGCAGCAACTTTTTGGTTCACTGACCATCCTGTGAGATACTTCACATCCATGCCAATGCGCTGATTAAACACGGTAATTCGTTCTGGCTGTGCTGGGAGTGCAGAACTTGGCTTTGCATTGGCCATACACTGAGCGCACTGCAGCTCTCTTGCCAGCTCTTGGGCACGCTGACAAGCACCACCATGCTTCAACAACCTCACTAAGTGTTGGTTACCAGGGTGACCCAGATTAATATGCAGCTTGTGCAAACTATCTTGAATCTTTGCATCATTTCCTTCATTCAGCTCTCTAACCCTGGCAGCAACTAAACACTCAGTCGGATGATGGCATGCAACGGACAGCACAGCCTGGCTTCGCAGACTTGGCACGCTATCCATGACAGCACGGACGAACTTGGCAGTGTACTGCCCAGCATAACGACTCACACTTCCTACCTCAGGATGGCTTCCGGCAACTGGTTGGTGAACATGGTGTCTAGGGTTGCTCTTTCCAGGACACTTCAATCCTAATCCTTTCATATTGGCATGAGACACCAACAACCGCGTTGATTTACGGATGAGATCACCATGAGGGATTTTGAGACCAAACCGGCACATGTCGCACTCAATCAAGTGCATCCTACACAGCAAACGTTCAACACGTGGCAGCTTCCAAATTGACGAGGGCTTTGGATGTTCCAGCAGGGCTCGACCACCGGCATTCAACTGGGTTTCAATCAGCTCGCAACAAAAGTTGACAAACAACATGGTAAGAACTCGGCGTCTCTCAACTTCGGAGGGATCCATGTATAACTGATTAAGATGAAACCACCCACCTGCCCATGTGCATGGGGGACTGCAGACCAATAAATCAGGTGGAGTATTGGCTACAATTTCACGCATGGTTTTCCGGTGATCAGCTTTTCTGAAATCCCAACCCGTCAAAAGGTCGGCAGAGAGACATGTTTGACCACGAACAGCAGTCTGTTGAGCAAATCGTGGGGGTGAAAACACCTCTATAACATTGTATCTCTTTGGCTTGTCGACAGCTACATCTAACTTCCTGACATGCTGAGCAAGTTGCCTCGCTTGCTTGGGCGACCATTGAGTCATCAGCACCTCATCAGGATCTGCTGTACCTGGCAGCGGTGGTTCAGCAGGACGGATGTAAAACACTGTCTCTCCTAGCCAATATTTGTCGACCTGGCTACCTACATGTGCATGTGCATCGGACGGCTCTGTCCATTCATCATGGATTTCATGCATGTCAGGCTGATCTACCCAATGCCAACGTGTCACACGGTTTGAGGATAGGTCAGCAGGATCTACTGGACAGTGCGTATTGCATGGTGTAAAACGCTCAGTACGGGGCCTAACATGGTGTCGGACTATTTCCCCCTTTGCATAATTTACAACCCAGTAATCCTTAGACTTACCCTTCTTACCAACTATGCTTACCTCCGTTGGCGGAGGGGGCACGACTTCACACAGGACGGGATCGTCGGCAAGGCATGGTTCGGCATGCACAGGGTCGACATCAGGCTGATGGGCAGCCATGCACACGGAGTTCTCTTTGGGCTCAAAGTTGGACACTGGAATCATATACTGACCAGCAGCATTCAGGCTCATGGGAACACTGGTTTTCCCATTGAACAGCTTCAGCTCGTCATTATGAAAATTCATCTCAGCTTCCAGCTTTTTCATGGCAGGCCTCGATAGCAGAAGTGGGGCATCGCCCTGGACCACAGCAGCTAACACAGCTCCACGCTTCTCCGCCAGACAGATGGGCATCGCCACAATCTCCGAAGACTTCTCACACGCACCATTACCATACCTGAAAAGGTTCTCCTCGTGCTGAGGCTGAGGCTGTGGAACTCCAGCTTTTGTCCACAACGCACGAAACGACTTCAGAGTATTGGCACCTACGATTGTCTTTCCACACCCAGAATCCAAAACAGCATATCCCGGTGATGACACCAACATCACAGGGTTGGCATGCACTTGGGGCTTCGACGTCAGCTTGGCACGCAGTTGCTCCAGCAAGGTTGATGGCTTTTGCCATCCAGCAGCACAAATGAAGTGCTCCTCGGGAACATTTTGCACACAGCTTGCTCCATGGGCAGTTGAACTGGAGGCGCTCTGTGGAGTCGGATTTCCACGAGCTCTGCATTCACGGGCCCAATGGCCCATTTTCTTCCACTTGTGACATCTCGTACGTTTCTTCAGTTCCTCCACTTCAATGCGAAAGGAGCGACGGGTGTCTGCTTCTTTGTTGAATTGTCTCGATTGCTTGAGACGTGCCAGCTCCTGACGTTTCTCCTTCCAGCTAACTGCAAGGATGTCGGCCACGTCCTTCTCCTCGTAGCACTCGTCTGCTGTTGCAGCTTCGTCTTCAACGTGCTCAGCTAGAAACAACTCTATGTCCTGGAAGTCTGTGGCACCAGTATTGGGGTCATCATCATTCACAGGCCCCATCGCCTCTGTCAGGGGCTTGGTCTCCACAAGGTGTGCTCCAGCTGACCTTCGTTTAGGTACAGTAAACTCAGGGAAGCATGACCTCATTGACAGTGCCATGGCCTCAAACTTCAGCTCGCCCATTGTACGAGCCAGTACAACGGCACGCTGTTCTTCGCTCATGCCACTGCATTGAAGAAGTATCCAGCCTCGGGCTTCATCTGGAAAGTTGACGCCCGTTTTGCGGTTGCATCTGTCAAAGCATTCCCGGGCTCTTCCACACCATTGTCTCACAGACTCACCTTCTTTGGCTTTAAGGCCAAAGATCTCTGAGATGTGCTCACCCATCTCATCGCTACGGTCTTTCTGTGGCCATCGCTGATCCAGCAGTTTGAAGATGACTTCATCACCTCTTTCACACTGGTACTCCTCCTCCTTGAGGTGTTCAACGATTTCTAAAGCCTTACCCTGTAGCAGGGTCCACACAAAGCTACCTCGTGCCTTCGAAGGCAGCTTATCCATCACATTCATCTTGTTGATGGCCCATTGGCGCCAGCGGCGATATTCTCGAAAATCGACCTCATCGCCACCAGCGAAGTGCCTCAAAGAAGCACCCGGATCCGTCATCAGGCGGAGGCACCTATTGTCCTAAACAGGTGCTGGAGCTGGCCTATTGCCAGCTCCGCTACCAATGTTGGTAGCCCACCTCACTGCAGCGCATACCCTGTTGCGCTCTTTTCTCCACACTTGGCCTTGAAAGTGCCTGCGGGATATGTGAACCATGCAGACCTCGGATGCATCAGTGCACTAACATATATATAAGGTATAATCTACAGGTGCTGAAAAAATGAGTGGTTCAAATGAGCAAATGAGTGTTTTCCTTGTGCTTTGATGAAGTCGATTAACAGGTTTCATTGATGATCACTCCGTGTTTGTTGATTGCCCCCAATGTTTACCAGTGAAATATACCATTTCTTGGTTGGTATCACCAGCTTTGGTGGTTCAACCCCCAAGGCTTACAAATTGTGATGGCTAATGTAGCTAAATTTTATTGAGGACAACCAGTTTTTGACGTCGAATCTCCTGCTATCTCTGGTGAAATCAAACAATGTTCAAACAATTTGTGATATGATCCTCCAAACAGTTACCCTCTAGTAACCTAAATTAACAATGGAAAATCACGATTTTAAATAGGTAAATCAACGAACTAAATGGCAATTCTCAAAAGCTATGTTGATTTGCCAGGGGCTATATGACATTGAACCATCATAATCACCCCTATATATATATATATCCTGATTTCCGCTAGTCAAACATGGCAATGGAAAATGCACCATTTTTTCGATGCACCGTTCCCTTGAAATCTCCAACTTTATGGGCTATTTCCAGCCGGCCATGCTTTAGATGAGTGGAGGGTTTTCATATTGAACACCCCCGTCCCGTTGTCCCAAATATGTATTGTTCCCAAGAAGTGCCCTTACGAAATCCATGCTTTCGGGGGTTTGTTCGAAGGGATGGGATGATAGTGATGGATATTATACCCTTGTCACCATTTGGAGCATAATATCATATGATAATCTATATATATATATATGACTATATAATAATATATATTGATAATTTTATAATAATAGTATATATATATATGTATATTCATAATAATGTAAAATAATATATAATAATGTAAAATAATATATAATAATATATAATAATATAGAATAATATATAATAGTGTAAAATAATATATTAATATATACTAATATATACTAATATATAATAATATATAATAATATATAATAATATGTAATAATATGTAATAATATTATATAATATATAATAATATCTAACAATATAAAATAATATATAATAATATATAATAATTTATAATAATATAATAATATATAATAATGTAAAATAATATATAATAATATTTAATAATATATGATAATATATAATAATATGTGATAATATATAATAATATATGATAATATATAATAATATATAATAATATATAATATCATATAATAATATATAATATTATATAGTTATATATAATAATATAAAATAATATATAATAATGTAAAATAATATATAATAATATATAATAATATATAATAATAAATAATAGTGTAAAATAATATATTAATATATATTAATATATACTAATATATAATAATATATACTAATATATAATAATATATAATGATATATAAAAATAGATAATAATATATAATAATGTAAAATAATATATAATAATATGTAATAGTATATGATAATATATAATAATATATGATAATATATAATAATATATAATAATATATAATAATATATAATAATATAATAATATATAATAATATATAATAATATATAATAATATATAATAATATATAATAATATATAATAATATATAATATTATATATTTATATTTAATTATATATAATTATATATAATAATATATAATAATATATTGATAAATGTATAATAATATATACTAATACGAGCAGCAGCAGCAGCAGCAGGAGGCAGCAGCAAGGAGCAGCAAGCAAGCAGCAAGCAAGCAGCAAGCAAGCAGAAAGCAAGCAGAAAGCAGCAACCAGCGTTTGCCCCGTTGAAAGAATAATGAAATGTAATATAAGTTTTATAAATCAACGCAATACAAAAATTGAACTTTTTCCAATTACTAAAATCCAATTACTAAAAGTTGTGGTGATGCCAAACTTGAACTTTTTCCAGGCGCACGGCCTCCCGATACAACTTCTACGAGCTGATACGACTTAACGCTAGGGCTAGTAGGGTCAAAAAGAATCATGTCAACAAAACATTGCGCACAGCGATGAAAAAGTGTTCGAATCAATAACCCATCAAATAAAGAACTATCAAAATCTATACGAAACACTGCGCGCACGCAGGTGTGATACGACTTCAGGTCGATTGATACGACTTAAGCCTAGTGGTAGTATATACTAATATAATGATAAATAAAATAAATGGTGAACATCTGTGAACACAATCTAGATACATGAATCATGAAGGGATGATTTCACAACATTTAACAACTCAACAAGATCACCTCCGGAAAAAAACGAAGCGGATAATCTCACGGCTGGTGCCTCCTCTTGGTAGGTCTTCCCCTTGGGTTTCTCCCGCTTCAAAATCTCCAATGCACGGAGCGTCGAGTCCTAAAGCCGTGGAGAAAGTGGCCCAAGTCCTATAGGACGGTGCACTCAAACGTGATGTGAACGTTGGTTGAAATAACCCCCATTAGCCAGGGAAATCTATGGGAAATCTATGGAAAATCTATGGAAAATCTATGAAAAATCTATGGGAAATATGGGAAGTCTATGGAAAATCTATGGAAAATCTATGGAAAATCTATGGGAAATATGGGAAAATGGTTTATAAACCATAAGAAATAACCCCCCATGAATACTAGTTCGTTATATCTACCATAAACCATAGTTCAAAAAAAAAACACTTATAATATAGGCTTTTCTGAACTATCGCTCGCTCGACTGGGGGCCCCATCCTGTCGGGATTTTCATCATGATGTTTAATACCCAACAGAAATGTCCATAGATTTTCCATAGATTTTCCATAGATTTTCCATAGATTTTCCATAGATTTCCCATAGATTTTCCATAAATTTTCCATAGATTTTCCATAGATTTTCCATAGATGTTCCATAGATGTTCCATAGATTTCCCATAGATTTTCCATAGATTTTCCATAGATTTTCCATAGATTTTCCATAGATTTGTAGCTATTTCACCCAAAATCATGGTGATTTGGACCAGAAATGGCGCTTCAACCTGATTCAACCAGAAAAAAAAAAAACGTGGTTTCTGCGGAGAAAAAAAACATCGAGGATTGGGGCAACACCAAGTTCCACGATTCATGGGGCCCCTGATCATCCCTCAATGTGTTATTCCTATCTCTGGATTGCTCTATGTTCATCTCATCCGATTGCTGATTGTTGCTTGTTTTTGAAAAGTCCCATGACATATGCCTATTAATATCCCTATTAGATCCCCATTTGAAAAACTGTTCGTATGGTTAAATCCAAGGAACGAGATGGCGGCACAACGGCACTTAAAATCCAGTCGTGTTTGGCCAAGAGTCCAGGGTTTCTTTGGCGTCATGACACTGTGCCTGCCAGGCCCAGGTTGTTAGCCATCTCGCGTCACTTTGGGGACCAGGATGCAGTGGGGCTATATGTTGTTGGCTACAACACCTTTAGGGTTTATATGTTGTTACACTTACGTGATGTAAGAAGGGCTGCGACACCTGAAGCGGACTATTTCAATACAATAAGTACCCATCTTAAAACAACCCTGGAAAATCACCTTGAACATCTTGGACAATTTAGGACGACCCTCCGGCCACCATCAATTTCTAGTCTTAACAGTAGTTGCAAGGTGGACCCCCCGGGCACAAGTTGGTTTATAAACCCTCTTGAGTATCTTACACTTGTTGGAGTTCTAAACCAACTGAACGCTATCTGCTTTGGCGGCCACTCCTTGTAGTTCATCGCATTTAGATCCACTTAGTCAATAGCTTCCGACCTCTCATTTTTGGGGGGGGGGACAAACACCCAGCAATCAAAGGCCCGTATACAATCCACTCACAAGATGTAGGATTAGCTACAAAGTAATCCCAATGTTCGTTCGTTAAATCCATATGTTTTTAGCTCAATCATGCTAAATCCATATATGATATATGTTTGCTGCTTAGAATCACCTGAAATCATGATGCGTTAATCCTCATTGTCGCCGGTGACCACCGATTTCAGTGTCTGAAAATGCGGGAATTGGCTCCAATTATGGCCATAGAAAACTGGAGGAAACGAGTTATCAACATGGCGGCCAAATTTCTAATATGTTAATCATCAGTGCACGGATTAATCATTATTTTCCGCTATTGAAATGAACAATTCTGGGGTTACCCTAGTGTTAGACAAACCCACATCTTCGTTCACCCAAAAATCCAGTTTTGCCGGTGCCTCATAACAATCTGCCTGCCGTTGGCGGACGATTCCCAGATGTTTTGCCGCCAATATGTCGGGCAATTCATCTACAAAAACGGTGATCAATGATATACCGATATACTGTGTAATATATTATAAGTAACATGACATATATATATATATATGAACTTTTTCAGAGCGCTACAATGGGTGCTGCACAACGGGAAGATTTGGATGCAACAAAAAGTGTGGATGTTTCACCAATTTTCGTGGATTCAACCAACGAATTGACACTTTTTTTTACCAACAAAACAAGGTGAAATTGCCTAAGAAAAATGTGTTTTTTTTACCCATGATCGAATGAGGACTTAAGGCCTTGAAATATTTGACGGACATCATGGGAATAACACTGAGTTCATATTGATTGACTACCAATATTTGAAGGTATTTGATGGATCGGATTCTGACTTATTACCGAATTTACACAGCCAACCTGAGATGTTTACCACTTGAAAATAGGTTCTACATCTGTGTAGATTCTTAGTTTTATCATGTTCCAAAATGGCAAACAATCAAAGCAATCAAAGCACTACACATCCATGTGACTTCAATTGGACAAATGATTGAACAAACGTCGAGTTCATGGAGTTCATGTTCAATCATTTTTCCAATTCAAGTTACATTATTGTTAATCATTTTTCCAATTCAAGTTACATTATTGTTAATCATTTTTCCAATTCAAGTTACATTAATGACTAAAGATTCAATCATTCATGTTCATGTTCAATCATTCATTCTGGGTAAATTATAATATTTCACTAACCTGAATTGTTCGGCCATTTGGGGATGATTTCCCTTACTAACCATGATTTCCAGTGAGGTCGTAGTGAGGTCGTTATAATTTACCCAGATTTAATGACTAAATGATTTAAAAATGATTAAAACCAAAAATGGTTTCGCGCAGACCTTGGTGAAATCATTGAGACCCCGGATGGATGAGTCGCCCGATGATTGTTGGTGAAGTTATGTGAAATCCCATGAAAAATGTCATTCAAAAACGAACAGGCTATATAATATATACATATACATACATGTATATAATATATACATGTATGTGTATGTATGTATATAATATATATATACATATATATATATGTATATGTATGTATATTATATATTATGTATGTATGTGTGAATTGTTGCCATCGATTTTCCTGGAAACTCACCCACGGTGACACGGTCCGTTTTTTCAAAACGGGTCCTTGGTCACCACACAGTCGCGCTTCAGCCCAAGCTTAAACTCAGGTTCGTCTTCCTGACGATCACTGGTGATTTAATGGTGATTTAATGGTGGTTTCTAGGTGATTTCTAGGTGATTTACTGGTTGGTGGTTTTCAACCAACCCCTCTGAAAAATGATGGAGTGAAAGTCAGTTGGGATGATGAAATTCCCAACTGAATGGACAAATAAAAGCCATGTTCCAAACCACCAACCAGATCAGTTGTGCGCCGGAAAACCGAGAAGTTCTTGTGGGTTTCGTATGGAAATTTCATGTGGCTTCATAAAATGCAACAAGTAATCAATGGATTATAGGAAACCCCTATATTATCAACATTGATAATAGGGAATTTTTGATAATAGGGGTTTTAATTCCCTTTCATCAATGTTTCAAGGGATTATTTTTTTATAGGAAACCTCTATATTATCTATATTTGATGGGAAAAACTGGGAAAACAGGGAAAACAATGGTTTCCTCTAGATTTCCTCTCCAACCAATCCAGTGAAGTAGGTAAATAACTTAATGTAATGAGTTTAATGTAATGAGTTTGTTATAGTAAAAAGATGCAACAAGTAACATTTCAAAAATAGATGGGTTTATAGTCCGTAAGTAGTATCAGTAAGTAGTAGTATGATACCTTATCGGGTTAAAAAAAGAGTGGTTTCTGGTAATCCAAAAAAATAGAAAAGAGAAATTCCACAAAAACGTGATGAATTGAAGCGCTTCTATCTTTGGGGGGGTTACTGTACATGATTTTATGTGTATTTGGGTTTGTCTGAAAATAGTGTACCCCTACACCCAATGGTTTTGCTGATCATTATCCCTACTAAATGGCTATAATTGGGGGTATACCCCATTTTTAGACATACCCATTTAAAAAAAAGAGAGATTGGATGAACATCCTGAGGAACTTTGGGGAAAAATACACCCATCATTCCAGTGGCGGAAAACAACGTTTTAGGTCGCTCGGCTTTCTCATCCCGACCTGTCCCTCTCAGTCCTGATTTCATTAACCCAACAGGTTGACCAAAAACTTCTGTGACAGTTTCGCATATTTCAGGGTTTCCTAAAGTCATGAAAATATCCCCAAATCATCCAAGTCATGAGACCATTATATATGGCCTAACTTCTTATATATATATATATGTATATACTAAATCGATTATCCATATAGATATATATATATTCCAAGACATGATATATCATTTTATGGCCTAAGCCATGGGAAACCATGGAGATCCCACATGGAAAACTCCAAACTTCGGCGCAAATTTCGGGGCCTTGCAATCCGTGGCCCAAACGGGACAACAAGGTGCACCTTCCACCACGCCCTTCTTCTCCTCGAACTAAATGGGGGGATGATCTAGCCAACATCAGCCAACCATAATTGGAAATATCCCCGAACTACCCTCTGGTTATGTCAAAATAGCTATTGAAAATGGCCCATAGAAATAGTGAGTCTTTCCATTTACAGTAAAATGGGTGGATCTTTCCATAGTTATGTACAGTAAACGTTTACCAGAGGGTAAATGATCTAAATGGAGGTTTTTCCATGAGAAAATCATCTATCAATGGGAGATTATCCATTGAATCCATTGTCATGTTTGACTTACCGGAAGGTACAGCAAAATGCCTTCCGATGGAGTAATTTATCAGCTGATCAATCAGAGGGAAACCCTCCAAATAGTGATACGTTTGGATATATTTGGCTGTACTCAAATGGTAACCCCAAATTAAACAACTAAAGGGGTTATTAATCCGGGCTTGACACTATGGCTTTGTTTGAAAATTCTGTACCCCTAAATCTGGTTCATAATTCCCCTCCTAAAGTTCTTATTTTGGGTGGAAACCCCATTGCCATGTTTCATTGCCAGAGGCAACCCCAAACGAAGGACCCTCGACTGTGCAGGACATCAACTGTTCCTCCGTGCTACCATCGCTGGATTTCCCACTTGTCCGAGGCTTTGTAGGTCGAATCACCCCAGTTTTGCTGCAAGATCAAGGTTTGTTGGTGAAACCACCATTTTCTCAAGTTGATGTCTCAGTCTTTCGCTATATTCGCGTGAGTTTGTTGTGAAAACTCATTCTTAGTGGCAGAAAGAGTTTCCATTTTGGAGGTGTTTTTCTGTTTTCTTAGGGTATTTAATCATATTCTGCAGCTCCAACACCAATTTTGGCACCAGGTGATTCCCAAGCCCAAGCAATCATGGTTTATGTTGCGGGTTTTTTCCCGGCTATCAACAACTAATCCCTTCCCCCGTTCATATTAAACACCCCCTAAACGAAACCATGGGTTTAGTAGGGAATTTCCACATTCCATTGGGACCATTTATGGGGTGTTTAATATTAAAGTGATGGGATTAGTATACGAGCTTACTAAAACATACTAAAACCATCTATTATTGCGGGGATCGCCGTATACCTCGGGGGTTCAATCCCCCATTCAGCGGATGGTTGCGAAATTCTGCACGAGTTGGTAGATGCCTACAACAACACCCCATGGAAAAAAAAACATGTTTAACCATGAAATCATGTCCAAGGGTGTTTGATAGTTACCTTTCAAACACTAACTGATGCTTTTGATGATTTTACCCAGCTATAAAATGGTGATGTTCCATCGTTTTTTGTAGGTTTACCAGAGGGTAACTGATGATTTCGCAACCATCCAACCCATGGTATTCCATGCTCCAGAACTCCACCATGGCGCCACTTCGCAAGTGTCGATCACCGCTTCCTGCGGAAAGATTTCCCAGTCCATGGTGAAGATCAGTCCCAACATTTGCAGAATAAAAATTAGCCAGTTTTGTAGGTAAAATATACCAGCACCATGGGTTGTGGGATTTTTCATGGATCTAACTAACCCTACTTCTGAAAAAAAACGCTTCAAAATGGCCCATTTTTTTGTGCGATTCTCCGGTTTCGTTGATTTATCAATCACCAGGGCCAAAAACCTATCCCTTCACCAAGTGGATCATCCTGTATGATCATCCCACGTGGATAGGATAACCCTCTGGTAAACATATCCCATAGAAATCGTTGATCTACCGAACTTAAAAATGGTGGATCTTTCCATAGCTATGATGTTAGTTTACCAGAGGGTAAATGGAAAAAACATCGCCCAGAGGTAGGGAACATGAAAAGCCTTGGTGTCTTGGTGACGAAAAAAGCTCTCTAAGGATTCTTGAACCTCCAGTAATCAAACGTGGCAATGGAAACCCCCCCATTATAACCGGTTGGTGGTATATATACCTACCCCTCTGCAAAATATGAGTTCGTCAGTTGGGATGATGAAATTCCCAATATATGGGAAAATAAAAGTCATGTTCCAAACCACCAACCAGATAAATATTATAAATGGTTTACCCAGTTAGAAACCTCGAAAAAAGATGTTCGATTGCCACGTTTGATTATGAAGGAACTCATTATTATTATTCAAGATTACAAGGTGGTGCCCCCCCCCAAGTAATAAATGGGTTATTAAGCCCCAGTAACTAGTTCGTTATATCATAAACCATAGTGAAATTGGACTTCTGTTCACCAACTTATAGCATCGTATAGCTAACTGTGGGGCACCACCCTGTAGGTGTTTCATGGTTTCCTGGTTCCAAAATGACAAAAAACCCGGCAGCCCCCAACTTTTTGCGCTGCCAAAAAAGGCCAAAATCTCTGGTTGATGATCCCCAACGTAGCTAGTGGATTGATGGAAAAGCCCTATCCAAAATGGATGAGAACTAGGGGTACCCATATTTGGGATTTTTCCATTATTTATGGAAATATAATAGTTTATGGAATATAATATTTAGAAAGCCTCCTTAGAAGTATACTTCTAAGTATACTTCGATGGATTAATAAACCAACTTAAACGTAAATTCATAACGATAGGGGGCACCACCTTGTGGTTGCCAACCAATTAACATTCCCGGGACGCAACATCACCCTGCAGTCCAGCTCTTGGTCTACTCGTTGACCATTTCGAGGACCGCAGGAACAGCATTTGGAGGACTCGATGCGCAGGGGCAAAAAAGGCCACAGAAAAAAATCCAATCGGAGTTAAAACTTGACTTTTGAGATTCCATTAGTATCCCCTAAAAATTTCCCCACAAGATTTAGGATGTGTCCAAACATGGATGAAAATGTGTGTTTAGAAACTGCGTGGTGCTTCATACTACGAGTCGCAAGTGGGTTAGAAAAAATTGTTCTTTCAATGACCAGATTCATCTATCATTTCACCCCATCAACTAGTTCGTTATATCATGTTATATCCACCATTAAACACTAGAATTCACCAGAAAATTGACACCAACTAAGCAATCGAGTTTGTTCATTGGGGGGCCCATCTCGTATCAACATGACAAGTTCATGACAAGAACAACTGCTTTACCCTCCGGTAATTAAGCACGGCAATGGAAATTCCCAAAACTGTAGAGTATGATCATAACTCGTCAAATTCCTATTATCTATAATATGGGATTATATGGGATTACTATACCCTCAATGATAACTAATTGTCCCATTCCATGTGGTTCGGTTTTTTTCCAGCCAGCCACGTTTGCCATGCATCAAGGTTGGCCAAGAAAACTGCACTGGAAGACTGGATGGTGGGGCATGAAATTCTCACGTTTGACGCTAGGCAATGGTAGGCATAATTTGGGAAAACTGTTTTTGGGGATATAATAGTGAGATATGCATGGCTGGTTGGTGGTTTCAACCCCTCCGAAAAATATTTGTCAGATTGGATCATCATCCCAACTGTTGGGGAAAATAACAAATGTTGCAAATCACCAACCAGATGAGGTGTATAATAACCAACAATCTGATTTTGGGCGTGTCCAAGAATGGCGTACCACATGGCTAGTTTCCAGGTGAAGACTACGACAATGCTTCACCAGCCAAGTAAAGTATCACATCTGGGGCTTTCCTAATTAAGTGATGGGGGTAGCCCCATTCAACTCTGGATGGTGTTTATTTCCTGGAAAATCCTAGTCCTAGTCCTTCTAGTCCTATTCATTCATGGATGAGAACAATGGTGGTACCCCCATGACTCAACGGAAACCTCCATGCATCCCCAAGAAGATGACTGTTCTCTTTGGGTCCACTGGTTGGCGCCAAACGCATTGTGACAGAAGTTACGAAAAATTAGGTGTATCTAAATGGAAGTCTACAAGACAGCAAACTGTGGCTTTACTTTGAGCTGGACATATGCGAAAATCAAACTAATGATGTAGAAAAGTAAAGCAACAAACTATCCCAGGAAAACTCGAATCTATTCATGCTATTCAATGACAAGCTGCAGACAAAAAATGGCAAAAATGGGGGACACCGGATACCTGCGATGTGTTGATTTTGAGAGTTGAATAACACTAAGCTAACAGTGAATGAATGGACACAACCCATAAAAACACCCTGCATTTTCGTGTTCTCTTGAGAAATCAGTGACTTTCAATTTTGATGAAAACCATATAAACCCATATAAACCCATATAAACCCATATATGGCCATATATGACCATAAATAACCATATATGACCATAAGTCATCAGTGACTTTCAACTGAGGTTAATATTGGTGTTTGTTTACCCCATGTTTCGTAAACACACCCAGTCCTGTTGGTTAAAAAATGATTCCCCAAGTCCCCCGGTTTACCAACGGGTAGCCCGTTTTTTTAATGGATGATTTTTTGTGTGGTTTACATCTTATGAAAAAATGGATGGTTTATTTCATGCTCTCCATACCAAAAAAAACATCTTATTTGTTGTTATCATCTAACTTAACATCTATTTCGGAAAATCAATGTTTAAAATGAATCTGGGCAAATTATAATAATTCACTAATCTGAATTGTTGGGCCATTTGGGGATGATTCCCCTAAAATAAACCATGATTTCCAGGGCTCGGTCGTAGTGAGGTCGTGATGAAATTTACCCAGATGAATGATCAATTTGGTTCCCCCCATGACTTCGGAAAATTTGGGTATGTCATTTCCCCTTCCAGCAGCCCCTCGTGACTCGTCACGTCAAACTTCCAACCGTCGCACTTCCGTGGCCTCAACGGAAGCCAACCATGGGGGGCATCATTGACATCATGAAAAACCATCGCAACTGTGGTTAAAACCATGACTAATGTGCTTCAAACCATGTCATAAAATGTCATGTTTACCATTTCCCAGTCATCACCATTTATGGCTGCTGTAAACCATTTAAACCATCAAAAATGGGATGGTTTACCAACCAGATCCTGCTCCGCAGATTATAGGCCACGGTTAAAAAAACGTATTGGAAAAAGGTGGTGTTCTCCTTCAAAGATGTATCTCTTCATTTACATGGTGCTTTTTCATATCGAAAATATACAAATACGGCTTTGGCAAATGTGGGATGGCCCAAAAATAACATGATAACCATGATAACCAGTAAGATTCTTGGGCGGCCTATGGATCCTATGGCATCCTATGGCCTAGTTTCAGTCCCATATCACGATTGAATTTCTACATCACCCTTTGCAACAAGCTGGTATCCCCCAGTTATAACCAATTTAGCTAGCTAAGAAGGGATGCACCACCTTATACCTCCGGTGCTCCCGGTGCTCCCGACACGATTCTTCGAGCGAAAAAGATGTTTTTTTTAGCGACAAACATTGCGATTTCAATAGGAAAATGGGTGATTTTACCAACAGTGTGGATCCATAATTAATAAATTGATTTACAGGGATTTCACCAGCAAACAATTGTTACAGTTTGGCTAAGCAGGGTTGCAAGAATGGGCAATAGACTTAATTACCTAGGCCCTCTTTGAAAAACATGGGGAATTAATTTAGGGGCTGCGGATGGTGCGAATGGTGCGGATGATGCGAGTAGCGAAACAGCCGCGCTATGCGCAATATGATTTTCCCATTCAAAAAACAAAAACTCCATTTATAGGTGTTGTGTATGTGTATATATACACAGTATTTGTAGCAGAACTGTTTTTCCTGCCAGAATTGCTTTTCTGTCCACTTAGACTCAATTCTGCTCTCAGACTTTTTTGGCATTATATATATATATATATAGCTATATAATATCCATATACAGTGTATATATATATATATCCCATTGACTCCCTTAGACTCACAAAAAAAAAAAACATACATCACCATGTCAAATCCCTTTGACTCCGCTTAAACTCTGAGATCACCATAGCGACTCTCGCAGCCTAGGAGCAATTTGAATTTCTTGCCCCGTTCAAACATCTCCACCTCCGCTCGAGATGCCTCTGCAGCTTGGATTTGGTGCAGAAATCCATGGAATTCCTACAGGATGGAGCCCCCTTTGTCGAGCCTAAAAGGTAGCCTAAAAGTGGCTGAATGAACTATGGTTTGTGGTGTATGTATATAACGAACTAGTTAATGGTGGTGTTATATAATGGTTTATAAACCAACGTTCACATCACGTTTGGGGGCCCATCCTGTATGGAGGATATCTAGTGGATTATCTACAATGGAATAAATATACCAATGATATTACTAATTCGGTCGAGCAATAGTATAATAGTAAGGTTATATCCCATGAATGTGGATTATCTACTATATATCTATCTATATCTGGTGGATATACCATTTATATCCATTTGTGCTATCATGGTGGATATACCATTTTTATCTGGGTAAAACAATGCCATAAACCATCCCGATGTTTGATGGTTTATACCACCCATAAAAATATCCATAAAAATGATGCTTTAGCATTAGCTCTTGCGCCAAACTCGTTTCACAAAAAACATCTTAATATTATAGGTCTGCTCCTTGCCATGGCTGCATGTAGGCATATCCTCAGAGATATGTTATGAATTGTTATGATATGTTCCGCTTTGCTTCCACTAGCCACAGGCTACCTCCATACATGTATGCTGAACAAATTGTTTGATCTGCACATTCACTGAGAAATTGTGATTCTAAAACATGTTTTTCAATAGTCTTTCCATATTGACTTGAATGTATTTTGCTAGCATGAAAATTAATGAAACCCTGTAGAAATCACCATGATGATGATTGATGATGCGTGATGTCTAGGCTCCCTGTTTGCATTGTTGGTTTGCCAGAGAAACATGCACAAGGCCTAGTAGATTCAATGTTTGAGGGGGACTCCACTGATAAGAGTAGGAATATATACAGAGGCTACTTCCATTGGTTCCTGTCTCAGACAAAGTTTCGGGAATGTTTGTGCTATGTTTGAGTTGAAGCGGATCGCTGCATGTGGGATTCATTTTGCCATGCCTCATATATTTTGTTGGATAAAAATTGGGATTGCGTTATTCATATGTAATCGGAGAATCATTTCCTGTTAGCAGTCCTTCCAATTCAGAAAGCCGCTAGGCTTTTTGTTGTAACATTCACTTAGAATTACAAGACGACTGGTGCCGTTGAGATGGTCCTGTAAGGTTTCATCTCGAACCCGTGGCTCCAAGCCGATATGAATACTCGAGCGAAACGATCGTTTTTACGCCACAAAAAAAAAGCGAATCTCCATAAATATAAACCTATGCATTGGAAAATTGTTTCTGGCGAAAATCAGAATGGACATGTTGTTTTGGCATAGAGGTTTACTTTGGTTAGGTATGTTAAAGTATAAACGACATGTGCAAGAAAATTTAAAGAACAATGTAGAATAAAGGATATGGGCTCTACTACCGAGCCAAGCCAAAGAAGAAACACAAAAAAATAGTAATGCAGCAGGAACGTGAACATAAGGAAAAAAAATAGACAAACATGAATAAACGTAATATTGTTGAATTCAAGTCGCATAAACAACTATCAAATATCAACAAAAACAGCTTTACAAACAAAAACAAACGTGAATTTGGATGAGGCCCCTATCGCTGAAGCCAGTGGCGGTCGCAAATCTACCAGCCAAAGAGACAGGGTTTTTGACTGAGAAGATTAGCAATGTCCAATCCAATGGTACATGAGAATCATCCAAAGGCTCTATAGTTGGATATTATATATACAAGATTTGACTAAGATATATCATACATGTATTGTATATATATATATTTATTAGATACATATATATATATATATGTATACATATATACATATATATATATATATACGTATATAGTATATCCAAAGGATGTGCATCTTAATCGTGAGGTTTTGTTTCGCCGGTAATCCCTCGCCAAATTCCCTGGTCGCACCTGCGTTTCACGCAGAGCCCAGGCGATGCCCAGCAGCAGCAAAGTGTGCATCACCATAGCCTGAAAGGAAAGGGACCCAAGGGACCCTCAACGGAGAGCGAAGCTTTAGGTCTTTTTAAGGAAATCGCGATCTGTAGCAGTCCCAAAATCGATAGAGAAGTAGATCAACGGTTTTCGTGTTTCATGTTTTTTTTCAAACAGGCAATTGCGCGATCCCAATATAGATAGAAACGAAGAAAAAGTGGGAAACCTGGAAATATGATGAAGAACTTCAGCCTTTCCGCATCCTGGAAACACGACGAACGAGTCTCGGCATCTTTCTGGGGGGGTTGCTGTAACTAGGACTGATGATGGATATATCCATACTATTCCATATTTAGATGGGGCCCCCCAGTGATGTGAACGTTGGTTTATAAACCATAAGAAATAACCCCCATGAAGACTAGTTCGTTATATCTACCATAAACCATGGTTATATCTACCATAAACTTTAGATTCCAGCCACGTATAATATAGGCGTTTCTGAACGCAAGCCCGCTCGCTCGACGGAATTTTCCCTATCCTGTGGTGAGGATCGGGGAGATGGATCCCCTAAATCACCATGTTGTTGTTGGTGAAATTCCATGAAAAATCATCATTAAACTCCAGTAAATCCCCTTCAATCACCATACAGAATCACCAGTAAGTCACCATTATCAATGGATTGGTTTAAGGGAAAAATTACAGGAAAGCCCCCATCTCCAATGGGAAAATCGATGCTTTCCGGTGTAGATTTTCCCAACAAAACCAATCCATAGCTAATTAAATGGGGGGGGCGAACATGTAAACGGGTAAACTTCCTAGTAGGTTTGTGATGTTGTATTCCAACAATGGAGATCTAGTTAGCAATTATGATGAGACTTGATCAATTTTATGTCTACTAAACAGAGGAACCATCCTGATTTAGAGATTTTTTTCATCAAAAAAAAAGTGGATGAACCTTATTTTTCACAGCCAACATGGCTTTAAGCACTTTAGCCGACACACATATTAGAGATTTTTCAGCAAGAAACATCGGTTTTTAGACGTTACTAAAATCCACAGCTTTCCTGACGGGTCGAGCAACAGAAAAAAATCATGGTGAATGCAGCCTGGATAAGAATGAAAAACATGATTTCGCCATCAGATTGAGTTTTAATGGTGATTTAATGGTGATTTAATGGTGATTTAATGGTGATTTAATGGGATATAATAAAATATAATGGGATATAATGGGATATAATGGGATATACCCTCTGGTAAATTAACAGTTCGACCCTGGCAGATATATCGGGGTTGGTTCAGACTAGTGAAACCATGAAAAATGACGGTGATTTTCAGGGTCTAACTGTTCATTTACCAGAGGGTAAGAAGTTTTGAAAAATTGGCTCACACGACTGTCGCTGGCAATTCCTCAGATATCGTGGATGATTGTTGTTCCCATTTTTGGATGTGAAATTATATCCCAACTAGCTCCGAAATCACGACTTGTTGTCAGTGTCTGAGATCAAGCCTGTGGCAACCGACTTGACCCGAAAAAAGTATCCAGAAAAACACATGACCCATTACCCATGGAGACTTAACTTGCCTTAACAGTGTGAAAATTGTTGGATGTTGTTGGTATATTGAGGTTCTACAAGGTGGTGTTCTCCTATAAGTTGGTAAACACCATGATCAAAAATGGGGATGGGTCAAGTTACCAAACCCCTGTTTTTGGTTCACATCAAAAACTTGCGATTCATGGATATTCATCTCCATAAAAATGGTAGTTATAGGTATATAGCCAATCTGGTTGCTGGTTTCAACCTACCTACCCCTCTGAAAAATGATGGAGTGAAAGTCAGTTGGGATGATAAAATTCCCAACATATCGAAAAATGAAAAATGTTCCAAACCACCAACCAGGTATATATTGATCCATAGCCATATATAGATATATCTATCATAAATCTCAGTTGGCCTAATTACTTGTTTAAACCAACTTCCAGCTCGCAGGTCCAGCCAAAAGCAGATTCCGACTGGAATCAAATCACCATCTTCACGAGGAAAATGGAGGAATATTATCCAATATTATTTATATGCATCTGAAAATATGATCATAATTCACTTAAATACCGCCATTTTCAGGAGATATATGATATTTATTCTATATATATACATATATATATATATGCCTATCATTTCCATGATTTCACCATCATTTCCAGTACCCAAAAAAATCTCCGACTTTTTCCCTCAGCGAAGAAGATGTACCACCAATGGTCAGTCAAAGATGTACCGCGGGCCATATAAAACTTCCTCCCAAATAGGGGTATACGGATTATACTGGGTATATAGCCAATCTGGTTGGAGATTTTTTAACCATCTTCAAAAATATGAGTTCGTCAATGGGAAGGATGACATCCCATATATGAAATGGAAAATAATGCAAATGTTTGAAACCACCAACCAGCCATGTTTAATGAATTTAAACCTCTATTAGGGATGGTAAAAATGATTGGGTTTACTTCATGAATCAGCCGCAAAAAAACCGAGCCGAGACACGCGCATTCTGCACGTAACTTGGGAGTTCTACAAACAACCAGAGGCAGCGGTGGTTGCGGTTTACAAGTTTTCCACCTTGAGCCGAAATGGAGGGATTTTCAGGTGGCCACAAACTATCCAAAAAAAAAAAAGGCGATGTTTTTCATGATCCCCAGATTACCCTCTGGTAAACAAACATAACTATGGAAAATCACCATTTATAGTGGATTTTCCCATGAAAAATGGTGGATCTTTCCATAGTTTTTTGTAGGTTTACCAGGCCGGGTAATGGGATGGTTTGTGGCAGCAAACTCAGCAAACTCAGCAAACACCAGTGGTTTGTTCCTCGAAGCCAACCAGGCTCCATACCTAGCGAAGCTGGTTTTCATAACTGGGATAATTAGACTGTATATATGGATTTATGATAGATATATCTATGTCAATGAGGATCTATGGAATATTTCATTGGAATATGTTCTAGACACAAATATGGGATATATTGAATTATTATATATTGATATCCTGGTACAGTAACACTTTTCCTGTATGCCCACATTTTCTTGCCATGTTCATTGAGAATAAAATGGTAGACCAAGGAGTTTTGGGGTACCCCCAGTTTACAAACCCATGGGGCATTGTCACCACCAGGTATGCTGTCTACATCCCCAATTTCTTGTTGACTAAGTCCCCAACAAAACAGCACGTAAATCCCAATGCATGTCCCAAGGTTTCCGGAGACCGCTACAATCATGGCTAACCTTAGATAATAAGCACTAAAGGTTATTACCCTCTGGTAATTTAACGTAGCTATTGAAAATGGCCATTTATAGTGGATTTTCCCATTAAAAATAGTGATTTTCCATAGTTACGTTAGTTTACCAGAGGGTAGAGTCTTTATAGTTGGGTTTGATCATCAAAAGTGCAAACGATTTTTCAGTACTAAGCCACCAAAACAAATATCGACGGAATTGTAGATTGGACCAACCAGTCCAACATATCAAGGTGTTATACCCAGAATCCCCAAAAGTAGGACCCCAGTTCAGGAGAACTAAGTTCACGCACTACAATTCATGCAGTGAATCTAAAGCAAGAAACATATACAAAAAGGGGTCCTACCTTGTACTATATACATATAAAGTAACTATATACATAACCCATATATTCCAATTAAATATTAAGCAACAATACATTTTATATCTATATATATATATAAATGAATCATACCTATATATATATATATATCAGGTTTCCTAAAATGGAGAAACCCCAAAATGGATGGTTTAAAATGGAAAAACCCTATTTAAATGGATGATTTGGGGTACCCCTATTTTAGGAAACCGCTATAATATGTATATATATATATGTTAACTAAATGTATACATATATCTTAATTAACTATATAAACCAGCATCTACAAGCGCACTATGGAGCAGATGGGATTCATCAACCACTTCGATCTCTGGTGGTGTCCAAGCGGTTTTTTGGGGGGTGTCACCAGCAGAGATGTTGATTTAAGCGAAGCCAATGATGATTGGTGATTTAACCAAGCAAAATGGGGACTTAACTAGCGGGATTTCTATGAAATCATCATAACAAAGAGGATGGAAATAACAAAAAAATGTCCTGGTTGCATTCATAGTAGAGACTAGTCAAACTAGTTTTCCCTTTTGGTGAAACGAAACAAGAGACATGTCAGTGGGGGACATGTCTCTGAAGTGTCCGAAATCGGGACTGAAGCAGCTAGCCTTGAGTGTTTTTTGGGGGGGCTACAAGGGGCTTTACAATGGGTATAGCCTCTGGTAAACATACAAAAAACTATGGAAAGATCCACCATGTTTGATGGTTAAATCAACTATTTCGACTGGGCCATTTTCAATAGCTTTTTGTATGTTTACCAGAGGATAGTTGCAATCTCTATCTTTAGTTGGGGAACTCCTTCAACTGGTTGATTTATGTATAGCAACAGTGGGATTACATACCGTATATATTTCAACTATTGATATGTTGGTGGTATACCGATCCCTCTCCAAAAAATGAAAGTCAGTTGGGATGATGACATTCCCAATATGTGGAAAAATAGAATTCATGTTCCAAACCACCAACCAGTATATATTGGTCATAAGGGTCTTATAATGGATACATCAATAAACAGTTGTACAGACATATTAAAGTTAATCACTATTGATCATATTGATTATACATGTATCTAGCTGGACTATTGATATATTGTTTCTGTATAAGTCTAGCAGTTCCATAACATTGGGGGCCACGGGTTCCGCGATTCTGCGCACACGGGGAAGACGCTCAACAAGGCGTAACAAAGGACCTGCCGTCGATACTCGTAGCATGGGAAATCTTCGGAGGATTCGATGGGAATTTCAATGGTAACATCATTTTTCATGGTTGGTGGTTTCAACCACCTGAAAAATATGAGTCAGTTGAGATTATTACTCCCAATACTAGTATATATGGAAAAATAAAAAATGTTGGAAAACCACCAACCAGTTCTTCATGGATGGTACGATGTGGGGCCCCTGGCCACGAAATCGCTAAGTTGGGGTTCACTAATCACTCCAATTTCATTATGGTATATGGTACGCAAATAACGAACTAGTTACTGGGGTGAATCTAAACCAACTTATAACTGGGGGGGCCCACATTGGATGATGTTGTTCTTACCAATGATGTTACCATTGAAATATTTTGGAAAACCGATTTCCAATATGAAAAATGCCGTTGAAAAGTTTTCCAATATACCAATGGTAAACATAATGTGGCTGTTACCAATGAATTACCTAGGTTGTACATATATATTATATATACATATGGATGTAATGTCATTTGAAAAACTGAGAATATAGTTGATAATTATTGCGGAATTTAAGTGATTTAAGCCATAAGCCATGAGACTTGAAGAATGATACATAATGATACCAAACAATCAAACATGTGGACTTGACAACAAGATGGAGACCTCATCTGCAATATATGTTTGATTGCCGGAAGGTAAACGCCACTGTCGGATACTGTGCAATGTGCAATGTAATTAATGAGGATTTCATCAAAGCCACAACGAAATCCCTATTTTGTGGTTGGTTTTACAATGTTTTATACCCTATTTGTTCATGGTTTCAACTATTTTCAACCAATCATTTCACTACATGCTGATTGATGCTGACTGAAAAGCTGATGAATCCTCATTGCTGTCATGGTCTATGCCGCTGAAAAAAAACTTCCCCCGTTCAAAATAAAAACTCCCAGCCCAGAAACAATAATCTGGTTGGTGGTTTTAAGTCATTGGGAAGGATTATCCCATATATGAAATGGAAAATAAAAAATGTTTGAAACCACCAACCAGATAAGGGAAGTAGGGAATTGACAGATATGAACGGGACCATAGAATGGGAGTGTAACTGACATGAACGGGGATGGGATTAATATCCCATTCATATCCTGAATATATTTCCATATAGTACCACCATTTTTTTGCTGCTACTTCCCATGCGCATTCCTATCCATTTTCCTAGAAATATACAATTTTTTCTCCCAGAAATCTCCAAATATTCTTGTTACTTCAACATCCTTAACATCCTTTCAAGCGCCATTTCTCCTTCCTCCCATCCACCATTTCTCACGCTTCACGCTTCACGCCGAAAAAAAAAACCGCCTCCGTCGGAAGCGCGAGCTGCGCCGCGAGGCTCAGCGGCCGAAGCCCGCCTGGATGGGATGGGATGGGATGATCGATAATTTACTGCAGGATACTGAGATCATTGATGGTTTATAATAATTGGATTATAGATCATTCTTATAATGGTTTATCATGTATATTAGATCATAATGGTTTCTGAGATAATAAGGGTTTATAATGGTTTATAGAATAATATAATGGTTTATAGTATTATTATAGATCATTATAATGGGATTATTATTATAGATAATGGTTTATAGATCATCCCTTTATAGATCATTATTATTACATTAGTTGTTTCTCGGCTTATAGAAATAATACTGTAATATACTGTAATAGACATTATTATAATGCTTCAAAATAATACTTAGAAATGATTGTTACTTAGATACTTGGAATTCCTACAGGATGGGGCCCCCAGTCGAGCTCGCGTTCAGTTGCCTGAAAAAAGTGGCTGAATTCTATGGTTTATGGCAGACATAACGAACTAGTTAAGGGGGGTTATAATGGTTTATAAACCAACTTCAAACTGGGGGGCCCGTCCTGTGGAATTCCTATGAGATTCCTATGAAACACGGTGAATAATGGGATTCTAATGGGATAACAATGGAATGATAATGGGATAATAATGGGATTTAATGGTTTACAACTCCAATTTCACTATGGTTTATGATACTTGAATCAAAACGCCGCCAGGAGAGCCGAGAGATTTTGAGCACTGATCTGCATGTGTGGATCTAAGAATAGCATAGAATAACCACTTAGTTAGATGATTAGATATGCTATTCTCAGATGGTTCTTCTTAGATGGTTATTCTTAATGTCTTAATCATCTCAAAGAATAGCATCAATAACCACTTAGAATACAGGATGGGGCCCCCAATGGTTTATGGTAGATATAACTATAGTCAATGGGGATTACAAGGGTTTATAAACCAACTTATAACTGTGGGGCCCCATCCTGTAGTATAGAAAGAAATGTTCATCGCCTCAAAGAAAGATCAAGGCTTGGTGATTGTAGAGTCTTCTGATTTCACCGACGAACAGGCCTTGGGAAACCTCCGATTTGGAACATCTGCCATATCTGTTGGAGACATCCCCTGCGGTGAAGAATGAGGACAGTTACCCCAGTTACCGAAAAAAAACCATATCCAGGGGGGGTTCCCCCATCGTTGTCCTAGGAAAATCCTCTAGGGATGCTTGGAATCCTCCACATCTCTGTTAGATTGGGCATCAAAGTTTCTCGCACCTAATCAGTAGCCTAGGCCTAGGCTTTCGCATCCATAGCTACTGTTTTCTTCTGGGATATTCATCTCCCATGACCAGAAGCTAGCATGGCTTTTGACATATATACCAAGAGCTATAAGTTCAATACACATAAACCATTGGCTGGTTTCCCTTACTGAAAAAGTTGTAAGAATTATAGGTTATAGCCCCCATGGAGCCCAGTTCTTGTGTTTTTTTGGTTGCTGTATATGTATGAGTCAACATTGGGTACCAGACTACCTGGATGGCTCACACTAAAAATTGACATGTCGATTTCTGGTTCCCTGGGTTTTAATTTTGACATATCCGATATTGGCAATTTAACAAGGCGAAGCTATATTGGTCACATACTAACTAACTTTAAATTCCATTGAATCCCATTGAATCCCATTGAATCCCATATAATGTGGGTAAAACAATGCCGTTTGCACCATCCCCCAGTCATCACCATTTTTACAGGTGCTATGTTTACCATTCCCAGTCATGGGTGGTTTATGACATTGTTTTGCCCACATTACCCTGTTTTACAATGTGCCCCCTCTTTTGGTAGGCTTCTGTCGACTTAGACTTCAATGTAACTCTTTAATCTCATATAAATCCCATTTAAATCCCATATACCCTCTGGCAAATCAACATAGATCCTGGAAATAACCTAGTTTTAATGGTTTCACTAATCTTCCAACCCCGAGCTATCTGCCAGGGCCAGAAGCTAATCCCCATATACCCTCTGGTAAACTAACATAACTATGGAAAATCACCATTTTTAAGAGGTAAATCCACTATAAATGGCCATTTTCAATAGCAATTTGTATGTTTACCAGAGGGTAAATCCCATGGTTTCTCAGCATTTCAAACAAGCTGATTCCATCGCCTGCACGGTGATGTTCTTCTGGCACCTGGCCAGTTTCCGCTCCGAAAAGCCGAAAAGCCGAAAAGCCGGAGCTGACGGTCATCCCCCCAAGAAGATCCCATGGAAATGTTAAAGAACCTCTGTTGGGTTTTTATAGGGATGACAATGGGAAGATTCCATGGATTTTTGAGAAAGATCCCATTTTTTGGGATAATGTTACTTATAACTGGTTGGTGGTTTCAACCTACCCCTCTGAAAAATGATGGAGTTAAAGTCAGTTGGGATAGTGAAATTCCCAACTGAATGGAAAAATAAAATTCATGTTCAAACCACCAATCAGTATTGGGTTTTTATAGTTCTTCTTGGGAAACCATGGATTTTTGATGAAGATCCGAACTAGTTCTTCTTAAACCTTAAACGGTGTTTTTTGTCAGAAATCCCTGGATAAAACTGTGATCAATCGAACCTTTTCTATCCCTGGACTTTCTTTTATATTATAACTGTAGCGGTTACCCCCCCTGTAGACTAACATGGATGAGGAAAACACATGGGGAAACCCGCGCGGAAAATCATATACAAATGGTTTTTTCATAACCACATCTATGTGAGTTTTCCCCAGAGTACCGAGTAGAAAACATATACACATACACATATAGATTGACAATAGACAATAATATATAGACCAATCGTGGTATAGTGATAGTGGTTCCTGAATGCTCATAGTGGTTACTATTCGACCGAAATCGTGGTTCCTATGTGTATATACCAAGTGGTTACTATATACGTACCAAGGGGTTACTATAGTTTTTTTAGAAAAATCGAGGCGTTACACAATGGTGATATTTCATGGTGTTTCATGGTGCGACATGACAACTAAGCCGACTAAGCAATCCCATGGAATTTCCCATCTAAAACCTCCATATTTAAAGTGGTTAATATACTGTTAATAGTGGTTAATATTAATGGTTATTATATATATATTACTGTATATATATAATTATATATATATATGGTTAATGATGGTTAATAATAATCTGGTTTAGTTCGGGGAGTGTTCCATTGCCATCTGGTTGGTGGTATACCTACCTACCTCTCTGAAAAATGATGGAGTTAAAGTCAGTTGGGATGTTATTCCATTCCCAACTGAATGGAAAAATAATCCATTCATGTTCCAAACCACCAATCAGCCAATATATGGAATCCCCTAAGGGATAGGGAATATACCCAATATATTGGTTAAACGAAGCAACCCACCAAGTTCCGGTTGACAAAGGGCCTCAATCACCATGGTTTGCGCGGCGTGGGGACAGGCGCAGCCGCGGGTGTCCCGCGGTGCCCCGCGCTTAAAATTTCGAGGCGCACCAAAAGAGGAGAACTCACTGATTTCTTCACGTCTGAAAATTGGATACCCCAAATTACATGAGTTTATCATAGTTTTACCTATTTGATGGCCCTTCGGGGATAAAAATCCATAAATCCACAGCCATTTCTTCTGGACTTCGCATGACTGGTGACTGGTTCGCATCTTGGCGCACTGCTGAGCTGAGCAAGTTAATGCTTGTAAGGTTGAGCACGTTGAACCATTGACAACTGATGTTTTCTTCCGATGCCCCGGCGGAGACCGGTGGCTTTCGTTGCGACCTGGCCCTGTCTCCTTGAGACCCAAATGGCGAGCCGAAAGGAGTCCATGACCATCAACATGGGTTGAATGGGGATGTAGACATCAAAATAGGGATGTGATGTAACCATCAAGAATTGGATTGAAGCAGGACTCACACGCCACTATATTATACTATATTAACATAGACCCCAAACATTTTAGTTTCTGAAAACATTGGGAGATCTTGATTCGGGTGGTTCCATGGGCATAGATTCACAAACAGATGGACCCTAGCATATTTCATATCATAGACAGTGTCTCTAAGAGTAACCATCAAAATTGGGATCTGATCGTTAACAATGATGGATTCAATCAACAAAGATGGCATTCAATGTATTCATTTAAGCGAAAACAATGATGAAAATTCAAGTTCAGAATCGATGAATTTATTTTCAACCACACATCTGGGTTTCAAACCAAACACAATAAGAATATGATTGGAATATCATTTGGATATAGCTTTATAGTATATATAGCCCATGCAGTTCGATGATAAGCCTGATGATTTTACCTGTCCTCCAAAAATGGTGAGTTTCCAGTTCCAGTTAACCTTAGGATCATTCGAAAAAAGGTGAAATCAATTTCCATAACCAACGCGTGTCTAAACAGCAGCGGAGCTGCTTTTTGGGGTAGTCTCTGGGAATGAGCTTCCCAGCTAAATCCCATATAAATCCCATTTGCGTGTTTGTATTTGTGAAAACTCATTCTTGGTGGCTTAGAGTTTCCATTTTGGGGGTGTATAGCTGGTTGGTGGTTGACCTACCCCTCTGAAAAATATTCGTAAGTTAGTTGGGATGATTATTCCCAACTGAATGGAAAAATAAAACATGTTCCAAACCACCAACCAGATTAAGTGTAGAATTAGCCTCTGGTAAACGTTTACATAACTATAGTAAATCAGCATTTTGAAGTTCAGTAAATCAACGAACTTTCTATGGGGTATTTTCAATAGCAAACTGTAACAAATTACCAGAGGGTAGATGAATTTCCCAGCTATAAACCTTCATTTTTAGTGGATGTCCAATTGTCATGTTTGATAACACCCCTCCGGTTGAACACTCAGTAGTCAAAACGAGTTTTATACAGCGGGGAATTTCATCGGTTTCTCCACTGATTTCTTGCACTTTTGGGGTGTACCCCAGAAAATGTATGGAAAAGTTGGTTGGGCCAATACCATGTTCAGTTGTCATGAGTCATTTTTCGGTTGCAAATGGAGGAATAATGTGATCCCCTGCACAAAAGCAATCCCATCAAGAAATGAGGCGTCCATTCCTGCAAAGTGGCGCAAATATCTCTACGATAAATCCATATAAACTCCAGCTGTAACTATAAATTTTACATTTCACGCAACGCGACCAACTTAGCTACCTTTTGGTAATCAGTCACATGGCGTGCTGGCAAATCCACCATGTGGTTCGATGTTTTTCCCTGCGAACTAGTTGCCTCCATGGCTAGGCCTCAGACACCAGATGGTAAAACCAATCCAGATCCTTATCATTCTCCCATGGTCATCTCTATTAAACCCATTAAAAAAAAAAAACATACTATATAAATCACCATGAAATTCCCCGGAAATTCTCATGATTTTCTCAAATCTTCATGGTTTAACCAAGCTTCCCCGGGGCACCAGGCATCGGCTGAGCCGCGAAGACCTTTTTGAACGTCCTCTGCAGGAGGTCTCTGAGCTGCGCACACGGCGCTTGACCAAACGGACACCTCCGGAGACTGGTTGGGAGGAAATGACTAATAGTGACTACAGGTTGGGCCCCTCAAGATAACTAAATTGCGATATAAGTGGTTTAACTATGGTTTATGGTAGGTATAATGAACTATAAACCAATATTGCTATTTGTGTTATTAATCATGACCAAGATTGGGAGGAAATGTCATACTGATAAATAATGATAATCAAAAATATGGACCCATTTGTTGGTTAATATTCATAATACCGAGGGTTCCGGGGTACCCCTTCATCATCCATTTGAAATAGATATTCCATTATCAACCATCCCTTTTCGGGTAACCCCGATTTACAGAAACCCTGATATTGCTAGTAATGGGAAATACTAGTGTATTAATATATAATACTACTGGAAACTAAGGTGTGAATATCAGTAATGGTAATATGAGTAATGGTAGTACCAAAAATACATTTTATGCGGTTGCCCAGTAGTGGTAATATTGACCACAGCAAAAAGACTGGTAATAACCAAACTGGTATATACAATCATTGAGAAATAAAGTGGCAATATCATTATTACTGGTAATATATTGTAATGGGGCATTTTAATCGAAATAAACTAATATGCACTTATATATTAATAGGGTGGTAGTGGTAAGCGGTAATATGGTTGCATTGGTAATATGGTAGCATTTTAGAAAATAATTAGGTTGTAGTAATGTAGAACAATGAGACTAAAGAATCTGGAATAGATGACACAACAACTATGAAATTATAATATGGCAATAAATTATAAAATGTGAGATGGTAGCGTGAGTATTCAGTGGAACTCCTGTGTCAAAACCGACAAACATCTCTATCTGCAGTGCTTCTCCCCCTTCTGTGAGACTTTCAAGTTGACCTATATTTAACAAAATAAATTGAAACACCATTTTTATATTTTCAAATTGTTTCTGTAAATTGGGGTTGACTTTCAAGTTGACCTATATTTTAACCATATTATATTCATCTGAAACAATTTGACGATTTGTGGGCACTCAAACATTGCCCACAAAAGATCTGTGGTCCGATGATTCCAAGCTGCGCAACGGCAACAGCAGCAGCAGCAGCAGGAAGCCTTGGGGCATCGCCGGTGTGCGAAGCCCTACAATTAGTTCACTGGATGCTCTATACATATATTTTTTTTGCTCGGCCCTTTGAGATGATCTCGCGGCGGTCTCGCGGGGATCATCAGCGCATCGGCTGATAATCAGGAAGCATGCTCTTGGTGTGATCCACACTACCAGATACATGCGCTAATTCTTTGGCGAAAAAATCGATCTCACCCAAGTCACCGTCAAAGTGACGAGATTCGATTCGCCTCCAAAAGGCAGTTGCGAAGCACATGCACAAATTTGGGGGATACTCTTTAGCCCTGGATGTTTTGAAACTTCCAGTGCTATCATGTCCTATCAAAGGCTCAAGGCAATTACGCTGCATGGGCTGCGCAAACTCAGAAAGGACATCACCGATGCTGCAGTTGGCATGAAGAAGGGAAGTCGGCTTGGATCCGCAAGCTCCATGATGTCCCTGTCTAAAGGTATGACGCCTAAAAAGCCACCCCTCACGCAGAAGCAAATTGATCACGCCCGTTCTCCAAATAGCAGCACGTTCAGATTGCATGGGAGGAGCCGGATGCTCCAAAATGACGGCACCCCCGGTCAAAGCGACTGGGATAGAGAGCCAAATTCCACGCAATAAGAGACTGTTGCCGATATCCAGCTGCTTGAGTTCAGCTAATGAGAGTTGTGAAAGCCCCCATGGACGCGTGGCACTCCGCAGTGGCCTCGGCCCTCTCATCTGCCTCCCCTCCAAGTCAAGTAGAACTGCATGTCGTGCGCTTGACCATGTCTCGCACGGTGGGCCCAGTAAAAGCGCCAAAATTCGCCCTGCTCTTGCGGCATCAATGAGAAATCCCCAAAGACGCTCATCATGGACATTCATGCGGTCGTCAATCGCCGTGTCGATCGACAGGACATATACTGCGCTGCTCCATGGGGAGCTGCTAGACGAAATGATCTTGTTGATCTGGTCGTGAAAATCCCCTTGTCGCCTTCTGCCAGCATAGAGATGAATAATGAAAAAGGGCCCAGTCTCTGCAAATTGGACTCGTCTGGGTCTGTCCGTCATTCTCCATCTCCTCCATTGTTGCTCCTTGCTCTCGAGAGCAGCGAAAACAGAATCAATGGGGTGTGCACGTGCAGGTCGGCTTTGGGCAGGCTGCCGTGGAACTCGACGAGCTCGGGGTTCGCCAAGCTGAAGGATGTCCCACTGCTTCCGCAACTGCTTCATTCGAATTTGGAGATTCCAAATATGGATGTCAGCCAGGAAGCTCATGTGTGCCTCTTCCAGGACGTAGTACGCATCATGGTGCGCATACTGCTCAATGATGGTGTAGAAGTCGGTTTCAACCCAAAAGATGAAAATACGGGCAGCTTGAAATTCCGGAATCTCCATGTCAAAGAATAACCGGAAAAACATGTTGTGGAAGTCTACCACTGTAGGCTGCTCAAGTTCAAACCAGTCACGAAGACGTGCTTCAAATTGCATGCAGCACTTCCGTGTCAATGGCTCATCATCAAGTGGGCTCCACCATGCAAAGTCGCATCGCCCTTCTTCCTCCAACTCCTCAATCTCTCGACGAACTCGTTGGCGTTCTCTGTGATGCGCTGTGGGTCGCAATGGCCCATGGTGCTGCCTCACAGCTGGTAGACGATGCACTCCAATCAAGTGAGGAGGCAAAGTCACAAGTCCAGGATCTGCCGGTTGACGAACTCCAAAAACGCGTTCCCAGCACTGATTGGCACGATATCGGAGATGTTGTGAGACACGATATGTGGTGTGGAAATTCTTGAGACATCCTGGACACACTTCAGACTGGACGTACATGCTTTCAAGCGCCCGTATGCCATGTTGTCGAAATGCATGAACGCCCAATTGTTGGCAGGTAGGAAAAACCGCATCACAATTGGAGCAAGGAAAGCTGCCCCCCATGTTCTCATCCTCATTGGTAAGGTCCATGAGCTGCATTCCAAATCGTTCAAGCTCCAATCGGATGCTGTGATGATAAGCACAGACCGTGTTGGCAAGATGTTCTTGTTCAATATGCTTGCAAACCGCTCTTTGAATCCATGCTTTCCACTGCGGGGTGGCACGCAACTGCTGCCAGTTTGCCGTCCACGACGCACGATCATGAGGAATCTCAAATGGCAAGTCACGAAGGTGAGAAAACCATGTTAAGTCCTGCTCAACTTCAAAAAGCCAGCCTTTGTTGGTGGTTCTTTCCATAAGCAGCAAAGTTTTGTGGGCAGTGATGGCATGCTGGGCAATGTGCTGCAGGAAGCCAAGCCGATGTCTGGTCAGGAAAATGCGGAATGGTATCAGGCCATTATCCTTCATGAAATCATGATCATTGACTCGCTCTGGCGACCAGAAACCAATGCCATAGATCTGCCTGTAACAGTCTGTAACCATTGCATCAAGTTTTTTTAATGAGGCACTTGAGATCTCAGACCAGATGGCACATCCATACAAAAGTCTCGACAACACCAGGCTCTGAAAAAGCTGAATACGGGCACGAATGGGAAGCGATCTGTTCATGAACACTGGCTGTTTCAACTGTGAAAATGCCTGGCGGGCAGCTCCCAGTCTAGCACTGATTTCACTATCAATGTCCATATTCATGGCATATCTCACTCCAAGGTGCCGATATGATGAAACCACTCGGACCGTGAGAACATGAGTGTCAGTGGTGACTGTGATGGTGGGCTGCGCATTCCGCAAAAACAATTCACGTCGGTGCTGCACTGCACCGTCTCCACGAAAACAAACAATCGTCTCAGTTTTCCCCGGATCCAAATTGAGGGTCAGGCCTCTGCTGCGAAATGTTGAATGGAGAATTGCCAATGTGTACTGAACTAAGGGGACAAGTTCAGAAGGGTGCGCGGCTGACAGAGCGATGGCAACATCGTCAACCCATGCAACTGGGGGCACATACGTGCCGATGGCTCTCGCACCTTCATGAAATGCCTCGGATTCATTCAGCTGCCTGGTGACTTCTTGAAGAATGTCGGACATCATCAGGTTAAACCCAATATCAGCCATTGGGCTCCCAGGGCGGGTGCCCCTCAAAGTTTGGGTGCAGGTATCATCCTGCTGTTCATTGCCATGCAACTGAAACCACGTGTGGTTGTGAAGGTCATGCAGGAATCTCCGCAAACCGCTGGGGATGTCATCAACTTGACTCGCACAGATCTCGTTCAGGTCATGCTCAAGCTTTTCTAAATCAAACTCGCACTCATCCAAAAACGTGGCCATTGTTGTGCTCAGCAGCGTATTATGCGTTGAGAAAATGAGCTCACGGATCATATGATGAAAGGCAGATTTCAAATCAATGAAAAGCGTGGCGGTGGAAATCCCCTTAGCTTGCCCAATGATTCCATGTAAACGAATCAATTGCACCGCAGTCATTGTCTGCTGCGAGGGCAGGCCACCAATCTGGCCGATGGTGCGCCTTTGCTGTAGTGTTGGGAGAAGCCGCATGCGGGCCCATGCATGGGTGACCTTGGCAAAACTGTTGGCTAACAGTATGCCTCGATATCCGGCAGCATCATCCAAGCAACCCTTGTTTTTGTGAATGGCGCAAAGTCGTCCGCCCTTGTAACTGACCGGTTCAGCTCCATGCAAAACTGCCTTGCACAAAACTGAGTGCAATTGCGGTGCGATGGCAACGGCCCCTTGACGACACAAATCTGATGGAATGCCGTCAGGCCCGGGGGCCTTATTGGGTTTTTGTTTGAGGCACAAAGTCTCAACCTCTGCTAGTGTGGGAAGTTCCTGGAGCTTAAGGTGTAAGCCAGGCGCTTCTCGTGCTCGCTCTTCTGCATTGCGGTTGAGACATCCACGGATGAGCTCGCCAACTGAGACTGTTTTGCCCGCTTCAAGAGATTGGAAATGAGTCAGGAGTTCATGTTCGATGTCTCTCTGCACATGAAAG